GTGCCGCCACCCGCGGAGCTCTGTCAGCTTCCTAGCGTACAACTGAGCAGAGGCTTCACACTAAAGCCAACAGAGAGGTGCAGTGGCACATTCTTGTAACCCCAAAACTCTGGATGGCTGAGGAGGAGAATCACAAGTTCAAGGCCAGCCTGGCCACTAGGTGAGAGACTTTACTGCAAAATTTTTAAAAGGACTGCACTGTAGCTCAGTGACAGAGTGCTTGCCTTTGCATCAGGCCCTGAGTTCACCTCCTAGTACCTCACTGAAAGGAAAGAAAACCTTTGAACTGCTAGGATATCAACTCATTGTCCTGAAACGTAATAAAAGGAAAAATCAAGCATTTATCTCCCCTTTCGTGTATGCACCTGTATTTCAAAGTATTAATGTAAGTGGTGAGCTGATGCTTATTTAAAAATCAGGTTCATAGCTAATACATACTATGGAAATAATAGAGAAACAACAGACTTTAAAGATGATATGGTACTGTCCCTGTGGAACATGGACGTCAGCAATGGCCATCATGGGACGCTAGAGGAAGGCTTATGGAAAACATAATGGAAGAGTCCTGTTGCTATCCTAGGAACCCCCTGAAACCCCAGGAAACATTTGTGATGCAATTCAATAGGAAGGACTCAGAACCACCCGAGTCAAATGAAGCCTCTAACTCTGCCTGTGGCGTGGAAACACGGGGGAGAAGGACGCGTTATCCACCATGAAAACGATGCAGTCAAAACCATGGACAGATGACCATGAAGAAAGGGGTAAGGTAACCCAAGTGTGGGGGCACACACCTATAATCTCTGGGAGGCTGAGGCAAAAGGATCCCAAGTTCAAACCCTGCCTGGTCAATTTAGTGACTTAGCAAGCCCTAGTCTTAAAATTTAAAAGAAGCCTGGAGCTGTAGCTCATCTTGAAGGCTCTTGGCTCAATCCCCAGCATCACAAAAAGGGGAGCCAAGGTAAACACAGCTGTAAAATATCCCGTCCTCCAGCCATACACTTTAAAAAGATTATTTTGCTAAAAACATGGTTATTGTCTGCTTTTCACAGACATACAATACTGCGAAATGTCTTAACCCACTCTGTCACTAGCATTCAGCTCCTCCAATTTCATCAAGTGTATTCTCACGAGCACAAATTAAGAGGCTCATGGAGCACAAAGCCCTGCTGGTGTGAAAGATGAGGGCTGGGATGTGGCTCAGTGGAGAGCATCTGCCCGGCATGTGCAAGGCCCCAGGTTCCCACCGCCACAAAGTATGGTATCATGGTATCATCTACCTGTGAGTGGCTAGGTCTGCAGCAGTACAGACCCTGGAGTAAAGCCATCCCTACCACCCAGCACAGTGGCCAGGGGGAGCTCTGCCTCTCTCTGTGCCTCCCATTATCACAGACTACCTGTGTCACTCTCCAGTTTTGGGGGGTTTTTGGCACCGAGAATGGAACTCATGACTTTGCGCTTGCCAGGCAGGAGCTTACACTGCTGAGCTAAATCCCTGGCCCGTGCATCATTCTCTCTGCCAAGGGAAACTCAAACATTCAATTTTCATGAAAATTCGTCCCATGTATGTAATTTCAGCTACTCAGGAAGCTGAAGCAGGAGGATCACAAGTTTGAGGCCAGCCTGAGCAACTCTACGGGAGCCTGTTTTGAATATTTGTTTTTTCAACAGGGTCTGGGGATGTAGCTCAGGGGTGGAGCATCTGCTTATGCTTAGCACACACATTGTCCTGGATTCCATCCCAGAACTGCCTCCACCCAATTCAAACTGAATCTTCACCTCATTATTTATATATCACAGCTAAAATATCTAGCCTTTAACGTAAAGATGCTGCAAATATAAAGCCAATATCAAACCCAAGTGGCGTCAAACTCACTTTCAGCATCCACAGGAAGTGTCTCATCTTCATCGTAAGCTCACCAGGAGGAGCTGTGTTCGGTCTGCTGTAAGCTCTATAAATCTCCCAGCACTTATCAACGTAACTCATCGTGCAGAGCGCCCCCTCACTGAATAAGTTACCTGAAAGGTAACACTCAAAAACTGATTACAAAATTAAATTTCAAAAAATGACAGTGAATATTATCCTATTATTTTTGTATTTACCTTTTACCTGGCAGGCATTTGGATGAATGTTTTCAGTCATCAGCTTTGTAAAACACAGAAAGAGTGACGGGCTTCGATTTCTGTGATTAAAAAAGACACCAGTTATTCCATCCAGGAAACAGAACTGAAGTTCTCTCCTCCGGAGTGTGGACTAGTCTTAATAACTGGACTGTGTCTAACAGGGTGGAGAAAAAAGAGACCACAAGTTTCCAGGGGAAAACTCTGCCTGGCTCCATTCCAGCCTGCAAGAAGGGTCAGTCTGCCCCTAAGGAGACATCCCACAGCATGGACCGCCTGTGTGATGGGTGACGGGACCATTCACCTGCAGGGCATTCTTCCCCCAAACCCACAAGCTCGGTAGAATCATGAGACAGCTTTGCAACCTAAGACGCTTCAGGAGCCAGCTGGCCAAGATTGTTTTAAGTATGGAGATCATGATAGACAAAATCTGAGAAATAGTCACAGTTAGAGGAACCCAAGAGGGCATGATGGTTCAATGTGAGGTGGCATCCTGCACTTGATGCTTGGTTCTGGGACAGTGAGAAAAACTGGAAAAATCTTGTAAAAGTCTGTAGTTTGGTTAACAGTATCACAATAACATTAATTCCTTGTTTTGGATGAATGTACCATGCTAAGACATAAACAACAGGGGAATTTGGGTGAAGAATATATAGGAACTCTAGAGAGTACTTCAGCAAAACTTCTGTAAATCTAAAAAATAAAAAGTTTTTTAGGGAAAAGAAGATACCATGTTTGCTTTAAGGCAATAAAATTCCAGTAGCTCTGTGCAACATTGAAATGGCTCCAATGGAGGGTGTTCCGAGTTTTACTATAATGCCTTATGGCTTTGCGGCTGAAATTTGGGGAAAGTTTTGCTGCTTGACGTTCATTCTGAGGCCATATGGAGACAACACTGATTACTGGAGAACAGAGGGTGACGGGATGTGAGATCCTGCTCAGGGAGCTCAGTTAACACTGGGCACTTACTGGTATTCTTTGTGATGGATGTGGTAAGCCAACTGCAGGAGGTAACTCAAGAATGTTCTCAGAAGTATTGTTCCAAATGGAGAATGAATTTCTTCAACTGGTATATCATTACTGGCTAAAATAAGAAAATTGGAGAGTGTGCAGTTGTATTTCCAGCAGTGCCCGTTTTATTTGCTCCTGGTACACAACCCTTTGCTTCCCAGAAAGTATTCTGGACATGCAGGAACATCCAACCAAAAATTAAGTACCACAAGGAACATTTTGTCTGATTACTTTACAAGACATTTACAATTTACTTTGTCCTGGTGGGTTTTTTTTTTTTTTTTTTTTTTTTTTTTTGTCTTTTTCATTTTTATCGGTACCAGGGATCAAACTCATGACTGCCTGCTTGCAAGGCAGGCGCTCATGCCACTGAGCTAAATCCCCAGCCCCGTCCTGGTGGTTTTCAAAGTCATCTGAACCACAGTTTAATGCTGCTGATTGTAACTGGATTCCACATGTTCCCGCAGGCTGGGACCACTGATGGTTCATGCATGACTGTCCCATTGGGCAGCTTGTACCACTGGTGGTACAAATGTACCTAATCACTTTTATCAATCTTTTCTAATGAAAGTAATAAAACATCTATAAATGAACTAAAGTTAGTTGCTTAAATCTGAATAATTACAGCCAAAATATGAACAGTATTCTAACTAAAAATTACAATAACCAACAGATTTATTTTATTAAATCAGAGCTTCCCAACAGTTAAACATACAAATTATGTCACAGCCACCTGATCATGGCATATGAATTATGGCGCTATCATAAGTGTGTTAGAATTTTTTATAATACCCTTCAAATTGATTTTATTGATGCAATTTATGTATACATAATGATCTTAATATTTTATTTTTTGAGAAGCTAATTTGAGGCTTTCAGTTCTGCCTCTCAGAATTCAGCTAGAATTCAGCTAAAACCTTTAAGATTGTTAGATTTACCTCATGAGCTTTCTGATTTGAAATCTTAAGGTTTATATCTGAAATATCCCCTAGAAGTCTCATGTATTCAGAGGGGGTGATTTTGGAAGGTGATTGGGTCACGGGCACCACACTCATCAGTGGATGAGTTCATTGCTAAATGTGTGGCTAGAAGCAGTGTATCGCTGGGGATGTGCCTGGGAGGGCGTGGCTTCCTCCCATCTCTGCTTCCCGGACACCATACATACCCTCCCACCATGATGTTCCTGACTCAGAGCTAGCTGACCGTGGACTAAATTCCCTGAATCATGAGCCAAATCAAACTTCTCCTTTGTGAGTGTTAGGTGTTGGGTCCAGCAATGGGAAGAGTGACTAATATTTTTCCAAAGGGCTTTTCAAGACTATTCTAAGCACGCCATCATCCTCCTTGCCTCTGACCTGTCAGTTTTATGCTTTCCACGATAGACTGGGGGCAGGGACAGTTTGCTATTAGGAACCTGAGAGTAAATCAGTATGATCCAGGCTGGCTCAGTCATAACTACTTAACTCTGTAGTACGGGACAAAAGCAGCCCCAGGCAGAAGACAGACATACACAGGCATGACTGTTCCAGGGAAGCTTAGAACAGGTGGCAGGTGGGGCTGGCCATGGGCCATACTTTGCCGATCCCTTTATTGGTGGGTCTTGTACTGTCGCTATTATTACACAAGGTCACCTCTGGAAATACACTGTAAGCATGGAAAGCAAGGCCACACATCGACGTGTAGACACCTCTCCCGGCCTGTGCAGTGCTGGAGGTCAACACTAGGGCCTCGCACATTAGGAAAGCACTGTGCCACTGAGCCACACAGCTAGTCCTCCCAACACCAAACTCACTCCTATGCACTATGGCACGCTGATGATCCTCTAGTCCAAAAGAAATGATGACCCTAGAATACATACCACTTAATATCCTGTCCATATCAGCAAGAGTTATTTTGTGGTGATGAAATTTGCAGTCTTTTAGAAATCTCCAGAAGTGAAGCTTTGTCATCAAGAAGGTATTATCTGGGGAGTGATCATATCCAAGGCTGCTGTAGAAGCTATAGATTCTTCTTAATTCTGAAATGTTTCTTAAGAGAGCATATTCTACCTGGAGAAAAGTAAGTCATGCATATTTTATCCTACCTCATAATAATAAAAGACACAATGCCTGCTTTCTAGATTAAATGAGGATGCTCATGGAAACACCAGTCTGTACCTCTGCCTCTCCATAAGTATCTGATCCTGCCTGCTCACCTCAACTCAATACAATGCAATTTCTGACTAACAGGAACCAAATATGTTGTCTTCTGGAAAACAGTTCATGTCACATTGTACGTGATTATGTCCTGCCTCGATGGCAGCAATAAAATTCGGTTGCCTACAGATCAATACCCCTTGAATGCATAGATGCAAAAGTTCACAACAAAATCCACTGAATATATAAAAACAGGACATTAACACTAAGTGGATTTAATTGCAAGGCTGGTTTCCACATTTCATCAAAGGAATTCACCATAGTGATAGACTAAAACAGAAAAACCACATGATCCACTGAACCATGCATCTGACAGAAGTTAATATCTATGCATGAGAAACACTCTCAGCAAACTAGGAATAGAAAGGTGCCCTTAACCTGTTTAACAGCTTGTTAAAAACACAGCGAAGGGCATATTCAAGGCTGGACTGTGAAGGAGGCGGTGTTCACACTGTCTGCATTACTTACCTCTGTGTCCCTGGATCCCAAACACTACAGCGTCCCTCTGTCCTATTCTAGGTGTCTGTGTCTCATGCTCTTCAACATCCAGAGTGTGAAGAACAGCATTCAGGGTCCCAGGGAGCCCAAAGAGGCCACCTGGGCAGTGGGATCAGACATGTTGTATTCACCACTATCTACTTCCTTTTAAGATTCAGTGTAACTCAACAAACATTTGAGCTCTATCCTAAAACACTGTTCCAGAGCACAATACAGAACTTTCCTTCATGGAACTTAGCATGTAGTAAAGACCCTCAAGCATTCGAGGTACCGCTGGAAGGGCCAAGAGGAGGCAGAGGGAGTGAATCTAAGCCAGGGGCGTCCTGCAAGGCTGAGAGAAGGGAAGCAGGAACAGGACTTCACCCAGAGCAGGCACCCACGGAGGGCCGGGCCTGGGGCAGACGGGGTGGGGTGCTCCAGGAAAATCAACAAGACTGCGTGACCCTGGGCAAGGCTGCTACCCCTCTGTGCCCTGTCTCGATTATGGGAAAACACTGGCCCAGAGGCTGCTTGGACAGTACAGGGACTTAAGGCATTGGAACCTTGGGGTACTCTGCAAGCATAAGCACTGTCATCGTGTGTCGATGTCGCTCCTGGCCGGCAGGAAGGACACACGACAAAGTCTGGCAGTGGACAACCTTTTCTTTTATTTTCCTTCTCCGCACAGCCTGCCCTGGGATCGCTCCCAGCCGAAGCCTCCTTTGGTCCGCTCCCCGCGGCTCCTTCTGGGCTTCTACTTCCGGGCTTCTTCTTCCCCCCCAGGGGTGGCACCAGTATATATACGGATACAGTGTCCAATCATGTTAAAGTAAGCAAGGCAAGCTGATTGGCTAACATCATCAGTTGCCAGGCAGACTATATTGTTGAGCGGGTTGCTTACGCGGTAAGCAGGAAACTAACGTGCTCGATGGGAGGGGTAATCTACCTCAGGCTTTACTCTTTACTACAGGCCTCACGTCCGCCAAGTGAGGCGACCGGGCTCGGGGCTGCGGCTCCCAACAATCGTGTAAGTTCACAGTGGTGGGGGGCCTGCCCCAGGCCAGCCGGGAAGATGGCTTAATGTGAGATCCCATGGCGTTGAGGTAAAGGCAACCACTGGGCTGGGACAGGGTGGCTTGAAGGCTACTGGACCCTGCCTGCTTGTTTAGCTCATTTAGCTAAACCTAGAAAGCCCCAGGGCCTCCACTCAAAAACAAAAACAAAAACAAAAATTCACCAAAATGACTCCAACAACAGGCAATACATATAATCACAGCAAGACTTTAGACAGTCCCAACTTAAGGGACAGTCTACAAAATAGCTGACCCGTACGCTTCAGAAGTCATGGGCAAAGAGAGGGGCTGTCATGGCTGGAGGGATGAAAGAGATAGTGAGTGGGGTCCTGGAATAGAGAAAGGGCGTCGGGAGGGAACCCATAAACTGTGAGGCGGAGGCCTGGTTTAGGAAGAGTGCACAGTTCTGGGGCCCATCGTGTGCCAGGGTCACCAGATCCCACGAGGGGGAAGCTGGGAAAAAGCTCTATGGAGACTCATTCTCTAACTCTCTGTAAGTATAAAACCACCCAAAACAAAAGTAAAGAAAACCACAAACGGCTTGCTAACCAAATTATAATGTGCCCGTATTACAAAGTATAGTCATTAAAAATGTTCGCAGGAATCCTTAAAGGATCCTCTCCCTTTCTGTCTCAGATATTTCTGTAATGTTTGAGTTTTTTGATAAAAGCATGTGTTTCTTTGTGATTATAAAACACTCAACATAGATAGTATATTTTAAATATACAACTTTTGTAAGACTCATACTTTTTTGTCTTTTGACACAGGGTCTCACATTGTACCGCAGCCTGGCCTTGAACTCACTATGTAGCCCACACAATGATCCTCCTGCCTCAGCCTCCTAAGAGCTGGGATTACAGGTGTGCACTACCACACCCAGCTTCACATGCTTTGATATAGAACTCCAAACTGTAAAATGAAGTGTGTGTAAATGTGTGTGTGTGTGTGTGTGTGTGTGTGTGTGTGTGTAAAAATAACAGTCTGGGGAAGGGGAACAATTTTAAGCAATCTCACTTTTCCTGGTAAATAATATAGTCTATTTACCTTAAAATTACATTATAGAGAAGATCTGTTGACACTGGCCAGCTATCATCAGGTTATAGATGAGAACTGAGATTCCATGAAGAGAATGAGCCCAGTTCTCGCCTGCCTGCATATCAAAAGGTAGGTAGCCACAAGATTTTTTATGGGTATAAATTCATGTTTCTCTTATTTGTGTTTTCTACATTTTCTGGTTTTGTAATTAGAGGAAGTGGTGAAGACTCCTTTTTCTAACAAGAACCTTGGCACAGAGCTAAGCGATCCTGGGCACCTGAATTACAGCATGAGCTCTGGGGGCCAGGGGAGGAGAGAGGGGATGGACAGTCTTCAGGAGCTGGGAGCCAGGTGCTTGGCGAGAGGGAGAAAGAAGGACACAGACGCATGGAGATGGCAAACCCAGGCCAAGCCCGGGCCGAGGTCCTGAAATGTTATTTGCTGTGACTTTCCAGGTGTGAATCAAAGAAGGTCCGAGTACCCCATTTTCTCTAAGGGGTTTTAGGTTTCCAGAGACTGCTTATTTTACTTGTTACTGTTCTGTTTTTTGCCATGTTGGGGATGGAATCCAGAGCCTCCTACATGCTAGGCAGCCACCCTACTGCTGAGCAACTCCCCAGTCTTTAGTTTTTATTTCGAGATAGCACCTTACTATGGTGACCAGACTGACCTTGAAGTTGTGATCCTCCTGCCTCAGCCTCCTGAGTAGCAGGGACTATAGAAAAATACCACTGCACCCTCAGATTTTTAGTGATTTCTTAGGGCTTTAAATTGTGCTGAATCCTAGGGAACCATAATCACAGCAGAATTAGTGTCTCACGGAGGTGGTGACAGCCTTGGTCTTCAAGCCACTCTGAGTGTGACAGCAATGTGACTGTAGGGGTCTGAGGCTCTGGAGCCCTCTGTCCAGGCTCCCCAGGGTGCCCTTGGAAGTTAAGAGGGGTGATCTATGTAAAGTATCTTTCACGGGACATGCGACAGTGACCACCAACAGTGACTTCCAGGGCTGAGGAGACTATTAATAGTTAACCCTAAAATACAGATTTCTAACAGCGCAAAGGGGTTTGACCTGCTTCTTTTCCTCGGCCTGCTCCTCCTTAGGGTACATGTTCACCAGCAAGCTGAGGTCCAGCTCCATGCTCAGTCCCATCGTGGAGGGACTCTCGGTGCCCTCAAGCTTTCTGATCATATCTAGAAAACAGGCAAAACAGGAGACGGCGGTGAAAGCAGTGTTGTGTCAGAATGATTCCCTACCACAAGGGAATACAGGAGCAGTCAGAAAACCTACTCAGGAAACAGCCGCAGGCCAGGTGTGGAGCACGCCGTGATCCCGCCCTCCGGGAGGCCGAGGCAGGAGGGTGACAAGTTTAAACCCAGACTGGGCAACTTAGGGACTCCCTCAAACCCCACCTCAAAAGAAGGAAAACGAAGAGGCTGGAGGTGTAGCTTAGGATGGAGCCCTGGGCTCATCCCCAGAGCTGCAAAAGAAGAACATAAAGAGGAAAGGGGAGTGAAGAGGCAGGAAGGGGAAGAAGAAATGGGAAGGCAGAACAGGATGGCGAGAGGGAGCAGAAGAGCGGCTCACGGGCCACTCTGCGTCCTGTCCCGAGGATCTGGGACACCGGGGCACCAGCTGAGCGTGGCTCCCCGACAGGGGCGGGCTCCCTACCGGCACTGACGGAAGGTCTGTGCTGCCTGCCCGTGCGGGCCGCTTTGGCGTGCAGGTCCAGGTAACTCTGCACATCTTCATCGGGGCTCACAAACTGTGCTATGTGGTCATTGGAGAACAGCCCTTCGTACACGCGCCCGTTCTTGAAAGTGAATCGGCCCTGCAGGTGGGAAAAAGTTTTCCTGTGAAAACATTGGTGAGTGTGCAGCAGCTGGTCTCTTCAAGGTCTGGAGCTGTTTGTTTGCTTGTTTGGTACTGGGGAGTGAGCCCAGGACCTTCGCACTGAGCCCTTTTTATGCTTTTTGAAATTATTTGCTTATTTTTAAAACTATCTTCACCATCTTTTCCCTTTTTTTTTTTTTTTGATACCAGGTATCAAACTCATGACCTCACACTTACCAGGTAGGTGCTTGAGCCACTGAGCTAAAGCCCTGGCCCTTATCTTTTATATACATATACATACACGTGTACATATGTTGTTTCTTTCAGCTTCTCACCCTGATGAGACAATACGATGTTTACACATGTGTGTCTTGTTTATTTTGGTAATGAGTATGGTCTCAAGTTGCATCCATTTACCTAGAAGAGTCTCCAGTTTATCCTTCTTTATGGCTGAGTAGTACTCCATTGTGTAACAAGACCACGTCTTTTTATCCATTCCTCAGTCGACGGGCATTTAGATTGTTTCTAAGACTTGGCTATTATAAACTGTGCTGCTATAAATAAACATGGGTACATAATTATTGCTGTGGTGTGATGTTTTTAATTCTTTTGGGAGATACCCAGAAGGGGACCGACTGAGTCAAATGGGACCTCTAGTCCTGGTTTTTTGAGGAATCTCCACAGTGATTTCTACAGTGGTTGTATCAGTCCACACTCCCACCAACAGTGAAGAAGGGTTCCTTTTCCCTTACATTGCTGTTGCTCAATTTCTTGATGGCAGTCGTCTTTCTTGGATGAGGTTGAATCTCAGTGTTGTTTTAATTTGCATCTCTCAAATGACCAATGATGCTGAACATTTTTTTCATGTATTTATTTGCCATTTGTATTTCTTCATCTGAGAAGTGTGTATTCATCTCAGAGGCCCGTTTTTGGATTGGATCTTTAAATCTGATTTTTTTTTTTAGTTCTTTATATGTGAATTTTTTTTTAATGGCGACAAAGTTTCACCTTTATTAAAGGTAGGGGAGAGAGGGGCTGGGGATTTAGCTCAGCGGCAAAAGTGCCTGCTTTGGAAGCACGCAGTTGTGAGTTCGGTCCCTGGTACCGATAAAAAGGAAAAAGACAAAAAAAAAAAAAAAGATTTTAAAAAAAGGTAGGGGAGAGAGAGGCTTTTTTTTAGACAGGGTCTATGTCATTAAGTTGCCTGGGGTTGGGTTCAAATTGTGATGCCCTGCCTGAGCCTCCAGAGTGCTGGGATTACAGGCACACACGATGACCCCAGGTGGTCCGTTTGTTTTCTTGCTTCTTGTTCCCCTTCCTCTCCTCTGCTTTCTCCTCTCTTTCTGTATCTGTCCCAATCCTCTCCCCATCGCTGAGGCTCGGGTCAGAAAATGGCTCTTACTAAATGAGGTAAGTGACCCAGTAGGGACTCCTCTGCCATCTGTTGAGTTCAGCCCAGTGGTCAGCTACAGGCCCAGGGGTGGGGGGATGATCCAGTTCAGCTCTGTGAAATTAAAGACTTTCGTAGAGAGCTTCCGGGAGAAGAGTTTCCTTTCTTCTAGTTAGTGCAGACATAGTTGTGGAGTCTGGAACCACAGCAGCCACCACGCACGCATTCGTGGGAAGGGGGCAGCCCGAGAAAGAAGCTGCCATGGTGGGAGGGACAGCGTGTAGATGGAAGAGAAACCCTGACTTTTCCAAGTCAGCAAATCAAACCACCCCTGAAGCCTCATTATTCTTTATTAATACCCAGCAGACTAAGCTAGATTGTTGTCTTTAACCAAAATCATCCTAACACGCAGCCACTTGTGTAAATACAAACTAATTAAATAACTTCCTACTATCCAGAAGTTAGATAATGTATGGGAAATATTTAAGAATTCAGCTCCCCACCTCAACAAAGAGTAAGTTATCTATGTAATAAAACAGGTGACAGTTTGCTAGAGACAGCCCCGCCTTATACGGCTTTCCCCGGCCTGCAGGAGGTGACCTGCACGGCCCTGTACTCACCATGCCATGCTTCTTGTTGCAAACCCACTCTCCCTCGTACACGGCTCCGCTGGCGTAGTAAAACTTCCCGCGTCCGTGGCGACATCCGTTTACAAACTCTCCTATGTATTCATTCCTCAAAGGGTACTGGGAGTTGAGGATTCTCTTTATAAACCACTTGTGTGTTCCAAAACCATTCTGCAAAGAAAACACGTTAGCCAGGTGTGGTGGCTGAAAACAAACCTGAATCCCAACGCTCAGGAGGCGAGGGGAGGAGGACCACACATTGAGGCCAGCCTGGACTGCACGGTGAGACTCGGTCTCAACAAAACAAACAAAAAAATTTAAAGAAGACAAACAGCCATCAGGAATGTTCAAATTATTTCCTTCTTGTACCCTAATCCATTCAAAATTAAGACAAATACAATATAATTTGAAGGAGTGAATGACAGGACCATACAGACTTGAGTTCCAGCTCGGCTCAGGTGATTTCACACAGCTTTTTGACCTAAAGCGAATTACTGAAGCCTTTAGGTTCCTCAGCTATATGGTGGAGAAAGTCCCTTCCCCTCCAGGTTTGGTGCAGAGTTCTAAGACAGTATATACACATCATCTGCCCGTCCCAGTCACCTGCAGTCAGACATATGAAGTCAACATACTTAGGTGCACCGTTTTGTAACTTCCGGTTATACAAGGGCTGGTCAAAAACTGTGGTGTGTGTTTAGATACAGAAGGGTGTTTAATTACAGGGCACCGTGGATTGCCTGAACCCCCTTTAATACTCCCAGCTGGGGACACTGCTCCCACGTTCTCACCACTCTCTGAAGCAGCTCTCGCAGTCCTGTTTCCCAAGTGTCTTTAGTTGTGCTGTTGTGACTGCCTTGACGTCCTGAGCTGATTCAAAATGTTTACTTTTCAGGTCACTTTGAGGAAGAGCCAGAAGTCGTACATTACCAGAGTTGGTGAGTAAGAGCCACAAGGCTGCAGTGTCATGTTTTTAGGAGCTGCCTTTCCACTGGACGGCGCTTAGCAACGGCATTTTCTGAGTAAAGACACTCGCATTGGAGATGCTTCAGAAGTGGCAGAGAATGATGGGATAAGTGTTTGGAGGTGAGGAGGATTCGTGGCAATGTTTCTTTTAATTAAAAATCTTTTGACATTCACCATATTTTTTATCACACCTTGTATACACAAAAGAATAGAGAACAGGGACCTAAACAAATATTTGTACAGCAGTGTTCACAGAAGCATTATTTACGATAACTCACAAAACAACGCAAGCATCCTCTAGATAAACGCATGAGCAAAATGTGGCCCATCTGTATCATAGGATATTATTGAGCTCTAGGAAGAAAGAAATTCTGGTCCATGCTAACCGCAGATAAGCCTTGAGGACATTATGCTCAGTGATATAAGCCAGTCACAAAAGAACAAATACTCTGCGATTCCACTTACGTGGGGAACCAGATTGGTCCAACTCACAGGGAAAGCAGAAGGTTTCATTGCTGGGGAACCAGAGAGTGAGGGGCTGCTGTTTAATAGGTATAAACTTTCACTTTTGTAAAATGAGAAGCTCTGGGAGTGGATGGTGATGATTGCAAAGCAGTGTGAATGTGTCTATGCCAATGAACTGTATAGTTACAGATCGTTAAAAGGGAGCCAGGCATGGTGGCACACGCCTGTAATACCAGCACTTGGGAGGCTCAGGCATGAGAACCCATGAGTTTGAGGGTAGCCTGGGATACAGACTGAGTTCGAGGCCAGCCTGAACTGCACAGTGAGACCCTGTCTCAAAAACAAACAAACAAAAACCAAAACAACACACCTATAGTCCCCAATATCATGCACACACACAGAGAACTATGTGAGTTTAATAAGGTAACCAGTTAGTAGATTAATATATAAACCATTAGAGCTAGGATAGGCAGTGCACACAGAAAGGCCTGGCACTCTGAGAAGCTGAGGTAAGAAGACTAAAAATCTGAGACCACCTTGGGAAATTTAGTGAGACTGTCTCCTCAAATAAAAAAAAAGAGCCCAGCCCAGGTAACTTAGCCACTTAGCAAGATCCTATTTCAAAACAAAAAATTTAAAAGTAAAAAGTCTGGATGAGAAAGCTCTAGGCTCCATCCCCAGTACTACAAAAACAAAAAACAAAGGCATTAGAAAATTCAAGCTTTATAATCCTACCCACATGGAAGATTATAAATTTGCAGCCAGGCCAACCTAGTATGACCCTGTCTCGAAATACATAAAAATGGCTAGGTACAGCTCAGGACTCCCTGGGTTAAAGCCTCCCATATCACAATAGAAAAAAGAAAATTCAAGATTTATAAACAATATTACATCATCCATTTGAAGTTATTCTGTCCTGTGCAGAAAACCCATAGTTACTAAACATAACCACAATCCCTCCGCTTACAGGAGCCGCAGGAACTTACTAACTGACCAGTGGCAGAACCCAGCTTGTCGGTGAGACCGTAAGAGAACCAGACGGACAGCAGCATAAAAAGTGCAGCTGAGGGCTGGGGATTCAGCTCAGCGGCATAAGCGCCTGCCTTGCAAGCAGGCAGTCGTGAGTTCGATCCCTGGTACCGATAAAAAGGAAAAGACCAAAAAAAAAAAAAAAAAGTGCAGCTGACACCCCTCAACCTTAATTTGAGTTTCTAGGTTTAGTATAGCTTGAATCCCGGATGAGTGCACGGTACGATTCCAGGTATACAAGCTCAGAGTCGGCGTGTGACCTGTGGGACGAGCTCGGGGCCCACCTGGACACCCCGATCCCAGTGGCCTTCGTACTCCTCCTTGGTCGTCAGCCAGCTCATCTTGCCCTCCCCGTGGCGCATGTTGTCTTCCCACTGGCCTTCATATATGTTTCCGGATTTGTAACTGGGATGAAAGAAACCAAGGGAGGACCATCAGTTGTCGCACATGTGACGTTTGTTGTAAGATACTTAGCCAGGTATAGTGGTGCTCTCCTGAAGTCCCAGCTACTCAGGAGGCTGAGGCAGGAGGGTCACGAGCCCAAGGTCACTCAGGCAACTTAGCAAGACCCTATTTCAAAACAGAAAATTTTACAAGGGGGTTTAGGCCAGTGATAGAGCACTTGCCTGGCATGCATGAGGCCCTGGTTTCCATTCCCCAGCACCACAACCACACACACACACACACACACACACACACACACACACACACACACGTTCTTAAACTTTCCCTGTGAATACCTGTGAAGAAATCCAATCCTGGGTCCAGACACTCCTCAGTACTGAAATTCACTGAGTAGGCATGTGGTGGGTAAAAGAAATCATCTTAGGGAGCAGAATAAATCACTTTATTAAACCTGCTGATTACTTAATAAGGTAACAAAGTGGGTAACACATGCATTATATCTTTTAGAATTTTTTTTCATGGTCCTGGGAATTGAAGTCAGGGCCTTCACCCTGAGCTATATGACCAGCCCTTTATTTATTTATTTTTATTAGAAAAGTTTTCTCTAAGTTGCTAAGTTGCCTAGGCTGGCCTCAGACTTGGAATCCTCCTGCCTCAGCCTCCCAAGTGCTGGTATTTCAAGCATGTGCCACCATACCTTGCTAGAATCAATTTTCCATTGTATTATAATTATTTAATATTTTGCTATCAATTTTTTTTGCTTTTTGAGATGGGGTCTCACTATACAGTTCAGGCTGGCCTTGAGCTCACTTTGTAGCCCAGGCTAGTCTTGAACCTGCAAGGATCCTCCTGCCTCAGCCTCCCAAGTGCTGGGATTACAGGCGTGTGCCACATCCGGCTTCTATCAAATGTTTTAAGGATTAAAACTATCAGTTTAAGGATTAAAACTATCAGTTCAATCTAAAATCAAGCAAAGGAGTCAGCATTCTTCAAAAAGCATATAACTAACAATAGAGGTCTATGATTAATACAGAGAACAGGGAAGGCAGTTTTGACTCATAAACAGTCTGACATTTAATACAGTGTTTTTATAAATCTCCCACCACTACAGAGACAGAAAGTGCATTCTCTGCGGGTTCTTCACCTTGCTTCTAGCCTAAGTGACAGCTGTTTGGTCCCAGAGACACCTGTGCGCCCACCCCACATGTGGCTGCGCCCCACTTACCATCTCGTGCCCCAGCCCTTTCTGATGTTATGTACCCAGTCGCCTTTGTACCAGGAAGTGCCCTCTTGGTTGTAATAAATGGAGCCCTGAAACAAATAACATCATTTTCTAAAATACAAGCCTCAACACAGAGGAGTTTTTAAATGTAAAGATGAAAGTACAGAACGTCAAGAAGCTTACACTCGACAGAAGTCAGTGTCACCCCCACATGAGACACAGGACCCTTCAAGTTTCTGTTTGCAATTTTTTAAGAAATGGCAAAGCGTCCCCAGGAAAGGACAGGGAGATCACGTCACAGACTGAGTACGCCTTCATAACGAAGTGCCACCCTGAGGCAAAGAGCGACTCCATCATACTCAGCAGCTATCGGTCAAACAAACATCAAAGGAGATCACACGCTGCCACTAACGTGGATAGCCAGACCTTTGCCGTAACCGCAGGTCACTGTCCTTTGTCTGCTCCACTTTGACATCTGACTCAAAGCCACCACCTGAGTGTAAGTAGCGTCAGGCACCCCTTAGGCGGCTCCTGTGCACAGTGGCCTGGCCTCGGCAGGTCGTGAGGTCGGAGCTGAGCAGCTTTGCCTCATCTGCGTGCAGTGTCTGTTGTTCCTTGTCATCCGGCCCCCTTGCTGCTGCAACATGTAGGTGCTTCTGTCCAGAAATCCCCAGCCTCAGTCCATCAGTGTCTCAGCTGACCTGCTGTGAGCTTAAGACACCACAAACGCAGTGACAGAGGGACAGAGCCTGCGCGGGAGGCAAGGAAGGTGATCTCAAGAGGCCCGAGCAGCGCTCGCCTAGCAGCAGGCACAAGGGCAGCTCTCCTAACTCTCCTGGTCTGCAGCCACTGAGGAAGAAGCTTGGCCTCATCAGACTCTAGGTATTTGTTTTTGCTACATGAGGGATTAAACTTAGATCTCTGTCTAGGAAAACAAAGTAAAGTAAAAACATAGCAAAAGCAAGTAAACAAACCTGGGTCCTTGTGCAAAGCACATTCTCTACCGCTGAGCTGCACCCGTCCCCTTTTGTGATGCTGGGGCTTCAACCCAGGACTTTTGCATGGAGCTGCATCCCGGGCCCTTGTTTCTTTTGAGACAGGGTCTCAGTAAATTGCTCAGTCTGGGCTCAAACTTTTGATCCTCCTGCCTCAGCCTCCCAGAGGGCTGGGATTACAGGCATGTGCCACATCTGGCCCTAGCCCATCTGAACTCTAAAACCCAGGTCTTCCTTTACACACAGACTTTGGAAAGCCTCCATGGTTCCTCAAACCCTGTGAAGAATGCAGATGGCTTAGTGGTTCCACTGCCAAGAAAATCAACACACAGGGCAGGTCTCCTTGAGGATGGGGTTTAATTATCTGTGCTGTTCAGACACAAAACCTCCTAGAGCCTCAGGGCTGGCCCCAAATCTGTTTCTGCTTTTGCTTCGCTGTTTCATGCAGCACCACTTGAGCAAGAGGCAATGGTTTCTGCGCAGTTTCTCAACAACGCATCAGACTCCACCCCTCTATTTTGTGTAGAAATAAAATAAGCTAGGGTATTTACCTTATGTTGGGAGGCAGCCAGAAATTATGCAGAGAAGGAGAGGGAGGAAGAAGGAGAAAAGGAAAAAGAGGAGTCATCTGGGAGTGGTGGCGCAGGCCAGTAAATCCAGCGCTTGGGAGGCTGCGACAGGAGGGTCACTCACTCAAGCTCAGCTTTCGCAACTTAGTGAGGTTCTTGTCTCAAAATGAAAAACCTGAAACAGGCTGGGGATGTAGCGTAGTGTGATGGCCTTGAGTTCAATCCCCAGCACCCTATACAAAAGCAAAGCAATAATACCAAAAACAGAAACCTCGGTTAAAAAAGCATCTCCGGAAAAAAAAAAGCATCTCTACTCCGCTGCTAGTGTAGATGTGAAATAGTGCAGTTGTGGAAAAGAGTCTGATGGTTCCTCAAAAAATTAAACATGAAGTTGTCATGTGACCCAGCAATTCCACCTCTGGGTATTTCCCCCAAAGAACTAAAAGGAAGCACTTGAGTCCTTGCACATATATTCATCGCAGCACTATTCATCACAGTAAGAAAGTAGCAAGGGGTGGTAACCCATGCCTGTATTCCCAGCACTCAGGAGAATGAGGAAGGAGGCTCTCCATGAATTTCAGCCCAATTGAGGCTCCACAGTGAGTTCAAGACCAGCCTAGACTATATAGCAAGACCTTGTCTCAGCAAAACAAGACAGCAAAACAAGACAAAAAATAGAGACAGCACAAATGTCCATCTACAGAAAAGTGAATAGATGATCAAAATTAATACTAATAGTGGAATATTACTTTGCTATTAAAAAGGAACTGTGGACACATGATACAACACGGATATACTTGAAAATATTATACTAAGTAGAAACATCCAAACACAGAAAGTCACATAGTATATGATTCCATTTATATAAAATATCAGTCTGGGATCAGTGGTGTATATCTTTCATCCCAATTACACTGAAGGCTGAGGCAATTTAGTTTCTCTAAAAATAAGATTTGAAAAAATGTTAAGGATGGCCAGATATGGTGGCAGAGGCCTGTAATCCCAGCACTTAGGAGGCTGAGGCAGGAGGATCACTGAGTCGAGGCCAGCCTGAGCTACAAAGGGAGTTCAAGGCTACCTGAACTGCATAGTGAAACTCTGCCAAAAAAACAAAACAAAATAAAAACCCAAAAAGAAACTTGCTAAGGATGTTGCTTAGTATGAGAAAGTGCACCTGGCATGTATAAGGCCCTGCATTCAAGCCTCAGTCACCACACACACACACAAACTAGAGAAAACCAGCTGTCGGATGGGTGAACCCACAGAGACACTGAGCAGGCTGATGACTGGCAGGGAAGGTGGTTAGAGGACATGGGTAGCTGCCTCCGCAGCCCAGGGCTTTATTTTGGGGCGACAAACAGGTCTGGGGACGGACAGAGGAGATGTCACACCACACTGTGAATGCACTGAACGCAAACATTAAAAAGGTTCACCCTACAGTACGTGACCCTTCTCTCAACACTGCCATCTGCCACAGCTGCGATCCTGATTCCCGCAGGACTGCGCCTCAGGGCCGCCTCACCCACCTTCCCGTGTCTCGTGCCATGGCACCAGAGGCCGATGTAGGACACGGGCCGTGTGCTGCACCTGAAGACCCCAAATCCGTTCCTCAAGCCGTCTATCACTTCTCCTTCGTACCTGCTGCCGTCAGGCCACGTGTAGACACCATGGTTCATGGGCATGTTCTTCACAAAGTCCCCCTAGGGAGAAAGGGAACTGAGAGGAAGCACTTGGACACATATTCATGACCATCCAACGGTAAGGACAGCCCAACAGGTGGGTGACAGACACACGACGCTACATACTGACAATGGACCTTTGCCTGGCCATAGCAAGGAGTTGAGGCATCCTGGAACACAGCTGTAGCATGCGGAGTGAAGGAGTGAAGGAAGGAGGTAGTGCAGGGACCCTCATCCTGTGGGCCGGTGGGGACATCTCCTGCCCACGGACTCTGCTCTTGGCTCTTGTCCCACGGACACAATTGGCCACACCGCTGTCCCTCCCTCCTCCTTCCTTCTCAGCAGCTCCATTCCCTCTCCTCTGAGGCCTCCACCAGGTGGACGCCCAGCAGAGTAAAATGTTAGGTTATGTGCAGACACAGCTCGGGAAGCTTAGGGTAAAGCGGTGGCTGCCACCCTGACCTTGGGAACTGCAGTCCTGGAACTCACCAGGAGGAAGCTAATTCCTGGCCCGCCCCCAGGCAGCTGGATGATGAGCCAGTTGGTGGTCACCAGTGGAAACCCTTCTGCCTCCGGCTCATCCAAGTGTTCCACAGACAGGTCAGGTGGCCATTCCACCCCCGGCACCCCCGGAGCACTGGCTCTGTGGCCCAGGATGTCCACCCACCTGCAGTGCCACCAGCTGTGTCTCCCAGGAGTCTGAACCTACTGGACGTCACAGCCAAGCCAGCAGGGGAAAGAGGACAGAATCATGCTGTCTGACCTGCCCGAGAACACTTCTGTGAGAGCCTGGGGACCCTACTGTTGGGCTGGGGCAGGGCTCTGTGTCCATGGCAGGACCTGGATTCCAGGGGGCTCCATGGCAAATTGCCATTCAATGGTCAGAAACCCTGAATGTCAGCTCTATGGGAAGGAGCTAGCGCGACATGGGGAAGGAAGCCCCCCAGCCACTGTTGGGGCCCAATCCCCGATGGTCAGCCCCTCCCTGCTCCTCTGCAGCACATCTCCTGCACTGGGGGCCCAGCCTGCCTTCATTCCCATGCTTGCCTGGCTGATATCTGAGTGAGCTGTTCTGTGCATGTGTTTTAAACATCTTTGGTAAGCTGGACATGGTGGCACACACCTGTAATCCCAGCATTCAGGAGGCTGAGGCAGGAAGATCCCTGTGAATTTGAAGCCAGCTTGGGCTACAAAGTGAGTTCAAGGTCAGCCTGAACCATATAGTGAAGCTCTGCCTCAAAAATAGACCAAAAATAAATAAATAAATAAATGTATGTCTTTGGTGCCATTTATAAACACCATGTTGCTAGTATCTCCATAAGTGAGATTTTTAGAGTCTCTCAAAGAGACATTCCTGACAAGCACTTTAAAAAGATACATTCAAGCCAGGCAATGGTGGTGGCACATGCCTATAATTCTACCACTGTAGGAGGCTGAGGCAGGAAGATTGCAAGTTCAAACTCAGCTTGGATAGCTTAGCAACTTTCCAAGAAACAGGTTCAAAATCAAAACAAAAAGGAACTGAGGATAAAGCACAGTACATAGGCCTTTGAGTTCAATTCTGAGTACCACAAAAAATTTTTAAAAAAAATAAAAATTAAAAAACCCCAACATACTCCCAAAAAGAGGGGTTAAGCAAAATTCACCTAGTGGAAAACATGTGGTCTGTGTCCAGGATCAAGAGAAGAGAATGTATAATAAATTATGTTTGCGTTTGTAAAAAGCCGGAGGGTAAAATGCATGCATGTGTTCTGTGTGCACACTGCACCCCACAGAACTACATGTACGTGTGCCCTGTGTGCACAGAACTCCACAGGGGCACACGTACGTGCGCCGTGTGCACAGGACAAACACACAAGACACCTCCAGAGTTACTGCCCCCAGAGTTTGCTATGCAGCCACCACACCACCCACCCTCTGCTCCTGCGCCTTGGCTTAGAGCCCCGCTTTTCCCGCGCTAGGCTAACCGTGGGCGCCTGCCACTGTAATTCATTATACACCTTACCTCGTATTTTAACCCGTCGGCCCAGATGTAAGTCCCTTGTCCGTGCATGAGTCCTTCTGAGAACAGACCCTTGGAAACAAGACAGCGGCAAGCCCTGAGCAGGCGGCCGCAGGGCCGCAGCCCACCCGGCCCCAGCTCACAGCGCCACAGCCTGAATGGCATCGTGTCCTGCTCCGTCTGCAGAGGAGCTCAGAAAGATCAAAATCAGCGATCCCTACAATGGAACACGGCAGTCTTCCTCTCCTAAGCAGGTTACTAAAAGACTCTGAAGCACAATAGTATTCAAATGTTTCCATCTTGCATGTCAGATTTTTTCTTAAACTTTATTTATCTACCTACGTAGCAGTGCTGGGATGGAGCCCAGAGCCTTTGCACTGAGGAGTCACGTCCCAGCCCTTGATTTATTTTTTTTGGTGGAGTGTCTCACTAAGTTGATGATTGCCCGGCTGGATTCAAAGCTGTAACCTTCCTGCCTCAGCTTTCCCGAGTGCAGGTGTGGACCCCTACAAGCAGCCCAAACATTGAAGGGGCTTTTTGGAGGCAGGCGGCTCAGGGGTTAAATCCAGGGTCTTCACACTGAGCTGCATCCCCAGCCCCTTTTTTATTTTTTATTACCACATTTTTAGATTCGCACTTTCATCTGTTTCCCTCGCTGGGAATCATTCCTGTGTGTATGTGGATACACACACGTGCTGACAGACGTGTGGAGACACAGCATCCAGCCGTCCCTCCTCACCCACGGACTCCAAAGACGGGATGCTCACGTCTCTCATGGAAAATGGTGGGACAGAAGTACAATGGTGGAGCATTTTTGCAGGTGACCTATACACACCCTCCTGTTTGTTCATTTTCACGCTGGGGATTAAACCCAGTACTAAGCATGAGCTTACCACCGAGCCACATCCAAACCCATCTGCATACTTTAGATCATCTCTAGACTATGGATGAGAGCAGCAACTGCAGACACCAGGGAAATAGCCCTTGTTCTGTATGGTGTAGGACATAACGACAAGAAAAAGGATGTGCCGTTCAACATGGACACAATTGCTCCCCCAGATATGTTCAGCCTGTGGTCGGCTGACTCTGCGGATGTGGACTCACACATGCAGGGCAGCCAAGGGCAGTTAATGTACATCTAGTGTCTACTGCTCATCGGTAGGAACTGGTCGGGGGAAAAACACACCTGAATATCCAAAAGCAATCAGAGCAAACAAGGAGAAAGTGACATCTAGTTCTTTCCTGGGATCACCTGGTCAGAGGCAGGGTGGATGGTTCTCAGGTGCTGCCATGCGTGACAATCATCAGGGTTTCTTAAAGGATAGACTGCCAGGCCCACCCAGGCTTCCCACTCATACAGGTTTGGTCCTCAGTCTCAGAATGTGTATTTCTAAAAGTCCTAAGATATGCTAAGTACGGTGGTAATCTTAGTACTTGGGGAGGCTGAGGCAGGAGGATGAGAGGTTGAAGCCCAGCCTGGGAAACTTAGCAGTGTAGTGAGATCCTGTCTTTAAAAAGGGTGGGGTAGGAGGTGACGGGGGATGTAGCTCAGTGCAAAGGGTTCAATTCCCAGTATTGGGGGTGGGGGAGCTTATGTAGAATATTCACAGATCTATTCAAGGCTTGAAAGAAACATGGCTAATTCAACATATTTATGGAAAAATAACAGCAACACTGGGATTTCAGGTGGCTTTCTAATTCACAACTTCTGAATCTGTATTCTGGGCATAGAACCAACAGAGAGAAAACTTTTAGAAAAACAGTTACATTGTTAGTGATGTTTACAATGTAGCTGGGCCTACAACGGGTAGGTAGCATTAGTGCCTAAACAGTACAGCAGAACAACCATTACATGGCACAGCGTTTACACTGTACTTGGTACTATCAGCCACCTACAGGTGACACACAGTAAGTGGGAGGATGTAGGTTCTACATGAACACCGTCCCTTTTCACATAGGGGACCACAGTATCCAAAAACTTACTGTCCGAGGGGAGTCCCAGAACCAACCCCCAAAAGATACCAAGGGAAAACTGTGTTTGCTTTAGTGAGGGAACTAAAACAGATCCAAATCAAGTACAAGAAAAAGCTCCAATGACTACTTCAGTTATCCTAAGTCATACTTTAAGTATGCAGTCAGGATTTGGGATAAAATCAGCATGAAGTCCTTGCAATTCCTTTAAATAACCAGGCACACTGACTGAAGACCTGAAAATCTGAAACTGTCACTCTAGGCAGGAGGGTTCCAATTCTAGTCCCGCCCAGGCAACTTGGGACTTAGGGAGACACTGTCTCAAAAAAGCGAGGGCTGTGGTTGTGGCTCAGTGAAGAAGCCTTGGATCTGATTATCAGTACTGAAACATAAACTATCATCCCACCCCTTCCTCCCGGCCCTGCAGGCCAGCACGTGACTCACGTGGTAGGTGCTACCACCTTGAAAGACTGCAAAGCCTTCTCCCTCGTACAGTCCACAGACTTTCTCCCCTTCGTACCTGTGAAGAAATGAAGCTGGAGGTAACCAGGGATGTGAAAAGCCAGGGGACAGGAGGTTAAAACATAGAGTTAGGAAACAGAAGCTGAGCCTGGCATTGCATGTCTGTAATTCCTGCACTCTGGGAGGCTGAGGCAGGAGGGCTGCAAGTTGGGAGTCCAGCCTGGGCAACCTACTGAGATCCTGTCTCAAAATTGATGAAATAAAAAAGAATATGAAAGAATGGCAGAGAGGAAAGGATGTGCTTTGGAAAAGGCAGACCAGAGTTTTAGCTCGGATCCAAAGGGATAATGCATGACTTGTCACATAATTCATCTTTGGGCTTCTGAGATGAGAAGAAAATAGGCCAAGGTGTGACCAAGTTGGGCTTTTTCCATGAATCCAAGGAAGATTCAACATTAGAAAAATCTATAGAAATGGAAATATAATCTAAGAAAATCTAGAGAAACAAAATTACATCAGCAAACTAGAGAAGAAAAACCACATGTGTATATCACAATGATAGAAAGCTACTTCATAGAATCTAGCAATCATTTCTAAAAACAAAATTCTGGCCCAGCATGGTGGTACAGGACTGTAATCCTAGCCCTCTGGGAGGCTGAGGCAGGAAGATTTCAAGTTACAATCCAGCCTGTGGAACTTGGTGATTTAGAGCAAGATTTGTCTCAAGAAACAAAAAAGGGCTAGAGTACAGTGAACAGGCCCTGGGTTAAATCCCAAGTACCACCAAAACAAAACAAAAACCCTGTTATAATATGAGGAAACTACTTAAACATAATAAACTACTTATAACCAAAAACCAGCATGTATGATTTTTAGAACAATTCTGTTAAAATCAAGAGCTAAGCATGAAATCTGCTTTTACTGCCAATTATTTAATTCTCTTTTAGAGGCTCTAGTTAATGCCAATGTCAGGAAATTTACAACTTTATTATAATTAACTTGGGTGGGTTGGAGTATGTCTCAGCGTAGAGCACTTGCCTAGCATGCATGAGGCCCTGGGTACCACCCCAGCACAGTAATAACAAAAACAGAAAACCCCAAACAAAAGAACCCGTGGCAACCAGGGAAAGACAAAGAGAGGGAAATCTGAATTCAGTGGGGGGATGATTAACACATTTTCGCATTATTTCACTTGTCAAGAGGAGTATACATGGCTTCAGGAATTAAAAGCAATCAATGAAGAACATGCAAAGGATTTCTGAGAATACTCACAGCTCCAAACAGCAGTATCAACACCTCCCATCCCCCGAAAAGCACCCATACATGCCGATGCTCTGACTGGGGACCCCGCGCTGCGTCAGGACATCTCTTCTGGGGCTCCTGCCTGAGTGTAACTGCAATTTCCCACATTCTCAGGCTCACTCACACACACTGGTCTCAAAGCTTCACTAAAAACAGCCCAATATGAAAAGAATTACTTCCTGTGTGGACCATGTTTCATACTTTTTCATACCACCGATAAGGCTCAGCAACAGCTATGAACAGGTAGGTACACACTAGCTATATGGATCTTGACCAAGTGGCTCCACGGCTAGGGCCTAAGTTCTGGTGTTGGATGCCACGGCAGAATCCCATATAAAAGAAAATAAGTACAGTGATGAGTCACAGAGATGATAACATGATTGAAGGGCTTTAAAGTTTAGAGAAATTACAGGAAGAGTTGGGGTTTGAGGAGCAGCTGGGACTTGGTCTTCTCAGGAAGGGCAGGCTGTGAAGCAGACAGGACCAAGTGGAATCCACATTGAGATGCTTGCTGGGCTCTGAGTTGGGAGGGGAGGGTGAGGTTGGTGGGGATCAGAGCCCTGGTCAAGAAATTCTATTCTATAGACAATGAGAAGAAACTTAAGGATGGTAAAGAAATGGAGTGGGAGGCCAAGTCCCACATGGCTTCCCATAATTCTCTCCTTGTATTTATACCCCATGGAATAGGGCTGACCTTGGGACCACTGGATTATTGTGGAAAAGATGAGAGTGACTTCCAAAATAAGTCTTAGAGTATGTCACAGATGTAGTAATGCTTTGGTTTTTACCCTTAGATCACCCTTGGGTCCTCTCTGGGGAAGGAAGCTGCTATGTCGTGTACTCAGATGGCCCATGTGATGAAATCCTGAGGCCAGGCCTCTTGCCAACAGCCATGACAATGAGCTCCCGGGGAAGCAGATCCTCTGGGCCTGTCAAGCCTCACACAGCAGTATCCGGGAGTAGCATCTCCACTGGAACCCCGAGAAACCTGATCTCAGACATCCAGCTGTGGATCTGGACCCCAGAAACACACAAGGTTTCATTTACAGCTGTATATTACAAAGCTTTGGGGTGATCTGCTACAAGGTGGTAGGTAATTCACACAGGGAGAGGTATAAATGGCCATGCTTTAGGAAGGCCCCAGAGAAGGGTTGGGAGCAGGGAAGTCTTAAGGAAATGAGCATTATAACCTCATTAAGTAGAACAGAGTCTCTGCAAAGGGAAAAGACTAATGACAGAAGCATGAAGACTCAAGAAAGGAGAGGAGTTCTAGGATTTCAAGCCTGGAGTGTTGAAAACGGTGGTACCGTTCCAGTAGGGAACACTGGAAACACTAACAGGGGAGAGAAATAGTGATGTACCCAGTAACCTGCTAAGATGCAGGGTCTCCTGTGCTTTCCCTAAGGAAGAACCTAGGGTTCTGCAAGGCTCATGAGTGGGCCTGAAGTTACAGAGCTAAGACTCAAATCCAGACCTAAGTTCAGCAGTCCTGTACTTGTGGACACGGAGAGTTTGAGTCCAGTTGACTCCAGTAGATATCCAGTAGAGTTTAAAATTTGAATCTGAAATTCTAGGTGCACTATGCTAAAGAAAATAGATTTTTTCAGGCATGTTGGTGTATGTCTATAATACCAAATACTCAGGAAGCTGAGACAGAAGGATCAGAGGCTAGTCTGAGCAACTTAGCAAGATTCTGTCTCAAAAACTTTAAGGGGGTGGTGCTGGGAGGGTGGCTCAGTAGTGCTTGGGGTGCAAGACCCAGATCCCCAGCAGCACAAAAACAAAAGCTGTTTACCATCACCTAGAGAGATGGCAAGTAAAGCCACAGCAAGAGATTGCCAAGAGGGTGAAAGTGATAGAGACCTCAGGGGAACAAAACCAGCACCACACAGAGGCACAGCTGGGAAGATGAATCATTTTCGGAGCAGAGACAATGTGTGATGATCATAAATGTGTGAGACATCACATGTTTGCGGCAAACCCCACTTTCAAGAAAGCCCAGTTCTCAGGGCCCAATCCTGTCACATCCCGTGGAAGTCACCTTTCCACTATGAGTTTGGTCAGAATGGGCTCTTCATACTGGGTGGTATCTTCATCCTCCTGAATCATTTCGGGCTCTATTGGTACTTCCAATGGCTGGACGGCAACTGGGGATATTTCTTGCCTAGGGATGTTGGTATCCTGCTTGGATAACTCTGGGTTATCAGAGAAGGATGAGGGAGAGCGCGATGATTTATCGCCTTTTTTGTCTGCTTTTTTCTTTTCTTTCACCATTGTCTTTGGAAGTTTTAGTTTGCTTTACACATATAAATATCCAATGATTCCTTTGTTTGACATCTATTTGTTTTCAAGCACAGTATTATCTGGAAAACAAAAATTCAATCTATAAATAGTCAGGGCTTTCATTTGTAAAACTTTAGTGTTAGCGTACAACCACCATTATCATTATCCTAACGCCTGAAAATAATTACAAATGAGTTTATAAAAATATTAAAATTGCGCTAGTTGTTACTAATTTTTTTAAACATTAGAACCAGCATCTAACATTATTTCTTTCAAATGGTACTGCAGTGGGAAGAGTAATCATTGATGAAATGACTGCATAACCTCTAAGCTTCGCATGCTATCAATTCAGCCTTTTTAAAATTTTTCATTGTACTGGGGATTGAACTCACGACCTCGCACTGGCCAGATAGGTGCCTATGCCACAGAGCTAAATCCCTGACCCCAACAGCTCCTCTCTTTAATATGCTAGCTTGGTAAAGTGCTCTACGCTGGATTCAGGCTACTGCATCACCTATTACCAGCTCTGCATCCTTAAGCAAGTTGTTTACACTCCTTCTACTTCAGATAGAAAATAGGAGTAACTACCTTGTCTCATGGTAAGGATTCAATGGGATAAAGCACAGAAAAATCACCGTGATACACAGCAGTGGATAGAGGGAAGGGTCGTCCTGTCACTTTCATTTTTGAACTTGGAACAAAGTTGGCTGCCTGCTCTAGCGCCAATGCTGAGCACACCTCACACGCTAGAGGAGAAAGGATGTGCTCAACATTGCTTCAGGGCTGCAGGGTTGGGGCTGGGTTCTGAAAGGGGCATTACCTTTCCCAACCCTGAAAAACAGGCCCCAAGAAAACCTCCTAGTGCTTCTGGCCAGACCCATAGTTGAGACGCAAAGACAGGCTCCTGCTCGGGGGCCCTGGCGTGGGGGTGGCATTCCTTGCTGGCCTGTCAGGACAGCATCCCCTGGGTACCCGGTTTGCTAGCTGAACGCCACCTCCAGGCTTCTCTTTTCCCTCATTCCTCCTTTCCATTCCCTACAGTGTACCCTCTCCAAGACCCCGATTCTGGTTCCTGGGTGATTCAGCCCAAGCCACTCTCACCAACTTACCTGGACATAAGCCTGCCCTTACGATAGGCTTTCAGTCTTCTGTCGAAGTACAAATATATGCAAACTTTCTCACTGAGTTTTTGTTATTTTTTTCTGTTCTCAGAGGCTATCAGAGATGCAAAGGGCGCTTTTTTCTCTCCGAGACTCCAGACCCTCTCAACCGTACACACGCACGTTCTCAGGTCTCAGGAGTCTGTGTTATGAGGCCGGCCAGGGCCACTGTCCCACTGGACACTCAGTGGCTCTCCAAGGCTAGGGCACAGAGGTGGCCCTGGAGTCAGGAACCGCTGTGCTGTCTCCCCAGCAACGGTAGCCACAAGCCCCGCCCCCATCGCTCTTAAAGGGGCCACAGCAGTAAGCTGCACCCCAGCGTGGCATTTTGCCCCTGCTTCTCAGTCCCTGAAGACCAGGACAAAAAGGCTGGCAGACAAACAGGCTGGCTGGGGCTAAATGCACTTGACCTGAGACTGCCTTGTTCCGCTATTCCATAAAATAGGAAAAATTCAGACATTAGTTTTCCATTGCTGTCCTAAAGAATTAAAACACAAACTTAGTGGCTTGATGGAACACACGTTTATTATCTTACAGTTCTAACAGGGCTGGTTCCTTCTAGAGGCTCCAGAAGACCTGTCTTCTTGCCTTCCAGCTTCAGAGGCTCCCAGCGTCGCTTGGCTGGTGGTGCCCTTCTAAATCAGCACTGGTGCATCTCGCGGGCCAGCTGGGAACAGTCTTCCACTTCGATGAACTTATGTGACAAGAGTGGGCCCATCAGACAGTAGAGGACAATCTCTCCACCCTAATGTCCATAACTTAATATCACATCTGTAGAATCCCTTTTGCCATATAAAGTGACATACAGGTTCTTGGGATTAGGACACAGCCATCATTGGGGGGCCATTATTATATCCCCATTCCCAGTTTGCAGAGCTGTGACTATTAACTGAGATCCTGTAGATGCCACACACCAGCACAGAGCTTGATGCCATGAATGAAAACAGCTGTCCCTTTACTACCTCCTGACAGCTGAGGAATTCTACCCTTGGGAAGCCCTTGCTCCCCCCACAGGGCACGGGGTGGCAGTGGGGGTGCCTGCACTTGTCATCCCTGGACCCAACCACCATCTAGACTCCACCAAGGGCATTTTTTACTTCCATTTTTGCCACAGTTCAAATGAGACCAGATTCCCACAGTTCACACCTCGAGGAAACCAAATTACAGCATGAAGTTACAGAAAAGCCAAACTCTTCTTTCCTGACTAGAATAGCATTTCGAAGCTGGCTGTGCTGGGGAACATTAACAATAGTGACTGCAGGCCCGCCCACTCACTTCCTTCCAGCCAGCCAAGACACGCCTTAGAATTTTTTTAAATTATTCCTTTCTAAAATTTAATATGCATCAGGGTTAGTAACACTAACCCAAAAGGACCATCATTTTAAACTTATAAAGTTAAATCAATATGAATTTATCACTGAGAACTAAAAGTTGTAGAATAAAATACTTTCAGCCAGAGTGCAGGTCTGGGTTAACTTCCAAAGTACTTTTGTATTTTAAAAATGTATTCTTGCCTGTAAACACACACTCATGCGCACACGCTCACACACACACATATTATAGAACAAGAATTGTTCCAGCAGTGCTTCACATGGTTTGAAAAAATTCTCCAAGGTTTTTTCTTTTTTTGAGACAGGGGCTCACTCTGTTGCCCCAGCTGCTCTGGAACTCTTGGCCTCAGCCTCCAAACAGGCACAAGCCACTGCATCTAGCATAAGATCATTTTTAAATCCACATGGTACATTTTTTTTTTTTCTGTCTTTTTTCCTTTTTATCGATATCCTGGGATCGAACCCACAACTACCTGCTTGCAAGGCAGGCGCTTATGCTGCTGAGCTAAATCCCCAGTCCCTACATGGTACACTTTTTTAAGTAGCAGGTTAATTTTGAAACAAAAAAATAAAATAAAATGTTACTTCGGACCCTGTCTTTCCAAACAGAAAAGTCTGTAATAAAATTTCTAATTTTACGAAGTGCAATATGTCAGTTCTGAGAGATGACTTCGAGATTGGCGATGTGCCTCATAGTTGGCCTTCCGTGGGGACAGTTCCAGGGGTGGTCCATCTCGCCCATGTGGACAATAAGCTTCTTCATCTCGCTTGTGTTAAGAGCAGTTCCAATCATCACCTGAGTACGAGACACAACGGTTTACAGTTTTAAAGTACTTTTCAGAAGCACTGTTCTCTAAGACTGGATAAGACTACAGCAGCTCAACAACAATCTCTGAAACACCTTTCTCCAAGAGTCTCTGGCTTTCACTTCTCTGTGGACTCAAGGACTCCTCGGCCCTGGCATCGTGGCACCACTTCTTCCAGTGATACCAACCTGACTCGTCCGGAAGCCAAGTGCTCCCAGCAGCTGCAGCACCTTTTATCTGCATCTGGCCAACAGCAGCACCCCTACGCATTCTCACTCAGCAGTCGGGGTGCCTGTTAAAGGCACACTGCTAGGCTCCTTCCTTGCTCCTGTCATCCACTAATGTGGCATCACTGGGCTTCATGCCCACATCTCTCAGCATTCACAGTCCCACTTGAGCCACAGAGGTGCCCTGTTTGTTCTGCACGGACCGTGGGCCTGGCTGTCCCTGGGCCATACTCCTCCACAGGGCTCCTGCTCAAAGGGGTTGGCCACTCTCAAAGGAGCAGCACACTTGTCCCTCGCTCTAGCTCTGCTCTCTCTGGCATGCATGTGGAAAGGGACAGACAATACAACACAGACCTGAATACTGTGACCCTGAAGAACAGGGACACCTGTTGGTCACCGTTTTTCCTCCTATAGCACCAGGCACCAGAACAGTCCCAAGGCTGCAGCTAGAAGAGGGCCCTGCCCCACTGCAGACAGACAATAAACAAGGTAAGAGAAGCCAGACAGATGTCACACATTGGGGAGGGGGGCGTTTGAGGACAGGAGAGGAGCAGAGGTGACAGGTTCAGGCAGGGCACAGCAGCAGGAAGCGTGAGGAAGGCAGGAGATGAGTGAGTGTGAAGATGGCCTGGAGCAGAATGTGGAGGAGTGTGACAAAAGATGCCCATCAGGGCCAACACAAGAGCAGGAAGAACTGAAGCAGGATGGGGGAGGAGAAGCAGGACAGCAGCTGTGGGTCCACAGCCCTCTGAATCACCAAGACACAGACTGTTAAAGTGCTCGGTATGAGCACTGGCGGCCCCTGCCAATGCCCACTGGCTCCAAGACTGGAAGGTCAACATGAGGTCTTCATCAAAGAAGCATCTGTGCCTGCAAGTCAGGTCTGGGGCTCGGGTGCGCTTCTATTTTTTTTTGGAGACAGTCTTACTGCATAGTTCAGACTGGCCTCAAATAGCAATGATCTTGCTGCCTCAGCCTCCTGAATGCTAGGATTTTAGGTGTGTGCCACCACGCCTAGCCACTCTTTAAATCAGACTGTTCTCTGGGGTAATTGCACCCACCCGAGTTTGTGCACTTCACATTTCCCTGGAGCCCTGGACTCTCAAATGTGCTGTCTGCACACACCCTGTTCGCAGCTGAATGTGGCCTCACTACCGCTCATCTACAGCAGAGCTCTAACTCCCTGTTCTGCGCCCCTCCCCTCACTACTGGGGCAGCCACCACATGGCAGCTCTCTCCCTGGCAGGTCCATCACGGGAGGCACATGCCTGGGTCCCTCCACGAGCAGTGACTCCGTGTGGTCGGTCCTCTGGCCACCGCGTACCCCTCCTGGCCCTCTCCAGCCCACCTCTGGCTCTGCTCAAGCCCCGTCCCCAGCCTGGATCTCTTTCTTGCCCAAGGGGATGGCACCCGTCCTGTCACACAGCTGCTCAGCTGTTCCCGACCACCCATCCCCCATTCTCTTCATTCTCCTACGGCTGCTCCTACTCCAACAGGCTGCTTCAGTCTCTTACTCCGTGGCCTCTGAGGCACCATTTATTTTTGTTTATGTCTATTTCTCCCCACTAAAACATTAGCTCCTCATGGGTCAGGACCTCATCTGTCTAGTTAGCTCTGTTTCCTCACCTGGTAATAAGGCAAGCTCTACTGTGGGAACTCAAGGAATGTATGTCACATAAAGAAAACCTGGCCAGGTGACACAGTCAGTCACTTTAAAGGATACTAGGCCAACACCCAGCAGTGCTAATGCTCCCCATCACCAATCTGAGTGGTGGCAGGGACACAACCCCAAGGCCTCACCTGGCCCCAACAGAATACCTGCTCACTGACCCACGGGAGTATATGTTACATCGTCTCGGCCTGGCAGCCACAAATCTCACTTGACTAATGCTCATATTACCCATAAGGCCCAGGATGAGCAGTAACAGCTAACACTGCATGGACAGATGAAAGCTGAGATGAGACACCACTCCAGGGAAGTAAAGAGCAGAAAATATGTAATGCGTTTCCCTGATTTCTTTCTTTCTTTTTGGTACTGGGGATCAAACTCACGACCACGCACTTGCAAGGCAGGCACTTATGCCGCTGAGCTAAATCCCCAGCCCCAAGAGCAGTAAGTATGAATTAGACGTTGAAGATAATGCAGACCTGTCAGCTGCTCAATGTGGCTCCCTATATAAAATGACCCATGGCAATCTGCAGGCTCCAGACCAAATCAGGAGCTGAACTGAGAACCTCCCTGGACCACAGGAGTGAGCAGACCTGCAGGCCTGGCAGCGGGCTTGCTCTACTCACAGACTTCCGGCAGGCTCTGGAGGCAAACATCTGTCTGACTCGGGAGGGCCGGCACATGACCCCAGGGCTGTCGCTTAGCATGAAGATCAGTTCATCTATATCTTGGGGTCCGAAAGTCCAGTTTTTACTAGTTGGTAAGGAAATCAATTTAGCCCTTTTGGTGACTGGAGCTGTAAAGAATAACATTTTGAGAAAAGTCCACTATGTAAGAAATGTGTGTCACTTGATTCTTGTTGATAATGAACATCTGAAGGAGAGGTAGACCAATTTACATTGCTTTTCTGGGGGGACTTTGTTCACCTCTCTAAAATAGACAGAGCTACATGACCTTAAAAGATTATTCCCTACTCTAAAAAGACAAATCTATAGTCCTAGTTAATAACTTACCACTTTCGTCAATGACAAAATCAAAGCCATTCTTTCTGAATATTTCCAAATTTTCTATCAGGATCGCTTCATTGACAGCAGTTAAATTGAGAGTCTGAGGTCTGAAAAACAAGAGATTCAAACTACAACTTGAAGTCAAATATTTACCTTTAAAGCAGAAATGAAAAATAAAATGATATTATAGTACTTTAAATTCATAAAGCCAGGCATGATGGCACACTCCTGTAATCCCAGCACTTGGGAGGCTGAGGCAGGAGAATCATTTGCAAGTTCGAGACCAGCCGGGGCTACAAAGTGAGCCCAAGGTCAGCCTGAACTGTGTAGTGAGATCCTGTCTCAAAAAGACAGAAAACAAAATAAAACCAAAAAAACCTTTTAAATTCAGTTCAAAAATACAAATGAAAATCACTTTTCAGTTCTATGTCTTTTCAGTGTTCAGGTAAGTGTTACAGAGCTTCTTCTGGTTTTCCTCTCCTTGTAAGGTTCTTTTTAAGAGGTTAAAATAGTGACAAAAATAGTTTGCTTTTTTCTCAGTCTGAATCCCAACAATGACCCGGTCTTCTTATTGGATCCTCTCCAAAAGGGTAACAGTGTAGAATAAAGCTAAGTTGAAAAGCTGGGTTAGCTCATTACCAGCATTTGAAAACACTCAATAAGTAAGTGTTTTGCTATCCTATTCCTTCTTCTGCCTGTGTTAGTTTTCCATCTCCCTACTAGCTTTATGGAAGGTTTATTAAGAAAAGCACTGATAAAAGCAGAAAACAGCATGGTGAGCAAAATCAGACTTAAATCTCTGCCCTAGACTGTGGGAAAGGAAGATGCTGAACAGTCAAATCTATTAAAACTACTAGCAACGTGAGAATCAGGAAGACACACCACCACCAGTGCTGTAGAAGCACACTTGCACAACACGTGAGATTTGGCACTCGGACCAAGGAAGGATCCCTCTCCACCTGAGAAGGTAAACTTTGAACTGAGCTCTGAGAACAAGCGAGCAACTTGATAAAGAGACAGGAGAGGTGCAAGAAGAGTATTCGGGGCTCAGACAACTTTCGCAAAATCGCTCTTTCCAATGGACTGATGTTCCCAGCACCACCCATAAAAGATACACTTCATTCTAAATGGCCCTACAGGCCACTAAAGTACAGGGGATAAACGTAAGAGGGTTTAAGAAATGCTAAGGAAATCAGTGTACCAAACAGCACAATGCTGCGGGCTAAGGTAGAATTTTAGCTTTTATCCTTTAATCCTGGGGTAGAGCTCATCTGGGACCCAAGTGGCCCATAATTACCTGGGTCAACCTGAAATGCCACACACGAGACCTTATTTATAAAAAATGGCTAACAAAAACCTTTGAGAATAGCAGCAATATCTGTGTTTTAAAGCAGTTTACCAAATGACTTCATTCTGTCCATTTACCCCTAATTAAAGGGCTAATTAAAATGTTACACAGGAAATAGGGTACTCAGTAAATTAGATGTATTTTCCCAGCTGAGTTACTACTTACTGGTTTACTCTTCTAGGCCAGATCTATTTACGAGTGTGTGTGTGTCTGGGTGTGTCTGTATGTGTGTGTGTATGTGTGCCTGTGGCACTGAGGGACTGAACCCTGAACTCTGTACTGAGCTACCTCCTCAACTCTGCCCCAACCTTTTTTCTGAGACAACATCTCACCAAGTTGCTGAGGCTGGGTCCAAACTCTCAACCCTCCTGCCTCAGCCTCCCAAAGTACTGGATTACTGGCATGGACCACTACGTTTGGATTTATAACTTTTCTTTAAGAAAGACTTCTGGTTTACATAATATACCATCATGTTCCCTTGAATAAAGCTAGTGAAAGCATTCAATTTGACAAAAACAGGAATACTAAACTTTGCAGGGACACTCTGTCCACGGAAACTGCCCTGCTACAGATATGAAGACTGACCTGCAGATCGGGCTGCCTTTCTGATTTTAATCCTACAATCTATAAACACAAATACTACATAATTGTGCCCCAATTCCCTTTACCCCCAAAAGAATTTTCTGGACAACCAGTGAGCAACATTTTTAAGCACCTAAAAAGCTTCAATACCTAAAGAACACTGTGGGTAGGTTATTCAGCTTTTCTGTGCCTCGGCTTTACCACTGTGAAACGGCAATGGCAATGGTAAACACTGGCAGTGTATGAAGAAGACATGAGCTACTACCGTAAATCTCTTCAAAGGCCCCAGGCACATAATAAGCCCTCCTGCTTATTAAGTACAAACATCTGCAATGTGGAGCCAGGTGTCTTGCACACACCAGTATTCTGAGAGGCTGATGCAGGAAGACTGCAAGCGCAAATCAAGTGGGGGCAAGAATCTGTCTTAAAATGAAAAATGGTGTGTGGGGCTGTAGCTCAGTGTAAAAGCTCTGAGTTCAATGCCATGCAGCAAAATAAATAAATAAAAACCCTGCTCCATAGGTACTTATAGGAAAAAAGATACTTAAGTATTCACGTAAACACACATATTGTATTTCAATCTTCGATAAGGAGAAACTCGGGAAACAGCAGTGAAAATTCCCAAAACCGCGTGCACTTACGAGATGAGCCTCTGTGCCTGGAGCACAGTGTGCTGCTGCAGCATCTCAAAGTTGTATTTTTCATCTGCGGCGTGCTGGTCCACCAGGAAGATGTCCTCCTTCAGCTTAGTTACTATGAACCCCAAATTAAACTGACCAAGGATCTCCATTTCTGCAAACATTGTTTTACTGCATGTAGAAAATATTAATTGTAGAACATTTCAAAAGATTACTCTTCTGAATCAAGATACGTCATACACAGGCATAAATTTCCTATGACGAATGTGACCAATATATGCATAAAACATACCAATAAACTTAATTTTAAAAGATTTTTCTGATTATAGAACAGCAGACCGTTAAAAAACAACCAATATAATACATACAATAATCGTAACAATCCCAACTTTCCAATTATCCATTCATCCAACTCTCCAGAAATGATTAAATAGTTACTACTATTAACAATCTGGTATGTGTGTATAAGTGTGTGAACATGTGTTTGTGTGTGTATATCAAAGTATATAAATTATGTGTATATACAGCAATCAAGGTATGTGTGTGTGTGTGTATATATATATATATCTTGCTTGCATATTTTTAATTTAAAAAGACTTTAATTCTTCATATACTATACTTGCACATCATAGATATATGTATGTATTTTGTTTTTTAAAATAAACAACAAATTTGTCTATCACATATCTGGAGGGGTAAAAATTCCAAGAATTAGGCGCTGGAAGATTTAGCATCTGGTGATTATCACTCCTGCAACCAGTATTGGAGCTCGGAGGCAAGAGGAGCACAGCGCCTTCATCACAATCACCCACAGAAGACAGTGGACTCTGCATGCCACGGCGCCTAGCCCTCTATTCCCTACAGGCGGACAGTTCTGCAGAGTGTAAGCCCACATCACAACCAAGGCAATCCTCAAATCCTGTCTGGAGGACCTGTCTCCTGGGACCATTCTGGATACCAGTTTCCTATTCGAGTCCAATTAAGAGACAAACACACCAGTGATGTGAACAGGAAAATGTATAAAGTTATGAATCCATAAAAAAGTGGCTAACTACTAAACTTAAGAAGTATGAAAACAGCACATGCAAAGTAGCTGCTTTCTCTAGGGATAAAGGAACAGTTCAATCCTCTGAGTTCAATCCTCTAATGTGGAGGCTACACAAACCCACTGGAGCAGGAGTGGCTACAGCGTACAGATGCTGAGTGATCAGACTGCATGACACAGGGGGGTTCTTGCTCCTCACAGTGACAGCACTGTGAGAGAAAAGAGCACCTAGAAGCCAGGAGGGAGGCTCTGCTTTTCTTGTAAAGTTCTCCCGTCACACTTTAGTGCACCCCCAAATCTAGCGGTGCACAAGGAGAAACATGCAGTTGCACGTGGGCGCATGTAGAACTGCCAGCCAATAAACTGGAGACTGGCTGAGTGATCACCTTCCCTGGCTCTGATTCCACCTCCTCCAGAACTGTCTGAATCTGCTCTGGCTGCCAGCAGGATGACCTCTGGGGAGCTTCTATGCTGCCTAAAGATGCACATTGTCAGTGTCTTTGGTAGATCTGTCTCCTATAGAAAAAAGTATCTGTGTCATGGTGGCACACACCTTAAATTCCAGCACTCTGGGAAGATGAGGCAGGAGGATTGCAAGTTCAGGTCTATCCTGGCCAATTTAGTGACTTAGCAAGACCCTGTCTCAAGGGTATAAAAAAGACTGAGTTCGATTCCTAGTAATGAAACAAACAAACCAATATAAGCTGAAACAAACAATGGAAAAGAAACAATATTGCTTGGTTTATCCAAACTCTGTCTAACTTGCTTTGGCTGGGCTGGAACCTGTGATCCTCTTGCCATAGCCTCCTAGAATGTAGGAATCACAGGCATGTGCCAACCCTACCTCTCTGCACATTAAAATGAAAAACAGGAAATGGTGTTGTCTACCATAAATTCAATGCCTGGAAGTTACTATAAGCTGAAAAGTTTCAGAAAGAGTGATGAAACTGGGGTCAAGAAGCCCAAGCTTGGGGCTGGGGGTTTAGCTCAGCGGCATAAAGTGCCTGCCTTGCAAGCAGGCAGTCGTGAGTTCCATCCCCGGTACCGATAAAAAGGAAAAAGACAAAAAAAAAAAAAAAAAAAAAAAAAAAGAAGCCCAAGCTTAATTTGGGTTAATCTAGAAAAGATACTCCGAGAAAATCTAAGGGAAAAAAAAAATCTTGAACGTTTCCAGGTAGCAGAAGAGCACTGTTAAAAGAAGAATCCTTCACACACGTGAGAAGCAGTGAAGTGGGTGACTGAAAAAGCACAGGCAAGGATACATGGCAAAGCAAACTGGAGGGTCAAAAATTAGTCCTAACATTAGAGTCTGTGCGGGGGGGGGGGGGGCCACACACGGACACACACACACACACAGGAGGCCAGCAAGTCCATCAGGAAGGGGTGGGTCAGGGCAGCAGAGAAGGCCCCGCCCACAGGCCTGTCCTGAAAGACAACAAAATCCTGGTGAGCCATTCTAGTGCACAGAAAGGGCCACACCAAACCCCAAGCCAGACAGGGATGACATCTAAGTGGAGGAGAAAAGAAGACAGGAAAAGGCACCACGAGAGTCGGGGCACACGCCTGCCAGTCCTGCACTCTGGGATGCTGAGGCAGAGGATCACAAGTTCCAACCCAGCCAAGGAAACATGAGACTCTGTGTCAAATTTTGAAAAAAGGGGCGGGGGTGGGCGCTGGGGATTCAGCACAAAGGTCCTGAGTTCAATCCTCTGCATCACAAAACAAGAACAAAAACATCCAAGGATCAGCCTCTGGTTCACTCAAAACAACCAATCACAGATGTGACCAGAATACCATTTAGAACAAACTTTACCTGATCTCTTTCCTTAGTTCATCTTCTGCTGCTTGGTTTTCTCCAGGGCAAATCTTTGCTCTAAATTTCCTATAATTCTGTTCACCTTCATTCTGCTGTTTCTGGTGATGTAACTGATTTACTCGTTTAGCTAAAGAACTCATAGAAAAGGTAAGAGGCACTATTTTCTTACTAATTTTAATAGCTACATCAACCTGAGTCACTGACACATTCTGAGTATTAAGCAACTTTTGAGGAACATCAGCAGCTGAAGGAATTTCTTCCTTTTTAAAACGCTTGGTGTTTGGGGATGAGAGATCAGTCAAACCTTTGAATTTATATCGGACATCTTCTTGGTCTAAATGACATTTCATGTCAGGAGGATGGTGGTCGGTTGTGAGTAGCTGCTCACAAGAGTCCACACTGTCCCATGGAAATCTGTCTTTTGGGGGGCTCACTGTTTGGTCACTGCTACAGTGACTTTTGGTTTCTGGGGTGCCAAACCCTTCCTCAGAGCCAGCTGGGGTGCTGCTATGCCCCGAGTCCTTCTCTGTTTCTGCGGGGTCCACAGAGTCCCTGGGGCCCTTCTTGGGACTTGTCACCTCTTCCTGAGGGCCCTGCACAGCCCAGCCAGAGGTGGGATCTGAGGTGCCAAAAGATGGTGCACCTCCTTTCTGTTTTGGAGAATTCCATTTTGGATCTGCAGAATCCAGGCCCTGAGATTTGATCTCTGTGTTGTGTCGAAGAGAAAAGGCTTCTCGGAGCCTGGAAACAGACAGGACCCTTTTTTCTTCCCCTTGAATCCTTAGTGAAGGGGAACTGGCCTGCTTTTCCAGCAGAGGCTTTTCCATTTCTGCTGCACGCATCTTTATTAAGTTACCTAATCAAACAGGAAACACAGAACAGTGTCAGGGACTGCACTGAAGTGGGATAAGGGGAGGGTCCAAAGGGCTAAACGTATGAACATGGTCCAAACTTAATCCTAAGAGGAGCACAAAAGAAAACAACAATATAATGAGGTAATATATTCCCCAGAATGGGTCAAATTTTGAAAACAAATGTTTGCAAGGATGAGGATCAAGTGGCAATCTTAAACAATGGTAGTAAAACTAGTATAACCACTTCGTAAATCTCTCTACGGGCATCTCCTAACCCTAATGCGGGCACACCTGTGACCTGGTGCTGCTGCTCCACTCAGAAATGCCCACCTCTGCTCACAGAAGACCACCTGAGGCTGCCCGGGACAGCTTTCTCGTTGGTAGCCAAAGCTGCAAACAACCCTAATACCACAAAGACACTGAGGCAGCAGAGCACTATACAGCCACAAGAATGAATGAAAGAGTGCACAGCCACATGTGATTTGAATTGATTCCCTAACAAATCATAAGATTGAATGATTTCAAATGAAAAACAGAACTAGACGGTTAGAAGCCAGCAAAGGGTACCACTAGGGGTTGGTGGAGGATAAAGGGGAACTAAGGCGTCCTCTGGGAGCTTTTCTTGATCTCAGAACTAAGATATTTTTAAGCCATACACTATGGCACCTGTTTGTATATGGTCGCTACATGTCAATAAAATAGCTAAAAAATAGATTCAGCTGAGTTTCACACTGCAGTTTTTCTGAACAATTTGTTTCTTGTTATGGGGCAGCCTCTTCAGTTGGGACCTGCAAACAGCCCAGAGACACCACAGCTGGCCCTTCCTCAGTGGTGTGTGCTGCCGACCACCCTCTACCACACCCAGCACACAGACGTTATGCCCCTCCTCTCCTTCCATGCACGAGTCAGCAGCAATGCCAAACAAATGCTCATTTCCCACGTTCTGATCCCGACACTAGGCAGCCCACCCAACCCTCCGGGGCCTCAGGCCTCCGCCACATCCTCAGATTCTCACACCTGCCCACCATGGTCTCTACAAGAGCCCATGCCACTGTCTTCCTTCTGGACCTATCCCACCCATTGGGGTGACAGGAAATGTTAAGATATCAGCCCCTCAGTTCCCACCTTGTATCCTGTTCCCCTTAAACATGGGTAATTAGGTTACTCTGCATGCTAGGAAACACCTTGAAAGGGAAATTGAAATTTTAAATAAAAGCCTGCCAAAGTCAGGTGGACATGTCCCTATCCAGACAAACCCGATAAAAGAACATTTGTTCCTTTGTGTAACCCATGCTTTAATTGATGGCCTTGCAATATGACTTGAAATGTTTAAACTTCCTTGGCAACCCATTAATGTCCCCCAAACCCTCCAATCACAATGCGCTAAATTTGCCTTTGTACCTCCTGCTTAGTCTCCCTGTAAAAGACCAAAAACCCCACCAGGTGGGGCTGACCCTGGGAGAGATCCTAGTCAGGCCCACTGGTGTAATAAACTGCCTCCTAAACCACCTCGATGTCATTTCTTCTCCTGTTCAGTCTGTTTTCTGTAACAACCTGACTCCCAGCACTCTTGGATTATAAAGTCTCATCACATTTTCCTCTCACTAGACAAAACAGGTGAGCATCTCGCCGGAGTTTTCTATCAAAGTTGTTTTACCTCCTCAGCAGCTGTCTGGCCTTTCTCCCCACTGAGGACACAATGACAGGCTCCCACATCCATCTGCCCACAGCCTGGGGGCAGGCTGGCTAATGATCTTAATGAGGGTAATGTCTACCCAAAGAGTGGATCTGGCTGTCAGAGCCAACACCAACTGTTCCCTCTGCCAAGGAAGGAAGCTGGGGCTCAGCTGTGTCCTCCGTTCTCAGGTCACCCAGATGCACTTTGAATGAATAAGAACGCAACATTCTACTTCAACAAATGGTTGAGAACATATGACCAGAGAATAAAATGATTGTGTGCATTATTACAGATGTCACACCATCTGTGGCAACCCTCAACTCAACATGACACTCACTAAAAGTTGTACATGGGTGACACCAGTGAAAACGGCAGAGGAGAGCCTCCAAAAACTCTTTCCTCATAGGAGAAATGAGAACAGCAAAACTGTCAGAATTAACTTTTTCAGAATGTTGGAAATTAATAAAAGGGTTGCAGCAACCGGGAAGTGTTTATTTAGGAGAAATTTTAACTCTTCTGAAGAAAAGCCTTTGGAGGCACACACCTGAAATCCCAGCACTTGGGAGGCTGAGGCAGAAAGACTGTCATGAGTTCCAGTTCTAGGCTACACACTAAGTTCAAGGTCAGCTTGAACTATATAGTGAGACCCTGTCTCAACAAAACAAAACAAAATTCAAAAAATTAAAAAAGGACAAGTTTTGTGGACTTCTGAGTTGGCCAGGTCTCACTCCCTCCTTTCCAGCCCTGCACTATCCTTAAAAATCAACAGAAGTTGCCATGTATGCCTACCGGCAACCTACAATCCAGACACTTAGGCAAGAGGTTTGCAACTTTAAGCCTGGGAGACTTATAAGAGCCTGTCTCAAAATAAAAAAAAAGCATTGAGGATGCAGCCCAGGGCAGAGGTCCTTAGTTCACTTCCTAGTATGGGGGTGGGAGGGATGACAAACAAAGATCAGAGTAAAACTCAACAGTCTGGCAGCCGCCACAGGAGACAGGACGGCCCTGGAGCTTACAGAAACCTGTCTGCAAGTTTCTGAACACCCACCTGCAAGGCTGTCATGTTTGCACTGACTTGAGTTCACTGACTGTAGAAAACTCCTTTCCATACTCTGAAATCTATTCAAGGCAATTATTCTTTTACCTTCACTGCCTGTGACTGGATACAAATTAAATACGAAACAGACTAACCATAAAAGCTTCTCAGAGAATTTGAAAAACCCTATTGTCAACATGGAAATCTGCAAGGCTCTTTGCATGCCTGGGAAAGACCTGAGAAGGCCCTGAACATGTGTCTGCCCTTAATATTCAGCGCAAACAGCAAGTGAAACTGAGGCAGAGTTGTGGAGTCCTGGCTAAACATTAAACGTGTGTCCCAGTAGCACAAACATCTTAGCAAAGATGCAGAGACCTGGTGGGCTCGGCATTTGTAGAAATCCGTGTCTAATAGCCAACTGATAAGCTAGTAGAACAAGGACTTCAGAAAGAGATCTTTCTCAGAAAAGTCAATCAAACAATGAACAGTAACAACAAACCCTCAGAAGGAGAATATTCTAATATTTAAATGTCATTTTGCACCATTACAAAAGAAAGAAAAAGAGACATGCAAAGAAAGATACATGGCTCATACACACGAAAAAAGTAGCCAACATAAACTACCCTTGAAGAAGCTCATATGGGGACCTTAGTAGACAGGGTCCATCTCCTTCCTCTGTCTAAGGATGGAAACTAGGGTACCCTACTGCTGAGCTACAGTCCCAGTCCTTTTTTGTGTGTTTTTGTTTTTAGAGATAGTCTTGATAAGCTGCCCAAACTGGTTTCAAGCTTGTGATCTTCCTTCCTCGGCCTCTTGCGCAGCATCCACAGGCGTGCTTCTCCATGCCAGGCTGGGCAAACATTTTACTTTATTAATTTATTCATTTAGAGACAGGGTCCTGCTAGTTCAGATTGGCCTTGAACTTGCTCTATAGCCCAGGCTGGCCTCTAACTTGAAGTGGTCCTCCTGCCTTAGCCTCTAAGTGCTAGGATTACAGGCCTGCGCCATCGTACCAGTGGAGACAAAGATTTTAAATCACCTATTTCAAATGTGTTCAAAGAGCTAAAGGAAAGCACATCTAAGTAACTGTTCTATCTAGATGCCTCCCAAGAACTCCATGCACTCATAGAAGGCGCTTCTGGGATGTGACTGCTTTAGGAGGATGTGACAGCTGACTCGTTAGGAGGTGCAGTCTGGTCAGAAGAGGCAGGTCTCTATGGCAATGACCTGGAAGGGTTTAATCTCCCTTCCCAGCTCCTCCCGTGGCCCTGTCTCCTGGCATCCATGACGTAAGCAGCTTCCCTCCACTCAGGCCCTTCCAGGCCACTCCTACTCCAGAGTTTTTAGACTATGGGTGACACCTCTGCATACTATAAGCCAAAATAAACCTCTCCTTTAAATTGTGGGTGTCATGTGTGTGTCTCAACGATGAGAAAGTGGCTAAGACAAAAACCAAGGGAAAATATAAAAATAATGTCATGCCAAATATGAACTCAACACATAGAAATCATAAAAAAGAATTTCTGGAGTTGAAAAAGTATATCTAAAAGACTCTATAGTAGATTTCATCAGGCATTACAACATCTAAATTGAAGATGAGCTAATGGATCATCCAGTCAGAGCAACAGAAAGAAAAAGAATAAAGAAAAATGAACTAAGACTGAGAGACCCACTGGGTACCATTGTACCATTGTACCCAGGAAAAGAGGACGACAAAGGGGTAAAAAAATTAAAGAAATTATGGCCAAAAGCATCCCATATTTGATAAGGCAGGAATCCATACTGTAAGAAACTCAACAAACACCAAGATAAACTCAAAGAGATCTATCTAAATCTAGATGCATTGTGATCAACTAAAGAAGGACAAACAGAATCTTCAAAGAACAAGAACTGACTCATCACACACCTAAGGATCCCTAGTAAGATCCCTTACAGATCCTTTTTCATCAGAAAGTGTGTAGGAGCCAGGCACTGGTGAGGCTGAGGCAGGGAGACTGCCTGAGTTCAAAGCAGAACTGTTGCCTCCAAACAAACAGTGTGTAGGCCAGAAAGCAGGTGGATGACATATTCAATGTGCTGAAAGAAAAAGTCTGTCAACAAAGAATTCTGCAATCAGCAGAACTATCCTTCAAAAATGAGGAAGATGCTGAAGATGTAGGTCAGTGGCAGAACATGTGCTTAGCATGTATGAAGCTAAGGTTTCAGCTTCAGCACCAAAAAAAAAGAAAAGAAAAGAAAAAAGGAGCTAGTAAGAATGAAAGACTTTATTACTGTAGAGCTATTCTATTACAAACACTAAAAGGGGGCCTTCAGACTGAAATAAAAGGCCACTGGATGGTAACTCAAATTTGTATAAGGAAGTAAGTAGGACTAATAGTTAATTATATTCATACATTAATACAAAAGACAGGATAAATATATCTTTAATTTGTATCTTTTTTTTTCCCCTTTATGATTTAAAAGACAACTACATAAAGCAAAAATGGTAAATCTGTAGTGACAGGGACCCAACATATAAACCAAATACTATATATGACAGTAACAGAAAAGAAAGGAAGTGCTGGGTACGGTGGCACAAGCCTATAGTCCCAGCCCTTGGAAGCGCAAGGCGGGAGAACTTCTGTAAGTCTGAGGCCAGCCTGGGCTACCTAGTGAATTCAAGGCCTGTAATCTCAGCACTCTGGGAGGCTGAGGCAGGAGGATCCTTGCAAGTTCAAGGCAGTTCTACAAAGTTGAGCTCAAGGACAGCCTGAACTGTGTAACAACAAAAAAAGAAGTTATACAATGACAAGGTTTTATATACTGTTGCTATTAATCTGAATTAAATTGCTATACTAATTATAATCTTCACGGTTATCATTAGGAACATAATACAAAATGCACAGTAAAGACAACGACAAGAAAGTTAAGAAGTCACTGTAGACTTCTGCTCACTGTCTATCTTATATTACATCATGTTTACAACAAGAAAAACCTGAGTGGCCATTATGGCCTAAGAAACACATCATCAAATAGCTGTGCATATATAAAATCTGGTTATTTATGTTTCTTTCTAAACAGATTACCTTAAATCTGCAGCCATATACTTTCTAGTGTGACATCTCTTTTCTAAGAGAAATGCTGCTTCATGTCAAAAAAATTTACCTTGGGGGGACAAGACAAAGGTGATCACAGTGGCTAAAAATTTTAAAAACTGCCGTATCACTGCATTTTTCTTACCTTCAATATCCAGCAGTGGCTGCTGACTGACAGTAAGTTTGTTTACATCACGATCAAACATTCCTATCAAAGAGGTTTTTAAAATAGCCAACAAAAGCTTCTCTTCTTGTAGTAAAATTTGCCTTTTATCTGGAGTAACATTGATATCAACACATTCTAAGGAGAAAAAGAACACACATTATCATATTTAAATTTACCTTTCACAATAGAAATTTACCTGGCTACTATTTCGTTCACTTCTTCTTACTAAAAACACTACTGAAAATATTACAGTGTTAATTGCACCAGGTGTGGCAGAAGAACTGCAGGTTCAAACCCAGCCTCGGCATTTTAGTACTTCTCAAAGTAAAATAGGGTGGGGATAGAGCTCAGTACAGAGGACCAGGATTTCTTCTCCAGTACCATAAAAATGAAAAATAACATTTTAAAATAAAATTAGCTTTTTCAAATAAACAAGGAAAACATGAACTATTTTTTAAACAGACAATATACTTAAGGATTTGAATGGGTATACTGTGCTGGGTATGGTAGCGCATGCCTGTAACCCCAGCACTTGGGAGACTGAGGCAAGAGGACTGCTATGAGTTCAAAGCCAGTCTAAATCTCAGAGCAAGACCTTGTCTCAAGGGCTGGGGATTTAGCTCAGTGGCATAAGCGCCTGCCTTGCAAGCAGGCAGTCATGAGTTCGATCCCTGGTACCGATAAAAAGGAAAAAGACCCAAAAAAAAAAAAAAAAAAAAAAAAAAAAGATCTTGTCTCAAAAAAAAAAAAACCCAATAAAACTACGTTGAATGGGTCCATTGTAAAAGAAAAGCACATGATATGTTTTGACCTGCGCTGTTGTGTTATGCCCTCTTTTTTTTAATCTCAATCTCCTTTTTATTATCTTTTTCATTTTTATCCTTTTAATTAAGGGAAAAATAAATAAAAAATAGCAGGATATATTATAGTAACCCACTTTGATTTCCTATTAACTTGATTTGAAACTCTGTATTGCTCTCACCATCTTGTTTGGACTGATTTTCCTCTATTCTGTTATGCTTGATAGTACCAAGTTTGAAAGTATAGGCAACAACTATGAAGACAATAAGATTCATTGTGATGCCCATTCTGGTTGACTATTATCTTCTTTTGAAGTCCTGTAATGTCTCCAATGTTTTGGTTTTATTGGTCTTATTCTTTACTGTTTTGTTCAATTTTATTATAACTGATGATATAGGCAATACTTTTTAAGACAACAAGAAGCATTATGGTAATCATTGTTGATCACTTTGTATTTTGTTTTTACATTATGTATTATGTCCATCCTTTTGATTTGACTGACTCTGTCCTGGTACGTCACATTTGGTTTTACTTTCTTCAAAAAAAAAAAAAAAAGTAATAAGAACTGTGGGAGTAATAAAACCCAAAATGTGTAATTGTCATTGTATAAAAGAAAGGAAAAGAAAATTCTCTAAAAGATATAACTGCATATATATTTAAGTGTATAAGATAGATAACCATATTACTGAGTTTTGTTGGATCATTGAACAAAACTGTTTGCAGTCTCACTATTTGAAAGTCCACTTTATATGCTTTAATTTTGTAACTTCAACAACTATTTCTAAGATGACAATATGTAATTAACTAGTGATTTCCTACTGTTTATTTTTTCTGAAATTCTGTGTAACTTGTACCCTTTTTCTGTTTTATTTTTCTCTTAAATAAAATTTAAAAAAAAGCACATGCAAACGTATACAAGAAAAAATGCAAATCAAAGTATTTTATCCTATTGAATTTAGTTTTAAAAAATGACAGTTAGTACACTTTTGCTGAATGTGTAAACTGGTACATTATGCCTAGAATGCAATAAAGAAAAAGCCTGAAAATGATCATATTCACTGAGTCCATGACTGCACCATAAAGAATTTACTTTAAAGATATAGACAATGATTTAATTATAAGGACAGTATTTATAATTCCCAAAACCTGAAAACAAATATCAAAAATCAAAAAATTAGTGGGCTGAGGATGTGGTTCAGTGGTACAGCACTTGTCTACCAGGTACCAGGCCTTAGGTTTGATCCTTAGCACCAAAAAAAAAAAAGACTAAAAATCAAAGTATAACCATGAACTAGACCATTGGAATATAATACAGTATTAAAATCATGCTTTTTAATATAATAACATGGAAAAGAAAACTGTTTACATTTAAGGATAAAGAGCAGGACACCAAATTATTTATACACCCCAAAGGCTAGGTGTGGTATATTTTAAGGAAGCACATACATTATTTCTGAGTAGAGAAAGCAGATGATAAGTCAGAATTTCAGCAATCAGAAGAAAGACATCTGTACAGTATAAGCTTAATTATTCTCAGTGGAACTTACCTGAATCAACAGAAATGTTAAGAACAACAAAAGGATATTGATGTCGATTATACATGTGGTAGACCTCATTCACAAGTCTGGAGACCTGCCCAAGAATGAGCAAACAATAAATATTGCCATCTCTCATTGTTCTAACAACATACTGTTCTAACATTCCACCAAAAGGATCACATTTTATTAAACTTAGTAAGATATGATTCATATGCAATAAACTGCACATGTTTAAATTTTTTTTATTAGTACATTCATAGTACATAATGACTACATTCATTTAGGGAGAGGTGCATATACATAACACACCTTAATTCTTTTTATTCCACTTCTGTTCATTTCTAGATCCCTTTTCCATTTATAAGGGGGCTGGGGACTTAGCTCAGTGGCCTAAGTGCCTGCCTGGCAAACACAAGGTTGTGAGTTTGAACCCCGGTACCAAAAAAAAAAAAAAAAAAACCAAACCAAAACAACAACAACAAAAAAGTACCTTTTCCATTTAGAAAAGAACTAGATCTACAATCAAAATATGTTATTTACTGTCTTTTCCATTGTTCTTTATTCTAAGAGTTTCTCATATAAGAGAACAGACACATTTGTGTGTCTGATATATTTTATTGTATAATTTGATAACTACACACACGAAACTATCCCATAATCAAATACATATTACTCGAAGTTTCCTTGTGTCTCTTAAAGTGATACTTTTTAAACACACACTCCTAAAACTGAATGTTTCCAACCTAAAGATGCTCGTCATGAAATTTTACTGACACGCAAGCACAGTTTAAATGTTCAGAAAGCACATTTAAATGTACTTAGAAATATATTTCACGACACTATAATGAAATTAAATGGCATTAGAGGTAAACCGCTAATTGCATAACATCACACTAATTACAATACAGGTTGTAAACTTTTAGAGGCTAAATCATACCTGGTAGCTATATATTTTTTAAAGTATATATATTTTTAGCGCCTACTAATTTTACAAAATACTGAGTTTCAACCTGACAACTTCACATATGTATACAACATACTTTGATCACATTCATTCCCCTAGTATCCCCTCTTACACCCTAGTCCCTCCTACCCTACCTTCCTCTGCTACAAATAAATAAAACAGAAAAATACTACTGAGACACAATATTGCTAAAGATATAAAAGGCAAAATTGAACCACTTAAAACTCATGTACGTAACTAATTAAGATGATTAGTTTTTAGTCAGAGGCAGAAGTAATCCAGGCCTTTATTTTTCTGATAAGTGGATAGAAGGAAAAGAAAATACAGAAATATAAGCTTATGGTGAATCTATATTGAAGTCCACATGACAGCAAATGTTTTGAAACTTTTCACCAAACAGTGATAGTTTCTATGATAATGAATACACTGGTAATTAATGCGTACTTCATATATTTCTGTGTGTGTGCACCCATATATGTACATAATTGAAAGAAGCATATAGTAGACTTTCTTAAATGCCTAAAATGATTTTAAAGCCTTGTTTCTGAGTCAGTCCCATGATCCGTGCAAATAACCTGTATAAGAAAAAAGTCATGAAATAATTCAGAAATAAACACTTGAAGACTTAAGCACAAACTAATACAAAGTGTGTAAATACCTTTGCAGGGTCACAAGGGCGCCGGTTGATGAAGAAAAACTGTCTATCTGTTGCACTTCTCCCAACACCATGGGTACCGGGTGAGATGAACCCTGAAATACTGTTCCAGAGTGCACAGGATTAGAACATTGAGCATAGGGCAGGCACAGTCTTAAAATCAAGAGTTCCTGCGAATGTGCTACTGACTATTCCTGCTTCTGTTCACCTGCATCTAGCTCCATCCAGATGAATCTCATGGAGAGCCCAGACCTTCCACATGCCCCAAGGCTCATACAGTCAGAAATCCCTCAGAGGCAGTGCAGGGGGCTCACAATGGACTTGGCCAAACCCTCTTTTACTTTCCCCATGAAAGCCCTCTCCACATCAGAACTGGGTCTCACACCCGACACACTCGCAACATCATGGTGCTGTGCCAACTTGCCAATGAAGTCTAGGCACTCGTACACAGGATTTCAGACCAAATTCTGTCTTCAGCCAGCAAACTTACATTTATAAAGGTGCTGGTGACATACTTGTTCTATATAAGAATCTGCCCCAGAGCTGCCTGTATTTTTATAACTTTAACACAAAGAAATCAATTTCCATTTTTGTAATTTTACACACAAGCTAAAAATAGGTAGGGAAAGAGTAAGGGACATGGATTTTCACAAGACCAGTCTTATTCAGGAAGTATCTGTTTTTTATAGTGTTTAAAATCAAGGATGCTGAACTACCTTCACAAAATCCTCAAAGTCAAACACTGCAGATAAATAAAAGCTATTCTAACTGAACAGCCTTAACAAAGACTAATTCAGCAGGAACCACTCTGAAATATACTAGTTAGCCAGGATATTGTTTGAATTAAGTAATCTAGTCTTTCACATAAATTCTCTTTCTTAGTAGAGAGAATGCCCAGTTTTACGTAGGATGTAAAACATAAGCCTTAAAATCACTATTAAAAAGACAAAGAAGACAACACCCTCTGGTTGTCTTCTCTTGGCAGCAATCTACTTACTGAAACAGACTACGCAGTGCATCCGAACAGCTCAGGCCAAACTCTTCACAGACAGAGTCACTAGGGGGCAGCTGAACGAAAGGAATAAGGTTTTGCAACTGAAAGAAACCAAGAGCGATGGTTATTTCTAATAAACAGAGAACAGACCAACCTCCAGAGAAGATGTGCTTTCTTCCCAGTCAAGCTACCCGCTTTAGAAGTACAAAAAAATCCATCAAAGAATCTTGACAACTGCCTAGCAGTACCATAAATGATGAAACGCACGAGCTCTTCTCGTTCATAATCAACACAATGCCCACAATGCTTTGTTCGTGTGCAGTGAGAAAGTTAAAGATGCAGCTTGCAAACATTAACTTTGTGACTGGTACTTTAAAAAACCAGTTCTTGTATTTTATTCTCACTCTAAGGGAAAGGCCATGAAGTCTGTCATGGTCAGGAACAATAAATTATTTTCAGTTACTGGCCACCACTACCTGCTTCTGCCCAAACACAGAGCCAATATTGTCCTTCAGGCTGGTGCTGCCACTTGTGCACACCACAGGCTGCCGCTTTCCTTGTCCGAGCTGATTGGTACAACTTACACGGACGCCTGCTGAAATGATACAGTACGCATGTAAGACCTGGACCATTTTGGCATACTCCTGTTTAAAAAAACAAAACAAAAACACAAGACTCAACATTAATCTTACAGGAACTATATAGCTCAAGTTACAAGATTCTCATACCATTTTGAAAATAAGGGAAAAAACTGTGACAGAACAAACTACGCAGAAGTATCCCTCTACGTGACATGGAAGGCAGCTCAGGCCCTAGCTGCTGGTCACTGACCTCTCACTTGTCCCTGCTGTAAGCATAAAAACGGACATTCATCTCGACCTTGTAACATCTGCCCTAGAAATTTCTTCTTTTTTCTTTTCTTTAAAGATATCTACCCTTGTAGAAAGATAAGCAGACAAAAGTACATTATAAAATGTTCACTGAAATAACCTGTAACTGTTAAAAATCAGAAACAAGCTAAGCAAGCATCATCAAAGACCTAAATTATAATATTATAGCTGTGTCATGGAGGAATGGCAAAGAATAAGACAATGCACACTGACCAAAGAAGACAATTATAATATCTAAGTAAAAAGTCACTTACATACAGGGTATATATGATCCTAATTATTTCAGAAACACCTGAACACGTAAATACTATACATACAGGGGCCTATTTATAGTCTAAAGGGTATAAATCAAACTTGAGAGTAGGGAGAAATGGTTTCAATTTTCTAACACATACAATTTTATATCACTCCAATGCTGAACATTCTATTTCTTGCCTTCATTTTATTAGCTACTATATTTGTCTTGCAATTTTTATAAGCATATAAAATTGACAAGTATCTAAAAAGACATACAAACTGTTAATAATGGTCACCATGGGCAAACTAGTTTTCTGAAGCTCTAATTGTCTGCCTTGAGATGCAAAAGAATGCTATTTTCTCTATTTTTGTAAAATCTAAAAAAGTTAAAATTAGCATAAATTGTTTTACAAGTAAAAAAAATATTTTAGCTACATATGCTTAAGTAATCCTTTGGATTATAAAAATATATGTAAAAGTTAGGTGCAATCATGCACATCTATAATTGCAGCTATTCAGAATGCTGAGGCAGGAGGATCCCACACCTGAGGCCAGCATGGGCAGTTTAACAAGATCCTGTCTCTAAATAAAAATTAAAACAAACAAACAAAACTAGAGATGTAGTTCTGTAGTACAATGCTTGCCTAGCATGTACAAGGCCTTGTGCTCGATTTCTAGCTCCAAACACAGACACACACACACACACACACACACACACACACACACACCCCACACATACACCCCCCCCCCCGCCACATGCTCATAGAATAAATATAAAAAGCCTTAGGAGACTTAGGCAGGAAGATCACTGTGATTTCAAGACAAGCCCGGGTTACATAATGAGTTCGAAGCCAGCCTGAACTACCTAACAAGCCTCTCTCAAAACAAAACAAAACAAAACACCAAAAAGCCAGGCGTGGTGGCACACACCTGTAATACTAGCACGTGGGAGGCTGAGGCAGAAGGATCATTGTGAATTCGAGACCAGCCTGAGCTACAAAGTGAGCTCAAGGACAGCCTGAACTGCATAGCAAGACCCTATCTCAAAAGACAAAAAGAAAGAAACACAAAACAAAAAGGTAAATGATTCTAAGTTCAATCTTGATGGAAAAAAGCAAACAAAGCAGTTTTTAAAAAGAAAATCAAAGGAATAGAATCAACCGAAGAGTAACATCTTTGATAAAGTTTTACTCATGTATACACTATTGATGCTTGTGAAGATGGAAACTGTACATTTAGCATACCTTTTTAATATTCCTTTGAAATTCCTTGTGACGCACAGGTAGTGTATAAAATAACTGCTGAACACTGACTGTTGTCCCTTTGGGTCGTGGACAGGGGGTTTTCTGGACAATTTTCCCATTGTGATCAAAAACAAGTCGAGTTCCAACTTTTGCAGATGTGTGACATGTAGAAATTGTTACATCACTGTAAGAGAACGCAGGCATGGTCTGTCTGGTTAGACAGGATTGGACATAGAATACTTTTTCACTCATTTTTCTTCCTCTCAAAACTCTGAATGGTATCAATCTCTTGATATAATCAATTGAGTTTAAATAGGTAAGGGGTCATCCTAAAATCTAAGGTTTGGCACCTAAAAACTAGTGAGACAGAGACTTCTTTGTTTTGATAAAAGCTTCAATTTTTAAGATTATACTTCAAGACAACAAAGGCTCTCAAAATTTATTCACACATTATTATGGTTGGGGTGTGTAACTCAGGTTGAGGTACAGCACTTGCCTCACTTGAGGGCTAGGTTTAACCCTTGGTACTGCAGAAAAAAAACAAAAACAAAACTTAAAATGTTATGACTTGTATCTAGGCTTCCTCCCAAAGCCTCATGTGCTCATAGGTGGCTGGATGTAGGGCATATGAATACAGATTAAGGGTGTGTGACATCCACAGACAGTACCCTCTCTGGGGTAGCACAGCTCTGGGTATGGCTGAGTGGATTACTAAAGAGGGAAGTCCCACCCTGGGTGTGAGTGGCACCAATCAATAGGCTTGCAGCCTGCATGGAATACAAGGGAAAGGAGTCAAGTTAATGGATAAAAATATTGTATCACCTCAGTGCACAGAGTGAGCTCAGAGCTTCCCCCCGAAAGCCAAAAGTTTCAACCTGAGTGAGGTCAGCAAACTCTTGAATCTTAGAAGTGTGATGTTTCAAAGCTGAAAGAGAGTGTAAAGTAAGGCCCAAGATGACTCATGTGACAGAGTAATGAATATACACAATACCATCAAGTAACTGCATTTAAAAGCTGCTTTTGGATTTCCTAAGACAGCGTTGCTCAAAATTCTGGGATATTTGGCCTAGTTATGTTTAATAGGATTAGAAAAATTCAACTTACCCAAGCCTTCAAAGTTTTCTTCTTCTACCCCACATCCATTGTCTGAAACTTCGATGAGATCCACCCCATAGTCTTTAAGCCTTAGATCTAAAAATTTTAAAGCATTTACTTCTCAAAGACTAACACATAGTAAAAACAAGCTTTTATAATGATTCACACAACAGGAGTCATTACTATACTTTTACTTAAAAAAGTACTGCTGTCATTTTGTATATTTTAAGTCACTGGGGTTATTAACTCAAATTAAATAGTATTTTAAAATTTTTCTTCAAAGGGATAATTTTAACAGTCATTAAAGAGAACAGACTCTAGAAAAAGACTTCGTAGGTGATAGTTTACTAGCTTTATAATCTCAAAGTAAACTCCTTATACCTTTATTTCCTGATTAGTATAAGGGTGATAATTCCTAACTCATAGTTATTTTGCATATTGTATAAATATTCTATGCCTTTTTTTTTCTTTGTTTTTGATAGGATCTCACTATGTAACCCAGGCTGGTCTAGAACTCACTGTTGCCCAGCTGGCCCTGAACTCCCAGCAATCCTTTTGCCTCTCAGCCTCCAGAGTGCTGAGATTATAGGTGTGCACCACCACACCCATGTGTAATTCTTACCACAATGCCTGTCTGGCTCACAGTAAAAACAGAATGAAAGGTAAATACTTACCATTGGTATTCTTGCCACCTAGCCAAGTACTATGAACTTAACTGCTAACATTAAGCTAATAATTTATTGGCATACCAACACTGAATTATTACCATAACAAAAGTTTTTTAAATAAAAAAACACAAACTGGTGGCTTAAAACTTTCCTAAACTTACCAATATTAGTGGCACCAGCATCCACGCTATTTTCTACCAACTCCTTCACAGCAGTGCTGAGACTGAGTACCACTTGCCCAGAACAAATCTGATGGACCGACTTCCCATCAATAGCTTTGATGGCCTTGGCAGGTTCTGTACTAAAGAAATCAGTTACAAGAAACAAAGCAAGCATTCAAACAAAGCAAGTAGTGGATCTACGTCCTGATTTTAACAGTAGGAAATAAATAATGCTAGTATTACTAGTAGTACACTAGTATTAATTACTAGTGGGTTTAATCCTTTTATTTACTACATGCATACCCATTATGTTTACAAACATAAGTATTGTTTTACAATCCTTAAAATATCTGCCAAAAACGCTTGTGAATAAATGTGTCACATTCAGCATTTAAAACGAAAGCATACATGTATTTATCTGGGAGAAAGACATATTGCATACACACAGCATCCCTGAAGCTATATAATCTTTTACAACCATGGGATTTGTCTGGTAAAGTGAAAGCAACCCTCCGCCCCACGATTTAAAACACCCCCACACGATTTAAAATACAAGAGAAACAATGTTTACGCCAAACCATGGTAAGAAAGTGAGTGCCAACAGTAAAATAATAATCCCCGAGGTTGACTTTGAAACATCAATCCAAATTCAAGGAACCCAATGCCGACTTAGCAAAAGCCCTCCAAGTTGTTCATGTACTGGGTTTCAGAATCTTACTACGATTTGTCCAGGACTCTAAAACCACAAATCTGATCAAATAATTTCTATGTTTAAAAAGTTTCTAAAAAGTGCCCCACTGCCTATTAAATTTAAAATCTAGTCCTAAAGCCTGGAGTAGTGGCGCATGCCTGTAATTTCAAGCAGTCTGAACAGCTTAACAATTCAGCCAGACTTTGTCTCAGATAAAGGGACAGGGAGTTAGTTACTCAGTGCAAAGCGTCAGAGTGAAAAAATCTAGTTGAGTAGGTCTCAATTCTGTTGCCCTTCCCCAAGTCTACGCTAATCACAGTGAACAACTGTGAATAAGACAAGCTCATGGACACTGCTTTGTAATTCTGTCTCGACTGCTCCCATTTTCTCCTCTGCCTAGTTACCTCCTGCTCATCTCCAGAATGTATTCCACACTTTCAGTAACGTAGCACTTTTTAGCAAATCATCCCATAATTCAGGTATCACGGAACATAGATATTCCCGGAATTCTGCACACTTCGCACAACATCCAACACACAGCCTGTCTTCAACAAACCCCAAACAATAAGAGACTAAACAAACCTCTTTAATGCTCATTTTACTTGCAAAGAATTTCACTTGTCTACAATGTGAAACTGTGGATGACTTCACATACAATGGGAAATATCTCTGAAAACTAATTTACCTAGTAATACACTATAGACTACAGGTCTGTTTTCTATATTTATTCTGAGCTGGGCATGGGACACAACATTTAAAGACAACACCTAATTTACTGAATATTGAATGCATCTGTGTTAGTCGAGTAACAGAATTCAGGTATTGTTTGTCTGCTAGAGATGAAATACTCAGAGACAGAAGTAATTCAATGTCATTATTCAATGTCATAATTCAATGTCCCCTACCCCACAGCCCCGCTGCTGGGAACTGAACCCAGGGCCTTCGCAGGGAGCTACATTTGCAGGCTTTTTTTTTTTTTCTGGACAGTCTTACTAAATCGCCCAGGCTGAGCTGGAACTTGCGATCCTCCTGCTTCAGCCTCCAATAGCGATAGGGTTACAGGCCGGGCCACTGCGCCTGGTTTCCATCGAGTTCGCTGGCAGGTCCTGTGGTAACTCCAGCATTGGGCCCCAGACGTGGGTCCCTGCATTTCTAAAACCCGTGCAACTATGTAAATTAGCGTGCGCCTTGACGCTCCTCTCTTCCCCTAAAATAGGCTCCAGGTAAAGATAGAGTGAGTGCATTCTATGGGAATGTGTCCTGCTCTGGCTTCAGGTCCACCGCATTCTGACGGCGTCTGAGGGGGCTCGGACGCGGGCCGAACCCAGCACCCCAAGGTGCCGAGCCCTAACCAGGAGTCCGAGAGAGCCAAAACCGGCTGAGAACGCAGCTCCAGGGCCCCTGCGCTTCGGCCATTCCCGATCTTTCCTGGGGCCTAGAATGCTATGGGCCTCACAGAGGCCCGAGAGGACACCTCAGGCCCGCTCACCTGGTGCTCTCAACTAGCTCCATGGACGACAAATGCTTCTCGCATCCGGTAAAAGCAAGAGTTCCCGCCGCCACTCCCACAAGAAGGAGCCTTATCTTCCGCCCACTCATTGGCTGCTTTGGCCACTGAATCCCGCCCCTTCCGGGCGGGAGGGGGGGTGGGAAAAAAAAAGTACTCAAATTTCCTTCTTGTTGATTGGATATATCAAAGGGCGACTCAGTGACGTCAAGAAGACCCGAACCAATTACAATGCAAGAATTGCATTTTCTCAAACGCCAGTAGGTAGGGTCAGAAAGAAAAGTGGCCGCAGTTCATGGTGGTTGAGGGTGGCTTCTGGGCGGTTTCTGAGCGTACGTGTTCTACCGCCGCCACTTTTCTTCCTTTGGTTCCTGCGATGCCGATGTACCAGGTAAAGCCCTATCACGGGGGCGGCGCGCCGCTGCGTGTAGAGCTTCCCACCTGCATGTATCGGCTCCCCAACGTGCACTGCAGGACCAGCAGCCCCGCGCCTGACGCGGGCCACGTGCAGGTAGGAGTGCGGGCCTCTTCGCAGTGCGCACGCGCAGTGGTCGAGCCGGGTGCGGCCCTCCCCATCACCCCGTGACTTTACAGTGTGCTGGCTTCGCGGTGGCTACGGGCCTTGGGCCCTGGTGCTCCTGGCCCTGGCCAGCGGATCCCTGGCTAGCGGGTACACAGTCTAGCCCAGCCTCCAGCCCCACCGTGGCCTTGTGAGCTTGCCAACCAACAAGACGCTTTAACTTTTCTTAAAAATAAAAAAGGTCTGTCCATCTTTATTTTTTTGACATATAATAACTTTTTTTATTACAAAGTTTTGCCACACAGGAAAGGAAATAATTCTTAATTATTTCTCACTTTGAGGGATTACAGAGAAAACCTCAGGATCACCACCACCGAGGTGGACACACGTTATCAGTGCCCGGCTTTTACACCTTTGCCCCCAAAGATCCTTACTTGGTTTTCTATTATTATTTTGCCAACTAATTATGCATCTTCAGTTGTCTTGATGTAAGTAGAAGCCTTCTTACATCTCTATGGCTGGCTTTTTTGTAGACTTGTCTTTTTGTTGCAACAAGGAAGTCCTTTTCTGTGCAGTATGCTGTTCCATTGTATGACTCTTCCACCATTACTTATCCCTCCAACTGCTTGTGGGCGCTTTTCCATTTTATGGTGCTATCAGTAATTCTGCAGTGAATATTCATACCAGCTGATATAGGGCATATACTAAGGAACAGGATTGCTGGCACAGTGGAGTCTGTCTTCCACCTTAACTGGATAAATTACTTCCTAAGTGGTTATACTGGTTTATGTGCTCATCAGCCTTGGCGAATTCCTCCTGACGTTTGCACATTTTCTAAGTTAAATATCTTTTCACGTTTCCTGGCAGTTCTTTTTTTTTTTTTTTTTTGTCTTTTTCTTTTTTATCGGTACCAGGGATCAAACTCATGACTGCCTGCTTACAAGGCAGGTGCTAATGCCGCTGAGCTAAATCCCCTGCCCCCTTCCTGGCAGTTCTGATTACATCTTTTGTAAGTACTTTGTAGTCTTTCACTCAGATCTTTCGCTCTTTTATTTATTGCATATACACATCTGAAGTTTCCAGTGGAGAAATGTTGGGACAGGAAATGAATGGATATCTTCTCTGGTCAGTTTTCCTGCCATATATTGTCATTTGTCTTCATAGCTTTCTTCCAAGATTGGAAGGGAGATGGTTAAGTTAGTTTGAAACCCAATGACATTAACAGTTGTTTCATCACAGAGCTAAAGATAAAAATAGCAGATATGGTTCAGTGGCCCTTCAATTAGAGACTGCCACAGAACCATGACCAAGTGCCCCTTTAACTGCACAGTCCAAGAAACCAAAAAGAAAACCCAAGAGTCGAGGGTTATTCATGACCAAGTTTTAAGTCTGCTGCTTGACTTCCTGTGAGCTTTGCTTGAACTTCTGACTCACAAGACACACAGTCCTGCTGCTCTAGCAATTATCTAGCACAAGATAATATAAACAATTAGGAATCAAGTGAGTCTAGTGTAAATGAGAGCAATACAAAAAGTCAGCAGCATCTATGAAAGTATATATATATATATATATATATATACACATCGGTATATATATATGTGTATATATGTATGCATATATATATATATATGTATCTTCATAGTCTATTCTTAGCAAGAACAACTACAGGCCAACATAGGAAGGTACTGAGGAGATAAAACATACCTCAAGCAACTGGTTTTGTTTTTTTTTTTTTTTTTTTGTCTCTTTCCTTTTTTATCGGTACCGGGGATCGAACTCACGACTGCCTGCTTGCAAGGCAGGCGCTTATGCCGCTGAGCTAAATCCCCAGCCCCAAGCAACTGGGTTTTACCCACATCAACAGGAACTGGGTCAAGCCATTTGAGAAATCACAGACCACATCACAAGTGCAGTTCTCACCCCAGGCATTTTCAGTGTGTATTGACTGTTTTGAGTCTGGCAGCTGCTTTGGTCCTAGTGGGGTAGGCATCCTGCTGCCATTTGTAGAATGAACAAGATTGTGCAGGAATGATACACAAATATAGGCTGAGTAAATGAGATTGGAAAGATGCAGTATTTCCAGTATTACTATTACTCTAGTGTCACTCAATATTTTCAGTATTATGCAGTATTACTCAGTGATCACCATTGAGTAACATAAGACTATTATTACACAGGTACAAGTCCTGTCACACATCTTGTGTTCAGACATTTCCAGTCAGCACCTAATTATTTAATTGGCGTCTTTCAGTCTGTACTATCTAGAAGTCAATGGGCTTAATTGTCTTTGCTGTCTAATCTTCAGAGCAGAGCTTTGCCCCCAAAGATCCTTAATTGGTTTTCTATTATTATTTGCCAACTAATTATGCATCTTCAGTTGTCTTGATGTAAGTAGAAGCCTTCTTACATCTCTATGGTTGGCTTTTTTTTGGTAGACTTGTCATTTTGTTGCAACAAGGAAATCCTTTTCTGTGCAGTATGCTGTTCCACTGTATGACTCTTATTTTGGGAAAGTGAGTAAGTAGTAATTAAGTTTGAGCATAAATAGGAGTTAACCTAAACAGGACAAAACAGCATGTATAAAGGTCCTGTGGTAGAAGGGAACATGGTGTTTTAGGAATTCACAGTACAGTGTGGTTAGAGCAAAGAACAAGGGACAGAACTATAAAAGTGAAAGAACCAGGGCCCAAGTCATACAGATATTTATTAAGCCATAAGAGCTTAAGTTGTATTTTAAGAGATTAAGAAGTTAGCACAGAGGACATTATAACAAGATGTGAGTTTTTAGAAATCTCTGGCTGGCATCTTACAGGGATGGAGTAGAGAGGTAGACTAGCCAAGGGTACAGGTGACCAATAAGAAAATAGATCAGGTGAAAAATGAGGCCTGTCTTTGGCACAGATAGTGGAAACATGCTTAAAAGCCAGAGAGGCCTCCAAAAATATTTGGGAGGTAAAACTAAAACCTTATGGCCAGTTGGATATGTGAGAGAGGGAGGTGTAGTGGAGGAACAAATGTCCTAAAAACACCGGACTTCCCTGCACATGATGTGAACAAATACTGGACTCCTCCCATTGTATCATGAGTACTTTTTTATAATAAGCTCAATAGCTCTGCCATATTCTTGACTTCTCTGTCTGATTGTGGGCATTTTCCTCAAATATATTCTTTCTCAAAGTAGAAATCAAATCATTCAAAGAATGATTTGAATGTAGGTTGTACAATTTGACTTTACTGGGAGATTACTAGGTATTGTTTTTTATAGTGAGTGTGTAGGGCCGGAGATTTAGCTCAGTGGCCTAAGGGCCTGCCTGGCAAGTGTAAGGTAGTGAGTTCAATCCCTGGTACCGAGAAAGACTGCTGCTCCCTAAAGTAAGTCTATAACTTAAGACTTATTCATAGGCAAATATTATGGTTATTTACTGTGTGCCAGTGACCACTAGGTAAGAAGACACAGATTCACTGACTGAGGGTTATAAGTTCCTACTTCATGAAGTGACACATTTCAGTAGTCAAAAGGTTCTAGATCAGAGATGGTGAACTTTTAGAGACTGAGTGCCCAAACTGGAACCCAAAACCAACTTATTTATTACAAAGACCCAACATCACAGTTAAACCTGAATACTGACCAGCCTTGTGGAAGGGCAAGCCTTGGATAGGTGGCAGCTAATGAGTTGTAGCTCACTGACGTCGTAACCTGGCACCACTACTCCTTTCTGAGTGTGCACATGGCTCCGGTGTGCACTGCTATTCAGTGCTCGGCTGCTGGGGCAATGCTGGGACAGCGTGGTTCGTGAGTGGACAGAGGGCCATGAGTGCCTGCTGAAGCCCATGTACCATAGGTTTGCCACTGTTCTAGATGACTCTAAGACAACAGGATACTGGTACTGCCTCAAAATGATTTAGGCAAGCAGTTTCCTGCACCAGCAATCTCCTGCTGTGCAAAGACCTCTTTTAAATTTGTGTGAGCCACCTTTTCCCTTATTTGTATACACTAGTAAATTCCATTCTCACTGGTTCCATCCACCATCTTTCCTACTTATTTAAATGAAGTATTTTGAATTAGTTTATTTTTGAAGTGAAGAATGCAGGGGTCAGGAATTTAGCTCAGTGGCCCAGCACCTGGAGGTCTTGAGTTTGATTCCTGGTACCCCCCAAAAATAAAGAATGCTGGCCTGGCCTGGTGGTAAATGACTGTAATCCCAGCTACTCAGGATCTGAGACCAGTCTTGGCATCTTACCAAGAATTTGTCTCAAAATAAAATAATAAAAAGGGCAAGGGATGTAGCTCTGTGCTCCTAGGACTCAATCCCCAGTACTACAAAAAAAAAAGAATACTCAGGGCAGTTGAGGCCGAGGATCCCTTCAGCCCAGGAGTTTGGGCTCAAGCTAGACAACATAAGGATACACTATCTCTTAAAAATTAATTAAAATAGGGCTGGGGATTTAGTGCAGCATCATAAGCGCCTGCCTGGCAAGCGTGAGGTTCGATCCTTGGTACCAAAAAAAAGATTAATTAAAATAAGACTAGACTGACTGATTTCTACTATCCTTTTATTGTTAAAGTAAATTACTTGAAATAGGAATCAGAGCATTTCTAAATGACTTTCAGTCACATTTTTTATTTATTTTAGAACATCTGTGGTTCTGTTTGCAGAAACCTATTAAAAATGAGATAACTGCCACTTTGATGTAATGTATGTACTTATTTACACTACTGGGAATTAAATCCAAGGCCTTTGCACTGAACTACATCACTAGAACTTTTTTATTTTTTGACAGGGTCTCACTAAATCAATAAATCACTAAAAGTTGCCCATGTTGGGCTCAAACTTTCAGTCTTCCTGCCTCAGCCTCGCAGGGTCCTGGGATTACTTGTAATGTCTTTAACACTGTAATATTTAAACTTGTAATGCACCTTGTAATGTCTTTTAAACTTGTAATGTCTTTTAAAGGGAGAGAGGTTTGTTAGTGCATAGGACAAAGAAAAGTGGTCATATTTAGACAGACTGCTTTGAGAGAAAATGACTGCTTGGTTGTTTCTTTAGGAGGCATCAGAGCCCTCACTGCAAGCTCTTGAGTCCCGCCAAGATGATATTTTAAAACGTTTATACGAGTTGAAAGCTGCGGTTGATGGTCTCTCCAAGATGATTCACACTCCTGATGCAGATGTGGATGTAACCAACATTATCCAAGCAGATGAGCCCACTGCCCTGATGACCAATGCATTGGACTTAAATTCAGTGCTTGGAAAGGTAGGTTTGTTTTCAAAAGCTGAGAGACATCTGTGTGCTAGATAGTTGTTACTGCCAGAAAATTGTGACAGCCTGATTTTGCCTTGGCTTTCTGGTCCTCAAAAGGTGGAGCCCTTGTTCTTCATTTGTCCCTGATTGTGTCTTAGCACACAATAGATTTGCATGGCATGAATGAAGCCAAAGCAAGCTGTAAAAGCTGCCTCTTCTCAGATGGAGTGGAGAACAAGGTGGAGCCAGAGGCCCAGAAGGGAGTCAAGAGTCACAGCCACTTGCCATCTCAGGTCTGTCCTGGTTAGTCTTTGAACCTTGGAGGAGAAGGTTCTAGCTGGTTTGGCTGAGCAGAAGTGACTTGACTCTGTTTGAGAAAGCCCATGTGTCTTGGCTGCCCAGGCACAGAGATCCCATCAATCCCTTTTGAACTACATTGCTGAAAGCCACTCATACTAAGGATGTCTTTTGTTTAAATTCAGTTTGCTTTATTAAAAGTAAGTTGTTTCAGCCCAGCCTTCACGACTGTTTACAGGCTTCAGCTAATTTAGGAGGCAATCCCATACACAAAGACTATCTTACATGGCAAGTATCTTACAAAGTGGTATCAAAGGATACAAAGGGTTTGTCCTAAGATTCCTTACTAATACCTTCCTGTAGAATTGGTGATGGAATGGTGCAAATCAAAGACTTAAAAAATGGAAGTAAAGTTGCAGTGTCTCACCCAAGGGTTTTGTTTCTGGCAACTTCAGTGCCCTGTCTTGGTGTATTCCTTCCCCTGCCCATGCATTCATCCTATACGTGTTTTTTGTGTACTAAGGACTCAGCCAAGACCTGACCAGGCCCCAGGGAGCCGTAGTCTCACAGTGAGTCTGGGAGCATGCACAGTGATTTCTCATCGTGGTGGAAAGGCTTCCCAGAGCACATGGTGCTCAAGGTGAATTTTGACACCTTATTGGCAGTGTCAAGTAATGTGATCTTGGTTCAGGGAACTGGAAAAGCATTCAGCCCTTGGTATGAAGGGTACTGAGTAACAGTGGCAGGCTGTTTAGAAAAGGCTAAAGCACTGCTGTGACTATCTACATGAGGGATGTTTTTGCTGCTGTTATTACAGTTTTTGTCTTTTTGAGACAGGGTCTTGCTATGTACTTCAGGCTGGCCTTGAACTCATTCTGTAGCGTAGGCTGGATCCACCTGCCTCAGCCTCCCAAATGCTGGGATTATAGGAGTGCTCTGCCATACCCGGCTTGTTGTTTTTTAAAACAGGGTCTCACTTTGTAATTCAGGCTGGCTTTAAAGTTGCAGCATTTCTTCTGCCTCTGCCTCCTTGATTGCCGGGATTATACGCACTGGCACACTGTCCTTTCTCCTCATTACCAGTGATCTCTAGAGTCAGGACCCTTTTTCAAGGGGCTGTTCATTGAAACCCTGATGAACACAAACTGATGTAGATGCCAAAAGTGGTCAGCATTAGATATGGAGGCTGGAAGAATTATATGTGTACATCTTTAATGTTTCATCTCATAGAAAGGAGGACCATCAGAAGTATGGAAGTATCGTCTCTGACTCACTGTTAAATGAACTTGATAGTAAAGTCCATTTTTTTCTTTATTGGGAGCCAGCAGTGGAGGGGTCAGAAGATGGGAGTCAACCCAGCTCCCCTTTTATGGAGTTCAGTGAACAATGAATAAGTTACTTGCCTTTCCAGGACTCAAGTTTTCCCAGCTGTTAAGTGAGGGTATTAATGATGACTTCCTCATGGGATTTAATTAAGTTCCTAGGGTTGCACCTGGTAAAACTGCACTGAAGATTACTCACATTGACTGTATGCCTTTTGGTCTCCCCGCAGGATTATGGGGCGCTGAAAGACATTGTGATCAACGCAAACCCAGCCTCACCTCCCCTTTCCCTGCTCGTGCTGCACAGGCTGCTCTGTGAGCACTACAGAGTCCTGTCCACAGTCCACACGCATTCATCAGTCAAGAGTGTGCCTGAGAACCTTCTCAAATGCTTTGGGGAACAGACTAGACAACAGGCCCGTCATGAGTATCAGCTGGGCTTCACCTTAATTTGGAAGAATGGTAAATAGAGAAGAACAGGTTGAACTTTCTATGTGATAGGATGTATGCTGGGTTTTGGTTAAGAGGCAGCAGAGTTAAGATGTTCTGGACACATGCTATAGCTCTTTGCTGTCAGGTCAAATCTTCTCCAAGACAAAGTTCCAGAGATTTCTGAATACTGGAGAAGAGCTTTCTGTCCAACCAGGCACAGCCTTCCAGCCTCTATAGTCCAGAACTTGTTCCAGGGACACTGATGTTTCCCTGTGGGCCTCAAAGGGTAATCATTTATTCATAATCCCAGAGTTGGATCCTCTCTTGGTTAGGTTTATACAACAGAAGTGAGTTTATATCCTCCAGTCATGCCTAAACTGCCCTCAGCCCCACGTAGGTAAAGTAAGCGCAGACTGTCCCGTCTGGGGCATGAGACTCCTGATTTCCCATCCTCAGCCTCCAATCCCTCAGCACAAGGGTTAGAAAAGATGGTCTGAGATCCCTTTCTAGCTTGAAAACTTAAAAAGGCTACTAGCTTACTTTTTTAAATCTTAGTTAGCATTTTGAAACTCTTGCATATCAAACCTGTTAAGAGACAGATGAAAACGGTGATGTTTTAGAAAATATACTGATGATTGTCTGTGACTTTCCCCTTCCACACAGCACAAATATGTCCCTCAGGGGCTGCTACTCTGGTTGTCATTACATGGCCTGTTTTTCCTTTTCAGTGCCCAAGACTCAGATGAAGTTCAGTGTCCAGACGATGTGCCCCATCGAAGGAGAAGGGAATATTGCACGTTTCTTGTTCTCTCTCTTTGGCCAGAAGCACCATGCTGTGACCTTAACCCTTATAGATAGCTGGGTAGATATTGCTATTTTTCAGCTAAAAGAGGGGAGTAGTAAAGAAAAAGCAGCTGTTTTCCGCTCTATGAACTCTGCTCTGGGGAAGAGCCCATGGCTGGTCGGGAACGAGCTCACTGTGGCAGATGTGGTGCTCTGGTCTGTGCTCCAGCAGACTGGGGGCTGCGGCACAGCAGCACCTGCCAATGTGCAGAGATGGCTAAAGTCATGTGAAAACCTGGCCCCTTTCAACACTGCCCTCAAGCTGCTTAAGTGAATTTTAGTAACTGACTTTAAAGAGTTTCAGTTTTAAAAATGATCCTGCCTCATGCCTATTTGTCAGTAAAGAGACTTAAAAAACAGAATCAGTCTTTATTTAAGCCAGTTGTCAAGTATCAATAAAATCATCATATAATTGGTGAGTTTGGGTTTATATTGGTTTATTCAGCATGATTGTTTCCAACACCATGAGGACTGTCAATTATGGCACGGACTTACTGGGGTGTTGAAATAGTATTTCAGAATAGGCTTCATTCTGAGGAGTCTAGGTCATGAAAGCTACTTAAGGAAAAGGTAACCAGGTATATACTTTTACAGCTTTCAAAAGACTTATACAAGCTTATTAAATACAACTAAGAAATCATATTCTGTACACCAAAGATTGAAAATTTACATTCCAGTTGACTATTCTAAGTCCACTTTCATGTTACTGATACAGCCTTAATTAAGGCTAGCTAGAATGTCCTCATTTTTTACATCATCCTTTTACCCCTTTATCCTGAGAAAGGAGACTTAGCTGCTTCTTTAGTGCTTCAATTTCTTTTTCTTGCTCTATTATTTTCATCTGTAGGGTGAGATTAGCCTGTAAAGAGAAAATTTTAAGCATCATTAAAATAGCTACCTCTTACATACACAGGTTGTACTCACTTTGCACATTTCCTGTATGCATAAATTCTAGTCTTCACAGTCCGTGTTTCCAGCCACTCAACAGTGGAAAGTCAGTTGTCACTTATAGTGGTCCTTCAGTTCATGAACACCTTTGTTTGCAAACAGTTTGGTTCACAAACAAAAGCATTTTGCAAAATTTCATTTTTGTTTGTAAATTGTGCATCAGGTAACAAACTTGACTACAACCATCTTTCTCTCACAAACATGAACATGGCTATCTTTTCTAAGATCACAGAACAAATTAATTTGTGAGTGGACTGTCTGTGCTTGGTTCATTGCATCTTCCCGTTCACAGCAACATGGGTGTGTTGCCTGCATGTCTTCCAGCGCACAGCCTATGTCAGATTTTTAACCACTTAACAGTTTACTCTGAACATCACTCAGACAACGCATTTGTTTATGGCAGGTGTCATTTTAACCAGTTGATTCTCGTATTGAATAAACTGGATAAAATTGTCATTTTTGTATTTCCTGTTGTAAAAAAGAACAAAAAATGTACAATTTTTGATTATCCTATATTTAAATGATTGGACTGGAAAGTGGTTAAAAAAATGGGTAAATAAAAGAAGATACTGGCCAGCAGAGATAAAAGTGCAGCCAAGTGATAAAGGGATGATGCTTGGGAGCAAATGTGAATTGAAGTTAAATGCTGTCACAGAAAAATGATCTGGTTAAGAACTGTATTGTGTATGTAATTTTCAAAAACATTCAATGAGAGAAAAGTATTACATCTCTTCATTTAAGTTTATAAATAGTTTATCTAAAAATCAATAAGCCTTAAAGACAAATTACCTGATTTTCTTGAGGGATTCTGGGAATGAAAATAGGTTTAACACTGCACTGTACCCCTAGTGCCTCTTCTACAGTCACCATTTATGGCTCCCAAAGTACCACATGACAGCATCACTTCAAGGGCTGTTACACTACAGACTGCTGCAGCCCCCCCCCCCCCAATTTCTCTTAATAGGTTGACAGGAGAAAGCCTAAGGATTCTTCTATCACTTCCTAGGGGATTTCTGCTGACCCAGAGAGCACTGCTAATCAAACACTGCAGATTACTTGGGAATCCTGCTGAACTGCTGATTCTGACTCAGAACACTAGGGGAGCCCCAGACAGCACTGCTGCAGCTGGGTCAGAACCAAAATTTGTGTAGCAAAGTACTGAAGTATCTGAATATACCTTAGAATCAAGCTTTAATTAAAGCTTAACAGTTTCTGGAAGAATACAGTGAACAAGTTAGCTACCTTTTCCAATATACACAGACTAGAGACTATACTTGGCACTGAACCTTGTGTCAGGGAGGAAGGGAATAAAGCACCACCACACCAGAGGACTGAAAAACAACATAACACAGTTGAACTCTGAAAGCTCTCAGTGGTGAAGGCAGCCAGGTGTGTTGGTGCACACCTGTAATCCCAGCACTGAGAGGCTGAAGCAGCAGGACTGCCACAAACTCAAGGCCAACCTGAGCAATACAGTCAGTTCAAAGCCAGTTTAAGCTGACTTTGAACTGACTGTATTGGTACACAGTGAGGCCTCGCCTCAAAAACAAACAAACAACAAAACAAGTGGCAGTGTGCCACCACTATTCCAACTCTCAGAATTATTACTCTTATTTTACCCTTTGGTGTGTGTCCCTTTTTACTAGGAGGAACTTCTGTAATAATATAGAAAGTGAAGAATACATACACAAATGGAGCAGCACTGGGGACTGAACCTCGGATCTTTACACTAAGCTATATCCCTAGCCCTTCTTTTTTTGAGATAAGGTCTTGCTAGGTAGGTAAATTGACTAAGCTGAGCTTTAAACTGTGACCCTCTCTTAGCCTCCCAGAGGATTACAGGTATATGTCATTATGCCCCAGCTATATTATCTTTTTTAGACTAGACCACTGGCAGGGAGTCAATTGGTTTTGGGAACTAGGAATAAATGAATTCTAATTTAAAACCTCTATACTCTCCCAGTATTAAAGAAAAGAAGTTCCATACATTTCCAGGAGTTTGGAAAAGTTCACTCTGCAGCAGCTGATGAGCAGATGGTCTCTGGGCTGCATTCCTGCTGGTAAGGTGCTGGATGTATTTGGCCTGCACTGGGGACCTTTTACTGAGCGACTCAGGAATCCGACCAGTTCTTACACCCGTGAGAACTGCTGCTCGCTCCATCTCTGTCCCGAACGGCTGAAAGAGCTCGAGCAGGATCACACCCAAGCTGTACATGTCTGACTGGAAAAGGAGGACAAAAGCAGTTCAAAAGTGAAATATGAAGTTAGACTAACATAGTTTTGCTGTGTACATCATTCTCCAGCAAACAAGGATTTCTATGAATGAGGACTTAGGAATCTACAAAGAAGGGAACGCAGAAGAATGGCGCATACCTCGCAAGCAGTTGTCTGTACTAAGAGATAATCACCAGGTCTCTCTTTTTTGATGGGAAAAGGGGACCAGTAATGGGGACTGAACCCAGGGCCTTCACAATTAACTACATCCTCAGCCTTTTTAAATATTTTCTTTAGAGATAGGGTCTTGTTAAAGTTCCTAGGTTGTTCAGGCTGGGACAGAACTTGTGATCTTTTTGCCTCAGCCTCCCAGAACACTAGAATTCTAAGCATGTGCCAGCCATCATGCCCAGCAACCCATCTCTTTAATACCCAGCAGGGGTATCCACAGGCTTGCAGAATGGATGGTTAAGTAGCCCCTACCACTGTTTTCACCACTCTATGATAATCCAGGCCTGATCCAAATGGAGTGACAGGAGCTCAACACTACTGATGTTGGGGTCAGGGACTATCTCCCAGCTCTTCCTCTGGTTTCACCTCTGCTTCTACCTATAAATAAGCATTCTTGGTAACATTTACAAATTCTGTGTAAAATCCCCTGCTTTCCTAAAAGTAGGTTTTATAAAAGTCTTCACTACATTGGTAATTAGGCGCAGCCTATAATCTTTTCTAGCAGCTCTTTCTTAATCACTAAAAAACTGAATGAGTCATCCTAAAAAAAAAAAAAAAATGTACTAGGCTGTTATTTTGAAAAGAGGATTTACTTAGCATTTCTTCAATGGGGATTAAAACCTTAAGAGTATCTTCATTCTCTTACAAGGAGAATCAAATAGCAAGCTTCCTTGTGGTATGTGTTTATCTAAGCTGCAAGTGAGAATAAAAGGCTAAAGACAGGTTTACATGGATTCTAGTTCCCTGAGGTGAATGGTGACATTTTAAGTAAGTTTACTTCAGGAACATGCTGCGACATCCATGGATCTAGAAATAGCCTACAGGGCAATGTAGTCAGGTTTGGCTAAAAAAATGACATTTTAGGAACAGAAGGGTACTGGGGATTGAACCTAGGGGTCTTTGCATTGAGCTACAGCCCTGGCCAGTTTTTTACTTTTATTTATTTATTTATTTTTGGTCTTTTTCCTTTTTATCGGTACCGGGGATCGAACTCACGACTGCCTGCTTTCAAGGCAGGCGCTTATGCCGCTGAGCTAAACCCCCAGCCCGTTTTTTACTTTTAGACAGGTCTTGCTAAACCAATCAGGCAGGGCTGAACTTGCAATCCACTTGCCTCAGCCTCCCACAGTGGTAGGACTATAGGCATAGGCCATCCCAAAGTGAGCTAAAATAAAGCTTGTTCTTAGTAAAATTTCATCAACATATCACCTATAGGACTCGGGTATCTCCAAAAACACCCCTACCTAGAACTCTACATGTGTAGTAATGTTAAAATTAGACAGTAAGTCAAAAGCAGAAAAAGTAACAGCTACTACCTTGGCATCATACTCAGATCCTTCCAACTGCTCCGGTGAAGCATACAGACAGGTTCCCACTTTGGAAGTGTGTGTGGATATTCCTATGATTTTAGAAAGGCATCTGTGAAACACTGCAGCAGCAACACGGAAACCATTAAGGATCATTTGCAATGAGCAGGGCTCATTAGTTCCTAGGGCAGTGGTGGCAAATCGATGGCACATGAGCCACAACCAGCTATTTATTATTATTGAAAGCTCTGAAAGATTTGCTATCACTGTTCTAGGAAAACAACAGTTGCTTTTTTCCTAGCTTTACTATTACATTTTTATGATTCTCTTTCTTTTTTTTTGGAGTAGTCTCACTATGTACTTCAGGCCAGCTTTAAACTCACTAAGTAGCCCAGGCTAGCCTCAAACTCTACACTGCTTCTGCATCAGCATCCTGAGTGCTAGAATTACAGGTGTGTGCCACCATGTCTAGCTTATGAGTCTCTTTAAATACATGAATGTTTAACCATGTCTCCTTTTAAATGTAAAATCAAAAACCAAATAAAAAAATTTACCCTTCCCACTTCTGCTGGTCCAGGACATGTTCTTCTGTATGATGTCTGTGCAGGCCAGGCCAAAGTCTCCTATTTTTACTTGCTGATCAGGGCCATGAAGGAAAATATTTCTAGGCTATAAACAAACAGAACAAATCAATTCCTTAATTTTCTTAACTAGTAAAAACTTGGGTGTTAAGAGTTACCAAAACTCAGAAGCAAGCAGTCCCAACAGTTGTCAAGTTTGGCTGTACATTACAATCATCAGAGGAGTTTAAGAGAAATCTCAATTTCTGAGCCTTACCCAGATGGATAAAATCTGAATTCCTAGAGTGGACATAAGCATCACTATTATTTAAGTCTAAAAATCAGTTCAGATTTGAGAAGCATCAACGTAAAACATGCTTCACGCACAAGCATTTTTCAATCCCCACAGGGCATTGCCACACAAAAAGCTTTTAAAATCTGTCTTCTCTAACTGTCAAAGACAGACATTTCGAGTAAGAAAACTTTGGGGTTTGTTTTTGGTATGGACATGTGTGGGAAGCCGCCTATGATGGCACCCATTTCCTGCTTCCGGGTTCTTCCCGGCCTGAACAAGCCCGCCAAATTGTCATGTCTGCCCAGTTACCCGTGACGCTAGCCTATCAGCTTGTTAGACGCGCTTCTCTGTGATTGGATACTGCTTCCCCTTATAAGAGGTTGTTCCTGCCCCCAACGGGCAGAAGAGGAACCAACGTTGAGGGTGGCGGACCTTGTTAGGTCCGGTTCGCTGTACGCAATAAACTTTGAGAGCTGATCCTGCTCGAGTCTGGCCTCCTGTCTCCCGCGGCTCCGGTCAGACATGAGGCCCAGGACCTTGCAAATGATAAGCATGTGCTCTCCGTACTAGCTAGACCCCCCCACTCCATCCTTGCTCATAATCTTTCTGCCTTAGCTTTCCAAGAAGCTGGGATTATTTGTTGCCACTATGACAAACCATCTTCAATATTTTTTAAAGCTCACAGATTAGTCAGTGTGGGAAACAACTAGGCCATAATATGAAGATACAGCCCCTCCCTGGTAAGCGGCAGTAGTGTGGCCCACTGCAGCCCTTCCAGGGGGAGAACTAGCACTGTCTCCTGAGATCCACGCCATGTTGGAACTTAGGACTCTGGGAAGCCAAGCCAGCACCTCCCCTCCTTGGTAAGCGGAAGCAGGGTGGCAGACTGCAGCCCTTCCAGGAGGAGAACTAGCAGTGTCTCCTGAGATCCATGCCATGTTGGAACTTAGGACTCTGGGAAGCCAAGCCAGCACCTCCCCTCCCTGGTAAGCGGAAGCAGGGTGGCAGACTGCAGCCCTTCCAGGGGGAGAACTAGCAGTGTCTCCTAAGATCCACGCCATGTTGGAGCTTAGGACTCTGGGAAGCCAAGGCAGCACCTCCCCTCCCTATAAACGGAGGCAGGGTGGCAGACTGCAGCCCTTCCAGGGGGAGAACTAGCAGTGTCTCCTGAAATCCACGCCATGTTGGAACTGAGGATGCAGTGAAAACAAATGACCACTCTGCCTCCCTGCTTAGCAATAGTGAACCTACTGCTACATGGCCTAGAGTCAAATATCCCACTTCCCTTATCCTCCTTCTCCTTCCCCTCCCCGTCCATTAGCAAGTGGGAACCAGAAATCTGAGCATCTCCTGGGAGGTTGAACATAGCAAATAAGGGGGACTTCCTTCTACCATTTCTTTGAAGGCAAATATTTTTATTACTGTTATGCTCTTTTCTGATTAGTGGTACTGCTCTATTCAATATTCTGTTTTGATAAGTTCTATAGTGTTCTATATTTCATCTCATTTTGATATACGGGATTGAAAGAACAACTATTATAAAAATAACAAAATATACTGTAATACCTATTACTGTTATCCCGGTAACCTGCTGTGAAGTTCTGTACCAGTTTCACTGTACAATCTTAGTTGGCTTTATTCTGACTTATTCTGTTGTATACTTTCAAAATAAAAATTTAATAAAAAAAAAAAGAAAGAGAGAAGAAAAGAAGGAAAACATTGAAACAAAGCTTTTGTAAACGGAGAGGGGAGGAGGGCTTGACAAGGAGATAAATGGGGAATAAGAAAAAGCAAGTTATAACATGTACAGATACAAATTCTCTATGACAAATGTGATTGTTATGTATATCTATAATATACCAATAAAATTTGATTGGAAAAAAAATCCAAAAAAAAAAAAAACAATATGAAGATACACATTTGGTTCTACTTAAGCAACAATAGCAGATCCAGAACAGCTCCCAGCCTCTCCTATAGCCATCTAAAACTGCATCTATACTGGTGGGAGGAAATGTTTTTTAAAAAAATTTAAAAATGGGCCAGGGATATAGCTCAGCCGAACAAGCGCTCACACTGCAAGCTCAAGGTCTTGAGTTTGATTCCTGGTACTAAAAATAAGTAAAAAATCTGGGGGCTGGGGATTTAGCTCAGTGGCATAAATCCCTGCCTAGCAAGCATGGTGCAGGGGTCATGAGTTCAATTCCCGGTACAAAAAAAAAATTAATTAATTTTAAAAATTAAAAAACTAAAATATACATTAGAAGTTGTTTTTGAAAAAATAAGTTGTTTTTGTATTTAAGTAATAATTTATGTTAATGTAAAAATACCCATTTTAGATCAGTTAGCGTTTGAACTACAGCTGACATAAGAAAAAACAATCTTAGGTGTAAAGTGACAGTTTGGATGTTTTTGTGACTAAGCAGAAAACTCAAAAATCTGTGCTGAAATTTGGCACTCTATAATCAGGGAATAAAGTCTGAAAGGTGTGGTACCAGTAAAAATAAACTGTGTTCACTTCACAGTTTTTTTTTTTTTTTTTTTTTTTTATACCAGTAATTGAACTCAGCCTTGAACTGAGCTTTTTTCTTTTCTTTTTTCCTCCCTAGCTTTTTTCTTTTCTTTTCCTTTCCTTTCCTTTTCTTTGAGTAGGTCCTACTAAGCAAGTAAGTTGTCCAGGCTGGCCTCAAACTTGCAATCTTCTGGCTTCAGCCTCCCACAGTACGGGGATTACAAGCATGTATCACTACACCAGGTTAGAAATACAATTCTTCACAATTCTAGGGAAGTTCTAGAACTAAACTGAAACAATCATCATAAAGAGAATGATACTAACCAATTCCATAGCAGCATTTACCCCTGAATGCTAATGTTTTCCCCATGGGAAATATAACAAAAAGGAGAAGCCTAGTGACTGACAGCGCCCAGTTGTTGAAGGACAACCAGCCCTTAACACTGCACATTAAGCTCTATGAGGCCATAATCAAAGAAGACTGTACTGCCATCCGCACACTCCTCAGAAATCACCCAGTTGACCAGCCTTTGATCATTCCATCTAACAACAACTACTATACACGACCCCTGCACCAGGTACCTACTTTTCTGCTGTTGCTTTTAGAAAAAAAGACGCTTAGCAAGGAATACAACCTAAAGTTTATCAACTCCCTAAGCTCCTCACGGCCCTCACAAAACAAGCAACTCAACAGCCCTGCACTAGCATGCCCACACTCGGAGCAGTGTACTCTGAGGTTCTGTGAGTCTCAAAGCCCACAAAGCCTCACTTCCACTCCTCACACATAAACAAAAGGAGAAAAAGTCTAGAACCAACTTGCCAGAAGCACAATAACACCACACTCTTAAATACACTAGTGAGGATTATGTCGGTATAATACAATTATTTTTTCTCCATGAGTACATAGTTTTTATTCCTAAATTTTATACCATGATTATTGCCTTTGTAATTAATTTTTTTTCAAGAAAGACATCATCTCCTTTCTCCCATCATCTCCTTTTATCTTACAGATACAGTGTAAAATTACTACTTACATATATATTGTAAGAACTGGCATAAATAGTTTTGCTTATCATAGAACACATGCTGTGTTATCTTTTGGAAAGCCCCCAAAAGGCAGGTTTTTCTGCTAACAATATGACTTTGGCAAAGCCTCAAAACTACAAGACCTACTCATCAATCATCCAGTAGGTTAATTTAAGGACTAAGGGACTTCACAGCAATTACCACTAATTTTACACCATGAGTTCTTCACAAGAAGCAACTTTCAAAGCTTTAGGTGTTACTTCTGTTGCCTTGGTAAATCTGTGTTACTGTAAAACACAAAGTGTACAATACAAACTTCCCTGCTCTCTCAAAACAGGGAATAGAGAAGGAAAATTTCAATAAGCATCAAAACACTAAGCCAATGCACTACCTACATGAATAGTTTCTTTGCACAGGCAGGCTAAACACTGTTTCATAAAGTTTGACTGTAACTCACTTTGGTTTCCCCGCAGCCAACACGTTCCATCATTCCCATTCATCTGGCTGCCAAATTTCGCAATGCCCAAAGTTTGCTTTGTTTGTTAGAACACGGGGCTGACCCTGAAGTAAGGTAAGTTAATGCATCCATCGTCATCTAAGTGAAGTGTGTATCATACAGTCTACTTGCCCCATGATGTCTGAGTTTGTTCATTCCTCGTGGGTTATAGCCTACAAACTATGTTTCCAATGAACTCACTTCTTTACTGACTAGATGAGATTCTCTGGGAGTCATGGATTTCCAGGAACAGTCAGCCACCTTGCTGCATCTTGAGCTCAGTCACAGTACTGTGGAAAATGTGTTGAAGCCTGGCAACAGCACTCAAGAACTTTAACAACTTAAGTATGAAAGATAAAAAAACAGCCAATGGTTTTTCTTACTATCTTCCACAAGAAGGTCAGCTTCATGGAAGAGAAATTTATCTTGCTTACTACATTGTCCTTAGCACTTCAACCAAACTCATATCTCTAAGTGCCCAATGAATGCTATTTGAAGGAACTAAAGAATTATACAGTATGCAGCACAATTTCTGGGTACAAATCCTTGCCCTGCTCAAAGAGCCAGCCTAATATGTCTTGCTCAGACTTCTCCCTACGTGTATCAAACTCTACCCTACATTTGTTCAGTTCCTAATATGGGTGTAACAATCACAGTTTTGATGACCAATCTTCCTCAATTTCTTAAAAGAAATTTTGGAGTTGGTCCTGAGAGCTGAGAACCAACCCAGAAAATGCTCATTCTACTTGGGCTGGAACAGGGGATAAAGATGAACTGGTTTCACTAACTTCAAAAACGACAATATGTCCCTGGATTCAACCTTAGTCATTCGTCCTACCACGTACACTCACTCCTAAAGAAACATGTCAAGGAGGGGAGGGACACAAAGCTCAGTAAATGGAGTCTGGTCCTTTAGGGTTCTCTTCTCAGATTATTAGCAGCTCATACCAAAGCTCAGTTTCATCAAATATTCGGTAATCCAGACTCCACACTGGGCAAAGTCAGGCCTTTCCTTCAGCAACAAAATTGAAAAAGGTTTCTCTAAAGAGTTGGACCCATCATACAGGGCTGTATGCCACCCTGTCACCTCAAAACCCCTGCGATATTCTGAAAAATTGCCCAGTAATAAGATCTTGAAATACTGTAATATAATTAAAGGTATTAACTTTATAAAAACATTGCCTTAAGCACTAACTCTGCAATCTAAAGCTGTTCTCACCATTAATCTCCTGTAACATGTGATAAATACCTTCCAGGAACACACGAGGCCTCACCACTCTCGAGTTGATGATACTACACTGGCCAATCACTTCTATCACATGGACAAAACCAAGTAACAGAATCCAAAAGATCCTGACAGACCAGGACAATGCTGAAACGTGTCTCCGCATCTTGTGTAAATACGGAGCTCAAGTTAATGCCCAGGCAGACAACAGTGACAAAGTTTCCCCCCTCCACTTGGCCATATCATACGGGACCCATCCAGTTCTTTCCATATTGGTCCAAAATGGTGCACAGGTCAATGCTACTAATGAAGCCAGCATGACCCCCCTTCACATGGCTGCAGATCTATTGAGCACAGACATGATAGAAACACTTATCGCACATGGTGCAGATGTTAACTGTGCTGTCTCCTCCACAGGGAACACAGCCCTGATGCTGGCAGTGTGCACTGCATCGAGCAAAGCAGGCCGCCTGTTAGTAGCAGGGCTGAGCTGTATCCATTTGCTGTTAATGCATGGAGCCAAGGTCAATGCCCAGAACAGTGAAGGGCAAACAGCTCTCCATGAGGCTTGTTTTGGAGGTAGAGAAGCAGTAATCAGTCTCTTGCTAGAATTTGAGGCTAATGTTAACATTTTAACAAAAAATGGGGAATCTCCAATTTACATGTACCTTCAGCGAAGCTCCAATCTCAGAGACAAGACTCTTTTTGCCAAGTTACTTTGTCGCACTTATCCTTTAAAACTGACCAATAAGCAAGGAATTCTACCTACAGGAATCATGCCACATGAATTCTACTCCTTAAGGCAAGCCTTAATAAACTTATCTCAAAAACCTTTATCCCTAGAAGGAATCTGCAAAAAAACCATCAGAAATCTTTGTAGTGAGAAACACAAACATCATCTGAAGCAATTTCTCCCAGTAAAGATATGGAACTCAATATACTGCTGTTATGACTTAGCTTACCTCAAGTAAGACCATGTTCCTCAAGTCCCAGAGAATTCTAGCAATTGAAATTGCATTTTCTAGCTAGAGACGTACCACAAAATACTGAACCCATTATCTTTACATCCCAATGCACAAACCACTGATACTTAAAGCTTTTTTAAAAAATAAAATGATTGACACATTAACTCTTATGTTCCTGTATTTTCTTTAAATCCTTTTTTCATGATTTAATTTTTGCCTAAAAAGTAAGCATATTACTTTAAAAATCAGCCAAAAAAGAAAATAATCTTCTCTCTTTTTGTTGTAGTAAAAGCTGGAATAATCCTGTGTGTGTGTGTGTGTGCGCGCATACGTGTATGTATGTATATATGTATTTTGGGGGAGTTACAAGAACCTACACAATGAGCTGTATCTATAATCTTTTTTTAATTTTTGAGACAGAGTATAACTCAGTCTAATTTGCTCAGCCTGGGTTCAAACTTGTTACCCTCCTGCCTTAGGCACCCAGAGTGCCAGTATTGTAGGCATGTACCAACTAGCATACAGTTTTATTTCAGATGGGGTCATCCTATGCTGTCCAGTCTGGTTTCAAACACTTGGGTTCGACTTAAGACTATAGGCACACGTTACTACTTCCTTATACATATATTTTTAAACAGCAAAAGGTAGAATTTTCCAGAAATACACTTCAGTTCTAAGCTGTAATAATACCTGAGCATTTTTTATGATATTAAATATATTTAACACCACCAATTAGGTTAGTATTCAGACTACATTATTAGTAAAATAGTATTCATATTCCACAGAGAATTCTCCACAGAGAATTTTCACACATCTTAAAATTATTGCTTTTAATTAATCTAAGGGTTTCATGCTCTGGATCTATGATTTAAATGCTGATTATTATAATCTGATTCTGATTATTATAATCTGATTATTATAATCCGATCACTGATTATATTACCTAATATTAAGTACATTTAACACCACCAATTACATTTAACACCACCAAGTATATTACTAGTAAAAATAGTATAATGCTAATAAATTCAGCATTCCATAGTATAAATAGTAAGCTCCTAAGTAAATGAATGAGGTCCATCATCTCCTTAAATTCAGTGAGTCCTAGCCAGGCATGGTGGTGCACACCTATAATCCCAGCACGTGGGAGGCTGAGGAAGGAAGGCTGCTATGAGTTCAAGGCCAATTTGTACTGCATAGCAGGACTGTCTCAAAAAAAAAAAAAAAAAAAAAAAAGGAATAAACCAAATAAATTCAGTTTCCATTAAATCACCTCTCAGTAATTTCACAGATTTAATTAACCTACTTACCTTCAGATCTCTGTGTACAATCCCCATGTTATGTATGTAAAAAACACCTTCCACCAATTCTTGAAAAATTTTTGTTGCAGCACTGGCTATAACATAAGGACCTAGAAGTAGGAGAAAAATATATTTACACACAGTTTCATTTCTCTATTTTTATGAATTCCATTAACAAATAAACATTAACTTACATTAGTTACATCTGTCAAAATGAGTGCACCAATGTTAATAATACCAAGAAGTCCAGAATATATTCAGATTTCCTCAGGGTTTTTTGTTTTGTTTTGTTTTGTTTACCAGTTTCCTTTTCCGGTTCCAGGACCTCATTCAGGATAAACCTACCACACTACACTGACTGCCTGTGTCTCTCTAGGTTCCTCTGGCCTATCACAATATCTTAAGTGTCTTTGTTTTTTATAATCTTGACAGTTATGAGAAGTATTAGTCATGGATTTTAATGGAGTGTCTCTAATACAGATTTTCCAACTGACTACATTGGGATTATGGTATGGATAAAGAAATCCACAGACATAAACTATAATTCTTGTCAGATCACATCAGGAAGGCATACGATGTATCAATACTGTGGACTATAATCTCTGGCTAAGGCAGTGTGTAAGGTTCCTCCATTCCTAAGTTTGTTTTTGTTGTATTTTTGAGTTTTGTTTCTTTCGTTTTTCCAGACAGGGTTTATGTGTGCATCATGCATGGCTTTCAACCGTTTCTGTTTTCTTAGTAGGCTTTTAGTCTTTCTAAAATAGGCTTTTACCATGTAGTTCACGCTGGCCTTGAACCTGCAGTGATCCTCCTGCCCTAGCCTCTTGTGCTGGAGTTACAGGCTTGAGCAACCACCTGGTATTGTTTTTTTGTTTTTTCCCTCCACGTTTTTTGTGGTTCACTTTGTAGTTCAGGATGGCTTCAAACACAGCAATTCATCATCAGGCTCCTGAGTGTTGGTAATATAGGTATGTGCCACCATGCCCAGGCTTCACTGACATCTTTATATTTTATTGTTTGATTCAATTTATTTAGTGATTTAGCATATTTATTTAAAGTTCAAAAACAGTAAAAACTAATGTCAGAATATAGTGATTACTTCTGTAGAGAGGTCTGAAAGGGCATAATTTACAAACTGCTTCTTTAGAGAGGGTAACTAGAGATATCACTGTAAAATCTGATAGTTGTTGACACTGAGAGCTACCATCAGTCATGATATACAGATGACCTAGACTCAAACCTTCCTTTCAGAATTCATGGAAGTAGGTAGAACATATATTTAGCTAGAATCCAGGCTGCAAAGGAGTCCAGAATATCTAGAGTTCTTGGAGTCTTTTTAGTTCTCATAGGTGATACGCAAGAATCAGTATTGCTTACAATAATGGATTCTATACCTCTTGATATGTGAACTGAAGTTTGAGTAACCACCTTTGTTTTAAGTGGTTCTGAGTTTTTAAATGGTCAGTGATTCTTGGTTTTATGCTCTATTTCCTCCTTTAAACTCAAAAACTGTAGCTCACACTTGGAATTTGGAAAGACTCTCTTGTTCCAATGCCTCCAATAATAATTCATATATGGACTCACAGTTTTAAAAATTTTAAGGCAGGGCTGGAGGTTTAGCTCAGCAGTGAAAGTGCCTGCTTGGCAAATGCGAGATCGTGAGTTCGATCCATGGTACCAAAAAAAACCAAAACAAAACAAAACAAAAAACAATTTTTTTTTAAGGCAAAAACAGACAAAGCAAATCCTGTTTACTGACATGCTCTGAAATGTGTTTTCAAATCTGCAAAGGCCAACATCTGTAACAGCAAACTTGGCATACATAGGGCATTTCCTTAGGTTTTGGTTGTCTTTCATGTGTTATAAGAGGATCCGGTTCATTTCAAAAGAAAATTCACAGCTTTCATAGACAACCGTCTTTAGTTTTGGCTGCCTTTCTCCTTTAGGTTGTCCACAGTAAAAGTCACTAAAGAACAGGATCAGGCTTCCTTTCTTGGGGTCAAAAGTCCTGTTTTGACATTAGACTTGATAAGCCAATTTTTACCAAACCTTCAAAGCTATTTTCTGGGTTTGGATCCTGAGATCAAAATGTTGGTTAACTTTTCATTAGCCTAAGTACAAGAAAAGGCTGTTACATTCTGATGGCATGACAAGCAGATGCTTTTCGATGGTGTACTTGTGTCCATTATAGGAGAGATACCAGAAGGGGTCATGGCTAAAGAATATGCACTAAGGGGTTGGGGATTTAGCTCAGTGGGATAAGCGCCTGCCTTACAAGTGTGTGGTCGTGAGTTTGATCCCTGGTACTGATAAAAAAGAAAAAAAAAAAAAAGAATATGCACTAAGGCTTTCATTCCTGAGTTTAAACCTTTTGGGACTTCTGCTGTTTTTATTAGCAGTGAAAAGTTGCTTTGAATCATGAGCAGGAATGACTTATAGTGAGCTCACTTTACAAGCAGGTTTGGATGAAGACTCGATAGTAATGGTATCTATTGAACTCTGCTCAGACCGAGAATCTGCACTGACAGCCACAGCTCTGGCTCTCGGGTTCGTATGAACTGCAGGTTGAGACACGTGAGCACAGTCTCGACTGAGACAGTCTTTTTTTTTTTTTTTGAACATGAGCTTGGAGTAACACTGTTCAAAATGTTTGAAATTAACTGGTTTTGAATTTGAAATCACCTTGACAAAGAGAATTTCAGAATCTTCATTTCCATGTTGCATTCCAACAAAGATTAGCTTAACATATCACATTTGTCCCTCTGGTTGGATTCTCTCACGCTTCTTCAGTGGTTCTTTACTCAAAGAAAATTACTTTCGACTGAAGCAGTGGGCCCTTCAAATTCCACAGCTATCTTCATAAACTGGTACCAATTCCTTAAGTTGTGCCTTCAGATGTTTTGTACCTACTCAGTTATTTCCTATTCTGAGCCACAGAGGATCCTGCAGCTGTAGTGGCTGTGCTTCCAGCTCCCAGAAAAACCAGTCTGGAGCTCAACAGCCAGGCTTCCTGTGATCTTACATCTTGCTATTTGCTCTTCAAAGTTATTTCTCTGATATCTCTTATTTTAAAAGTTTCCTGGTGACTGTAATATACAGCCAAGGTTGAGAGCCAGTAGTATATTTTTAAAATACTAGCTAACAAAGTATTTGTAGGATATAGAACTGTGGGGTATTTGGGAAAACCTGGATTGTATAAGAGAGTCTTTCTTTTTTCATGTCAGTTTCAGACTTTAAAAAAGAAACAAACAAACAAACAAGTATTTAAATTTGTCTCTTAGTAAATAAAAAAGTAGGCAGCAGGCTGGCTCATCCATAATCCCAGCCGTTGGGAGGCAAAGGCAAGAGAATCACTGAGTTCCAGAGTTCAGGCCAGCCTGAGTTACACGATGAAACTCTGTCTCAAAAAAAAAAAAAAAAAAAAAAAAAAAGAAAGAAAGAAAGAAAAGAAAAAGAAAAATGGGGGTTGGGGATTTAGCTCAGCGACATAAGCGCCTGCCTTGCAAGCAGGCAGTCATGAGTTTGATCCCTGGTACTGATAAAAAAAGAAAAAGCCAAAAAAGAAAAATAAAAATGTATTTTTACCTAAAACCATTAACCTAAATTTATCATGTTACTATTTAAATATCAACAAATGCTATCACAGAGAAATTCAGCTTCCAAATAAAAACTTCTGTTTTTGAAAATGCTGAAAAAAGCAAAATTTGGGAGGGGGGGGGGTGGGTGAGTTTTTTCTCTGATTTTGTTTTTTAAATTTAAAGCCCCTGAAGGAAATGCTTGCATTAGACAGAGAAGCCCGCCCATCTTTATCTCCCACTCCACCATGCACAGACCCAGAATGCACTCACAGGCAGCTTCATCCACACTGTCTTGGGCCCGCTGGTTCCTCTCAGTGATCCAGTCCCACAGGGAAAGCTCGCACAGCTGCATCTGGATGTGCAGCATCAGATGATACGGCACCTGGAGAGAAACCACACGTGGTGGGCTCCCACCTCCAAGGCTCATGCACATCAGTCATTTTACCTGCCACTCTCCTGCTTTGAATTCTGAGACCAAAAGGTGACTTTTCATTAACATAAATTCAACTCTAGGCCAACACTACAGCTAACTGCTGAGAGACACAGGCCTGCCCAAGAAGCCCAATGTCCCCTGAAGGAGACAAATAAGCAAAGCAATAATTAAAACAATTATTTCTTGATACAAGAAGGCAGGGGTCTAATGGCAGAAACTGAGAACTAGGTCGTAAAACCTTTTGGTGTGCTCACTACATGAATAAGTATTATTGATTTTGTTTGTTTTGTAGTACTAAGGATTGAACCCAGGGTCTTGGTACTGAGTTATATTCCCAGCAATTTTTATCTTTTATTTTTCATTTTGAGACAAGAAAAAAGGTCTAAGTCAATTGCCTGAGCTGACCTCAAACTTTAGATCCTCCTGACTCAGCCTCCCTGAGTGCTGAGATTACAAGCATGTACTGTGCAACCTGGCTTACATAAACAATTTTTAAAGCCAATATAAAACAACAAAGAATTGCTGTATGGTATTCCACAACTCTCAATTTACTCCAAAGTACACCAGTACCTCATTTTACAAACTTGTATCAATTTTTTTCTACAATTCTGGTTGCAACCAAATCGTGGAGTGAATTCTGCAACAAGAATTGTGGAAACCAAGGTGCCACAGTGCATATATTTTGATTGGCTTCACACTGTACATCAGTAATAACTTATCCAACGAAAAGCTCCACTGAGCTCGGTAGCACATCCATATCATCCCAGCTTCTTGGGAGACTAAGGCTGGAGGACTCCAAGTCTAGGCCAGCATGAGAAACTTACTGAGACTCTATCTCAAAATAAAATTTTGCCAACAGCTGTGATGTTGCTTGGTGGCAGAGTAGTTAGGTTTAATTCTCCGCACAGTACACAATGAGGGAGAAAAGGAAGGAAAAAGAAACAGCAAGAGAAAAACATTAAGCTTAAAGTGGTCCATTTAGTTAGGCATTAAGTAAAAATTTCCAAATATAAAATAATAAAGCAAATAAAGCAATTCTGATTAACTGTTCTCCAACTCAACTCTTAGATTCAGATTAACTGGTCAGTTTTGTTTCATTAAAAAAAAAAGAAAAAAAAGACAGAAGCACATATTGCTTGACAAGAATTCTGTGTTGCATATATCGAGATAGTAATATATGCTTTTGCAATCCTAATATGACAGATTAGGGTACTCTTGTTAATTTTCAAGTTTTCTAATACTAACATTCAATACTGCTGTTGTGGCTTATACCTAGAAATCCCCTCAAAGCCTCATGTGATCATAGGTAGGGTTTTTGGGAGTGACTGCATCCTGGGTGTGAGATACTGACTTAGTCTGCTGACTAGTTAGCATGGTTCTGGGTGTAGATAATGGACTTACTGTAAGTGACTGGAAGACCCATTCTGGCACTAACCAATACGCTTGTAGCCTAGATGGAATAAAAGAGAAAGAAGGAGGAAGGTTCCTGTTTCTCCCCTGCCATGCTGCTCTGCTTTGAAGCCAGTTAACTATGGACTGAAACACCCACAAACCGTGAATCAAAAACCTTTCCTCCTTTAACTTGTGGTGTCAGGTAATTTGTTTCAGCAACAAAAAAGAAACCTAGACAACCAGTAGATATAGTGGGAGTCTGATTAGCATATTAGCACAACACTCAACAAGACAATCCTGAAACTGATTGGTTATCCTACAGGACTCACCTAAAGTCATGCTCCAAGAATAGAAAATCTTTTTTGCATAAATATATTTTTATAACAAGATGCTAACATAAAAGAGAAATAGAATGTAAATAAGGCTTCCAATCCCAGGGCACATACTTGAGACTCTGGAGCAATGCCCCAGCAGGGAGATAGGCAAAGAGTTAGCAGATGTTAACCAAGTGAAAGGGAAAAACAAGCACAAACCTGTATAGTTAAAGGGAGGATGTTAAGTTCAAGAGTCTGAACACAGGATAGGAGAGCCACAGCAAAGATACAAGAACACCAGAGAAAGTCAGCTGAGGAATACTGAAGGCCACTCAGAGTCACAACCTTGTCTCACGACTTAGGGTAAGCATCACATTGCCAGATTCTAGGAAAGTACTGTACCTCTGTCTGCCCAAATGAGTTTAAGTTTTCTCCAGAAGACTCCTCAGTAGATGTGAAGTTTCCCTCTAGGTCTGAGTTATGCCTGAGTAGGGGTTGATGCTTAACGACTGATCCAGCAGACGAATCAACCAAGCCAACGGATGACTCAAATTCACTGTTGTTCCTTATGACTAAATTGGTAGTATAGTTCACCAATTTGTTATTCTGGTTTTCAACATCAGATTCACCAACGTGTTTTTCTTTTTCTGAAGTAAACTCAGCAAAGATAATGGATGAACTGCTACTTTCATCATTTATAACATGTTTATCTCTGGAGTTAAAACAAGAGTAAAGACATACATAAAGGTAAGCCCGGAGTATTGCAAGTTTGAAGCCAGCCTGAGCTATGTAACATGTTCAAGACCCGCCTGGACTATATAGCGAAACCCTGTTTCAAAAAAAAAAAGTGAATGTAAAAAAAGATCAAGAGTAACCTGACAACTTTTCTTTTAAGGCTATATAAAGGATGGTCCAGTAGCACACGCCTATAATTCCAGTACTCAGGAGGCTGAGATAGGAAGATCACCACACATTTGAGGCCAGCCAGAGCTACTTTGTGAGTTCAAGGCAAGTCTAAACTATATGGACCTTGTCTGCAAAAAAGGGACTACATGAATCTTATAGACAAACTCCTAAAACAAATATCACGCAAGTCTAGCTGCAAACTGTTTAAAACAGTGACAGAAAATATCTGAAAAGTAATTTAATATTTTAGAATAAAAAGAAAGAAAAAGAAAGCCAGAAACATTCCTCCAAAGTTCATAGTAGCACAACACAAAATCAAGTCTGCAGTGACAAAACACAATGTCTAAAGCATAGAAGTCCAGTCCACATACCTGTCCTCTTCCTGGTCAGAAAGCACTTCGAGAGAGGGCAACTCAATAGGAACTCTGTCTGATGAACAGAAACAAACAAATAAATCTGCAAGCAGCCCAGTTTTTCAATTATAGTCAAGAACTAAAACACATTTTTAATATCAAGACGTCAAAAATTAATACAAGTTTAAATAGCCTGCATATTTTAGTAACTATCAAAGCAGAGCTGTTTAACTACATCAAGACACGATACTAAATATTTTAGGTTTTCAGGACCCTAAGAAACTCAACTACAACCTCAATTCTGCTACAGCATAAAAAAATCACCTCTAGGCATTAACAAGCCTGTGTTCTACTAAATCTCATTTAGTTGACACTGAAAGTTGAATTTCATATAATTTTCATAAAATATTCATTTGGTTCCTTTTAACTAGTTAAAAATGTACAGGCCATATTTGGCCTATAGTAGAAAAAAAAAAGAAAAGCAGGCTAATGTTGGCCCATCTGTGGAAGGTGCCAGCCACATGACTATACAGGTTGTATATCTCTTAACCACAACGCTAGTGATCAGGTGTTTCAAATTTTGTATTTTTTTTTTTTTTCAGATTCCTGTTCATTAGTACAGACCACTGATATCCTTAATCAACTTTTTGAGCACTTCCACAATGCTCTGAAAGTTTTGGAGTTTGTAGCTTTTTGGATTTTGAATTTTCAGACAAGGGATGTTCAACTTGCATCATCAAAAGCAACTCACCTTGGGGTTGAACCACATGAACATGCTCTATCCATGCAGTGTGATAACCTACAATGTTGGGGTGCTGAAGACCTGCCAACACTTTTACTTCCCGTAACACCTAAAAAAAAGAAGTAACATGATTTTTCTTTCTGGCAATTTGTTGAATTGGTCACAGTATCCAATATTTCTGGCACCAGAACAAAATAATAATAACCCTCTGAGTAAGGAATCCAAACTATGTTAAAAATGGGAATAAAAATAAATAAATAAACGGAAACATACTTGTGACAGCTCTTCCCAACAGCTGTTACAGAAACTAAACAGCTTACATTTATGTAATAATTTATATTTTTATAGCTCATTTATCAGCATTCTTTCACATGATTTCTGCATTATTCCAAGGTAAGTAAAACCACTGTGAGTCCTATTTCAAGAATGGGAGAGACAGGAAGGCAATTTCCCCGAGGCTACAAAGCATATAAGGGGAAGACTTGGACCTGAACTGGGCTCTTGAGTTTCTGTAACAATTTCTATTGTATATTAGTCATTTATTTAAAAAATTAATTTTGGCAGGGAAAAAAAGGTATAAGAGAAGGTAACAGGAATGGATACGATAAAAATATTATATGCAGATATAAGAATGCCACAATGGAACCAATGTTTTGAACAATTAGTACAAACTAACAGAAAATATACATCAGAAGAATGTTTTCATTCTAGTGTGGGCAATAAAGTAAATGATTACCCTAAAAAAATTAATTTCTCCAGTAATGCCAATCAATGAAATGTGATCAGTCTACACTGCCATAAAATTATGTCAATGAAACTTCAGGATGGGTATTTAAGGTACTTGATTATTACTTGATTCTTAGTATAAAACTGTGGGTTCATACCAACTATTATTTGCCAAATACATACAAGTACAGATACAGTTTTTTTTTTTTTTGTTTTTTTTTTTTTCGTTTTTACCGGTACCGGGGATCGAACTCACGACTGCCTGCTTGCAAGGCAGGCACTTATGCCGCTGAGCTAAATCCCCAGCCCCTACAGTTTTTTTTTTTTAATCAGTACTAGGGATCAAACTCACGACCGCCTGCTTGCAAGGCAGGTGCTTATGCTGCTGAGCTAAATCCCCAGCTCCCAGATATAGCTTTTAAAAGTTACCATATGAGCAATTATTTTAAACCGATCTCTTCCCTTTCTCCCTCTCCCTTTCTTTGACAGGTCCATAATATGTTGCCCAAGCTGGTCTCAAACTCCTGAACTCCCGGGTGCAAGTGACTTTTTTTGCTTCGGCTTCCCCATTAGCTGGAACTACTGCTGACCACCACTACACCCAGCTCAAATCACTTCTAAAACTCATACCTTCATGCAATCTGTTTTAGTTGCACCCTTAATCAGGATTTTCTTAATTGCATAATGCTGACCATCTAATTTATTCCTGACCTAAAGAGAAAAAAAGGCAAAGTATTAAATTCCATTAAAGTGTAACTGAATAAAATTCACCTAATCTGAGCTTAGATAAACCAAACTAGTCAAAAAGATCAAATTAAACGAAAGTCATGTCTTTTTTTTCCATTTCTGGGACATCAGCTCTTGTCAGCTGAGCTACCAGCTCTACAAACTATACAAACTCCAATCCCAGGTCTGAAAAAAAAGAATAAAAGCAAAATCATAATAATATAAGCTGGAAAAAACAGTAGCACAACTTTTCTTGGTAACACATTTAAATAAGAATGAATTGTAGCACAGAAATGTAAAATTTCCAGAATCTACCTGAACGACCCACAAGGTTAGGAAAAAGTTAAAACTTGTCTACCTCCCTATAAATGATGGATCATCATGAAAAGTAAACATGCACAGTGACTAGTACATCATAATAATGAAAACCACTTCTCAAAATGTTTATGGAATAGTCGGTCAAAATGAGTAAGTAGAAAACAACCTTATATACTCTTCCATATCCACCTTTTCCTAAGATGGCAAGTTCTTCAAATTCATTTAAGTAACGTGAAGTTTGTGCTTCAAAGGCTATTTCCCTGGATCTAGAAGTTAAACACAAACATGTAATTGATATCAAAATATGAGAAAACCAAAATGTTCTAGGACAGTGCATCCTCATTGTATTACCAAATCACTGCGCCTCATTTACTACTAAATGGCAGCAATTTGGAAAGAATAAACCAAAATACAACTTTTCACTAGTCAGAAAATGGTGGCTAAGCAAATCAACAATCTAATAGCAAGTGAGTCATTAAACTAGTTCCAATTAGAAATTATTATCAATGTTTTATAGCAGAAATTCTACAAAGACTAACAAGTAACAACTGAATACATAAGCTCAGTAATAAATTTACTTTAATTTCTTAATGATACAGACCAATTACAAATTTTAAACATTTCATAAATATAGCCAAAAATCATCAGTGTACCCCTAAGACAAGATATCAACAGTCTGATTAATCATGGGGTATAGGGAATCCATACTCAACAAAGGACAAGAGATCAAGGAGGAAGGAAATACTATTAAAAAAAAATAAAGCAAATCTTGGAACTATACTAAGTGCTAACAGCAAATGTTTTTAAAGTTTCATAAAGTACTCTAACAACATTATTTTTAACCCCAAACCTAGTATTTCTCTCATCTTGACTTTTCAATAGTACAGACGTTGCATAATTTAAAAAGTATTTAACACATACCTGATTTTCGGCACATAAGAATTATCTTCATAAGAACCCTAAAATCAGAAAATTATTTTTAAAAACCATTTCAAAAAGTTTAGTCAACAAGAAATCTATCAAAATTCAGTGTCTCATTAACAGCCCCAAATCCTCAAACAATATATACATATTATATATATATATATATATATATATATATGTATTTTTTTTTTGTACTGGGGATCAAACAGGCAGGCATGTAAGCTGCTGAGCTAAATCCCTGGCCTCAAACAGTATTTTTTTAAAACAGTATTTTTAAGAGTTTGAAACTGAAAGTATTTTGAAGCTGAGAATTTATTTGCTGAGGAGCTCCATAAGCAAACATTGACTTCACCTTCAAAATATATGCAGAAAGAGCACCCTTTTCACCTCCACCACTACCACCTATGCTACACCATCTCCAGCCTTCATAAATGTACCTGTCTCTATGCTTCTGCCCTGAGTATTTTCAAAGCACTAGGAGATGTAACCCCATTAAAATGTAATATGCCACTCGATAGGTCATCTTGCAAAGCTTTCCATCTTTCTCAGTAAAAACCAAGTTTACCATAGTTTAAAATGGTCTTAAAGAGTCTACTCCATCTGTTCTTTCTCCCTACTCCCTTTCTCTCTCTCCTAAACTCTCCTTTTTGCTTATTCTACGCCACCCATGTGACTGCCTGCAGTTTTCATCATCACACTGCTACTAGCACACCCACTCTGGGGCCCTTGCACTTACTGCCTGGAATGCTTTTCCTCTCTATATATGCATGTCAACCAAAGTTTTTGACTTTAACACTGGCTCAGCAAGGCACCGTCTCCCTGGCCATCCTTCGTCAAAGCCACGCCCTCTGAACACTTGCCAAGCCCTTCACTGCTTCATGTTTCTCATATAGATTATTATCTCCTAAAAACTCATATATTTCAGTATTTTTTTCATATTGTTTACTACTCCCTCATTAGAGCATAAGCACCATGAAGTGAAGCATTTTCTGCTATTTTGTTCAATGCTTTTACCTCAGCACTTACAAAAGAGTCTAACACACCATAATCACTTAGTAAATACCATTGGGAAGTTTTTCTTTTTAAAAACCTGCTGTATAAAATTTAATAATGCTTTAAAATGCAGTCCTCTGATAGTACACACCTTTAATCCCAGCACTTGGAAGGCTGAGGCAAGAGGATCTCCTCAAATTTGAGGTCAGCCTGGGCTACACTCTGAGTTCAAGACCAGCCTAAATGATATAGTGAGACCCTATCTCAACAAAAGACAAAAAAAAAAGGACTGCAGACGTAGCTCAGTGGCAGAGTTCTTGCCTTGTACACACAAGGCAAATCCCCAGCACCACCAAAAAAAAAATTTCTCTTGAAGTTAAGTCTATTTTTGGCATACAAGAAGTACAAGTGTTTGGGCTTACCTGCCGAACTCTCTCTTTCGCAGACCTCATTAAATGCGTAATAGCTCTGTTGTGATGCAGTCTTAATGAGCTAAACTCATCACTGCAGGTGAAAGAAGACAGCAGCCCCATTTTTATAAAGGTCTGACAAAGTACTAGAGAAAGAATTTGGAAAGTCATTATTAGAAAGATCATCAATAAAATGGGAATTTTAAAGAGTATCCCCAGAATAAAAATAACTACAATATACAAAGAAATCTTAGTAAAAAAAAAAAAAAAAAAAACTTAGTCGGATACTCCAAACAAGAAAGAGCAGCTGGTCTACCCACAGATAGGTGCTCATCTGTAACAAATGTCTATCTTATACTGTACAGCCATTTGTTTATCATATCTAGTCATGAAAGCACTATACTCTGTTTTAAAAGGGCAGGGCAAGAAAAATATAAATACGGTCTTCTAACACCTTGACACACTATACTTTGGTAGCAAGCAAAATGACAATAAAAGCTGGAGTAAAATACATAAGCAGCAGCAATAGAAGTGAGCCGTATGCCAAGTGTAGTAGAACATGCCTGTAATTCCAACTGTGAGGGAGGCTGAAGCAGAAGGATCATTGAGTCCATGTCCTCATCTGGGCAACTTAGCAAAACACTGTCTCAAAATAAAAATGGCTGGGGATGTGGCTCAGTGGTAGTGTGTCCCTGAGTTTAACCTGTAGTTACCCCACTCTGAAGTGAATATTACTTGTCTTCTAATATGGAATATCCTTAGACAACATATAAAAAGCATATATTTGATATTGTGCTCCCCAGAAAAGGTCATTTCCACAGAAGTGTTCTGGCTTTTACTTACTCAAGAAATACAAATAAGCCAGCACAGTAGTGGTGGTGGTGGGTGCCTACAGTCCAGCTACTAGTAAGAATAAGACAAGAGATTCACTTGAATGCATTAGTTCCACGACAGGCTGTGCAACAGACTTGATCTCAAAAAGGAAAAATACAGATACCACAGAGCCATGATGACAAACCTAAGGCACCCGTGTTGCAATGAGAACACAAAGCCCTCTCTGTGATGATGTCCTAAGTTATGAGTTCTTTTTGAACTAAAACCTTGGAGTTCAGGTTACTTGCTCTGTTGGCACTTTGCAATAAACAAGCGGGTTTTGGATGGCTGTTGGGCATTCTCTAAAAGGTTCATCATCACTGCCACAGAGATGATCAATTGATTGGTCACAGTATAAACATTTATTTAAAAACACCTTTCATTGGGTGTGGAGATACTCCCCTATAATCCCAATACCCTGGGAGGCTAAAGCAGAGATCACAAGTTTCAGCCCAACCTGAGCAACTTAGTGACTTAGCTAGATCTTGTCTCAAAATTTTAAAAAATTAAAAAAGACCTGGGGCAGTAACTTAGTATGATGGTCCTGGGTTCAACACCCATTATCACAAAAAAGAAAAGAAAAAAGAAAAAAAGGGAGGCTGGGGATGTAGTTCAGAACAGTACCCCCGGGTCTGATCCCTGGTACCACACCAAAATAGTAGTAATAATAATAATTATGACAATAATAAAAAGTTCTAAGACCATTGAAGATACTTGCAACAATGATTCTCCTGCCTCAGACCCATCCCCCAACCCCTGCCACCACCGCCTTGAGTGCTGAGATTACAGGCCTGGGCCACCAGGGCCAGCTAAATTTATGGATTTCTAACACTAAACAAAACTTGGGAAAACTTTTTGGTAGAAAAAGAATCTCAGAATCTGTGGCTGGAAATACTAAAACTACCACAATGCTCTCAGTTAATAAGGTGAACCAGAAATATCAGAATCCATAATTCTATTCATGTTGAGATTCAAGATTCTCATATAAGTACCATATGGCAGGAGTAATGACATACGTAACACCACAGGATGCAGCTATTCTAGTCCTCTGGTTAAGAACTAGCTCAGGAAGAGTATATGGGATTTTCTTTTACTTGCTCACCAACTAAACAATAAAAGGCCTTCAAAAAGCACATGAATATCAAAGCACAGATGCAAAATGACACTTTCATTTATTCAATTACATATAATTCTGGAGTTACCAGTGATTATATTCACAAAGAATTATCCAAAGAAAAATATGAAGTGAATTTAGAGAGTGTAAATTCTTCACATTCAATTTCTATACACCATCTCCTTCTCAGACCCACAGCATTAAACCATATGGTATTTTTTAAAGCTTTATTTAGCAAGATCGATTTATTCTTACTTACATTTAAACACCTGTTTTGAACGAACAGGATTTGTTTCATGCACATGGCTCAAGTGTTCTAGCAAAGAGACAAGCAAAAGTTGGTTTGCAACTGCAAAAGGAAAACTTGGCTGTTGTAGAGGTTCTTTTAATACCTGAAGTTCTGCTGGAACATCAGACTCTAAAAATTAAAAAAGAAAAAATACCCTGATAAGCATGTCTCATATAACAGAAGAACATAGTCTAATAAAACAGGCATTATTTCACTGTAGGGGAAAAACAAAAGAGTAGCTATACCAAGTTGGGTTAAAGCATTCTGGAAATTAAGTGTGACTTGAGGTTTGGAAGCTGGAAGACCAGCAGCAAGACACCATGAGGCAGTGAGAAAAGTTTAAATATGTGCAATGGAAGAATAAAACAAGACAATTAATATGAAAGCAAGTAAGTTAGCATAGGAGTGTCTTAGTTACTTTTCTCTGGTTGCTGGGGCAAAATACTCATCACCCAAAAAAAAGGAAGGAAAGGTTTATTTAGCTCTCTGTGGAAGGTTCACTCTAAGGCAGTAGCCAATAAAGCAACAAGAGCAAAAAGGGGGAAGAGCAAGTCTTTTCCTCCCTTATAATGTATGCAGGCCACCTCCCCAACCCCCAGGGCAGATAGAGCACTCATAAAATCTCTGGGCCCTGTCTTGCAAAGGATGAGGATATTTACAAAGAATGACTCCTGGCTCCTTGCCTAGTCCCTTAGTTAAACTTCAAACTTCTCAAGTTGGTATATTGTATCAACCATAACAGTGAGATGACTCTTCTTTTGAGATCCAGGTATTAAAAAAAAAAAGATTGGAAAAGGAGAGAAGGAAGGATAGAAACTTTATAAACCGAGTTTGTGCTAGCTATACCTGGGTATTTTACATGCACAGACTCCTTTAATCTTCCCAAAACAATGTATAAAGAAGTGTCACCATATGATTTTACAGATAAGGATGCCAATCTTCAAGCAGGTAAGCAGCTAGTCAGTCAGGCAGATCAGATTTAACTCCCAAACTGGTCCTCCTTCCATTATGGGAGCCCAAGTAGGCAAATGTGCTGGCACATAAAGCTCAAGTTCTCACTTGAGGATACTTAACAGGTAAAAAACATAAAGAAAATGTTCACAGAAATTGTTCTAGGAACATGTGGTAGAGGCATACAGTAAATAAGGAAAGGTTAGGATGAGCTGTGTATAAGGAGTAAGTTTCAGAAACGCTGAGGAAAGAACAGATTCTAAAAATACAAGAAAGAAATGGATTGGCCAAGATTAAAAACACAAGAAATGGAGGTTGGAGATGTTAATGCGCACGAACTTTGTATGGAAATTGTCAGAGGAAAGACAGACACATTAACCCTATAGAGTTGTGAATGCATTCAACTGGAAACATAATGTACATAGATGATCTTTGTATCTCCTACAGCCCTGTTTCAAACAGTCTACTCTACTTTGTCAACCACTCAGGGTCCTAGATCTCTTTCTTTTTCTTTAAATTAATCTGTATCTTTATTGAAGTTTGACTGACTGATTTGTTGTCCTGGGGATTAAACTCAGGGCCTCATGCAAGCACACTACCACTGAACTACATGCCCAACCCCCAGGGTCCTGGATTTCAACCCCAGACTTCATTCATCAATTTTCTCTCTAACCTACAGGTGGCCAGGGGGTGTTGGGGAAGAGAAGCTGACCTGCATATATGCAGATGTGGTACTCATTTTAAATAAATACTTAACTGTAAGAATAGGAAAGAAAAAGAATGAAACAAGTGGCCTTGTAAAAACTTTTCTATGTAAAAACATCTTAAAAGTTAAACATATGAATCACAAATTCAGATTAGTATATATATCTGTATTTTACATGACTAAAACAATATATACAGCTCTTATAGGCTAAAATAAAAATTCAAATAGATTTAACATAAGTAGTAATTAATGACATATATATATATTAAAATAACTAAGATAAACTAGGCATGTTGGCATGAGTCTATAATCCCAGCACTGAGACCTCAGGCAAGAGCAAGTTGGATCCTAAGCTGGGCAATCAGAAGAACAAGTTGCTATGCTGGGCAATCAGAAACTTTGGAGAAAAACAAAAAGAAACTTTGGGAGATTTTTCTCTCAAAAACTAAAAAAAGGACTAGGGTTGTAACTTACTGCAAATGTCCTGGGTTCAAACCCTATCACCATAAAATGATAAAAAATAATAAATAAAAGAACATCGTCTGACAATGATTGGTAACTACTCAAGCCTGGAATACCTGGTATTTTAAAGAGCACAGAAAAACAGACATGTTAAAACATAACAGTTATGAAGTGTTTACAATCTTTAGCAACATATTGTAAAACTTAAAATACATATTTTGACCTGTTAATTCTACTTTTGAAAATGTACACCCAGAAAATAATTAAACAAAGCATACGACATTCAGCACAATGCTGCTTAGAATATAGAAAAAAAATGTTAAAGAAATCATATACATACAATAGAACACTACTGCAATTGTTAGAAATCATAGTGTACAGAAAGACATTGGTAAATACTATCAAGTCAAAGAAACAGTATAAAATAATGATATTTATGAAAATGAAGTGAGATGGTTTATGGGTGGGCATATAAGCCAATACAATCTTTTTGGTCATCACTGTATCAAAAAATTTTGAAAAATTTACTCAATTCATCAACCCTATTTCTGTGGATTTATTCTAAAGAAATATCAGAAACTGACAAACATCTGGGTATATATATATCTACTCATTGAAAGATTAGAATCTATTTTCAACAATAGAACAAAAGTCTAAATAAATGACTGTATGAATGTTATGCAGTCTTAATGTTTTCAAAGCCTAATTTATCACAAAGGAAATGCTAATATAAAATCAGGTCTAAAATACGTAAGTCAGATGGTGGTTTCACAGACCTGTCATCCTAGCACTCTGGGAGGCTGAGGCAAGAGTATGGCAAGTTCAAGCCTGGTGTGGACAACTTAGCCACTTAGCTAAACTGTCTCAAAATAAAAAAGAAGCTGGGAAAGTAGCTCAGTGGTAGAGTGTTTGCACAGCATACCCTAAGCCCTGGGTAAAAGGAAGTAAGAGGAGCAGAGAAAAATACTCCCTAGAGGCTGAAGCAGGAGGACAGGAGATCCGAGTCTGCCTGGACAACACAGCAAGAGCCTATCTCGAAAATTTAGTCAATCAATTAAGAAATTAACTTTTTTTTTTTAAAGGTACTTCTCACAAACCTTATTTCTTATTAAAAACAACTAGGTCTGGGCATTCTAGTCATCTTTGGAAGAAAAGGCAATATTAAGCACAACAGTATTATCAGTAACTCAGAAGAAAAAATGTAAGGGTTTATCTAAGATCACTCCCTTCAAGAAATAATCTTTAGTTTGCAGAAACTCTTATCACAAAAAAGACAGACTTGCATGTTTACAGCTGAGACTTTTGCCATGACACAACTTTCCGTAGTATTGAGTTGCTACAACATACCACCAGACGTGTGAGGGGAAAAAACATCTACGTATCCATTTAAAAAGTTGTCTTACAATTAGTTTTTCTCTGTATAAAAATTTGGAAGAACGTTTCCAAACCTTTTCAATTTGTCTGCACTTTTAATTCTACTGCAACACAGTAATATTTCATGCTTTGACTGAATGTGCATTCTGTGTAATCATTGCATTAAGACAAATGCACAATTAAAAAGTCCTTAAATCAATCTACTCATTCTTTGGTTTTTGGTGCTGGGTACGGAATCCAGCACCTTACTCATCCATGCTAGGCACAGGTTCTACCACTGAGCTACAGATACAACTTCAATGGTTACTTCTTTTAAATTGCCAAAACTACTGGTAGCAATTAAAGACCCTTTTGCACTTTCAGTAAGATACTGAACACCCTGACCTGGTTCAAGATCTTTGTTTTAAGGACCTCTCACTTCATACTGCCAACTTAATTATGCTACACGTCCTAAAAACCAGAAGTCTCAAGAAAACTTGATCATTTCCACAGTGCATTATAAGAAATCATTACCAAAAAAAGAAAGCATTACCAAAACTAGCAATGAATCAAAAGACAAGAGAAGCTACAGATGAATATTCTCAGCCTGGCTGTTGAGCGCATAGTCCGCAAAGCCCCATTTTAGTAATGAATGAAGACCATCCTCAACGACAAAAATCATAAGGTTTAGGAGCTTAAAAGTGGCTGAAAGGGAGTTTTCCCCAGCCAACGACCTCAAAAGGGAAGTTTTCCTCAGCCAATGCCCCAAGATACTGGAACGTAAGCAAAGGAACAGGTCGCCCACGGTCTTTCAAGAAGTATTATTTACCTTAGCTCGCTGGCCAGTTCGCCCCACACACCGACTTCCCCCGCCCCCACATTCAAGCCCCGAGGCACTGAATGGGCCCAACTCCCAGGCGAACCCCAGAATGCACCGGAACACAGGTGGACGGGGGGCCGCAGACATTCGCTCGGCATTTTGGCGTCTCACCATCATACTTGGGCTCCGCTCCCTCAGCGGGGAAGTCGATGGCGGGCGGCTCAGCCAGAGACCCCTCCCCGTCGCCCTCTGTTTCTTGGTCCCAGGCTCCAGAGCCGCCCCCTAGCATCGCTGCCAGCAAGCTGGCCTCCACCCAAGCCTGAGGGTGGACTAGCGCACTTTTCACTGGAAGTGAGCAGTGATCGCCGCTAATCCGGAAGTAGCCCTTGTCAGGCGGAAGTCCCGCCCTGCGCACCGCCCACGGAGACGGGTCCCGTCCTGGCCCCGCCCCCTGCCCTGCGCCAGGGCTCTGGTGCATGGGACAAGTACGTTATCTTGGTCTCCGCTAGCGTCGCTTCCCAGCAGTGTCCTTTGACTGGCCCTATTCTGCCGCATCGCACACTAAGACTCCCTTATTAGTGTCATAATCAGGTATCTGCAGGCACTAATTAGAAATGTTTGTTTTCCTTTTCCAGATATAACAACTTTTCATAATTTCTTTCCAAAAATAAATTTAGAAAAATAAATCAAGAGCATCTACAGGATCTGCGATGAGCACTGAATTTATTTTGGCGTACCATTAATTAATTAACAAAATTTCAAAATCTAGCCTCTTTGCCTTTCAGATGTCTCTAAAAACTTGGTTGCAAAAATGATGCTGTTGAAAATAACCCTTAGGCGATGACGGATTAGGTGATAAAACGAACAATGTTTATGACGTGGAGCAATAAGCAGTACCATATGCAAAACTGATTCAAAATTTTTATTTGAACTGTGTTCCATATAGAGCCAATTAGGTACATTCAGCCTGATGGGGATAATTAAAGATGCAATTATATAAATGACATCCAAAGATCAGATGTGTCTCTTCACATGTTTTACTGATGCTTGGGGAACAGCAGCAGTCTTCAGTGTCTTTGACACCAGATGATATATAACTCCCAACCTGATACATACCAAATCTGCCAAGTACTTGGTCCTACAATATCGAGGAATGAAGTCATGAACCAAAGGAAGCACTTACAAAAGCTTTATTGGAAATAAGGAGAGACTAGTAGCCCCTGGATTTCCAGGAGGGGTCCTGAATAGGTTGGCCACTGAGGACCTTTGTAAGGGGTAATTTATACAGCAAAGTTACAATGTGGGTACAACATGAATCAAACTACAATCAAGTTATAGAATTGTAAGTATAGCTGCTTAGCTAACATTGATCCAGTAGAGAAACAGGTAACACAGTAAGGCTATGAGGCAAAAAACAAGGCATTTTTGGGAAGGGATGGATCTAGATGCTTTGGTCACCCAGCCACTGGGCAACTGATGCCATATGGGCTTAATGGTCCAGGTGGTACTAATTCCAATATAATCTCAAATTATTGTTTATCCCTTAAGGAGGCACGTAGGCCTGGGCATTGCATCTTTATCGTGGGCCTGACCTTCAGATGCTTCTCCAACCACAATTCTATTATCTTTATTTTCCACTGACTTTCTTAAGGGCACAATCCCTTCCTGACTATATATAAATTTCTATCTAATTCAGCTACCTGTAACACAGAGACCAGTTTTGTGGAAGACAGTTTTTCCACAGAAGGAAGAAGAAGGTGTCTGGTTGGGAGTTGCTATGATTCAAGTATGGCATTTATCATGTACTTTATTTCTATTGTTGTTACATTGTAATTTATAATGAAATACTTACAGAACTCACCATAATGCAGAATCAGTGGGAGACCTCATCTTGCTTTCCTGCAACTCAGTGGTTCCATCTGAAAGTGAGGGGAGAGAGTGACACCTAAAATGTGTTACTTATGTTCAAGTCTACTTTGTAATTTTGATTTGATTACTATCGCTGAAGAAAATCCTGTTTCACAAAGGTAGATATTATGTTGAAAATGGAAGGAGACATTTCAATGCCTTCTTGGCAATCTCAAAATATTTCATCTTTACTATAATCCAAAACATGAAGATTTGAATTATGTCTCTAACATAATTTCAGGCCATTGCATTAGTCATTTTCTCAACATGGATTCAGTCCCTACATCAGCAAATAAAACAGAGAGAGGTTTATTTTGGTTAGTGTTTTTCAGAGGTTTGGGTCCATAGTTAGCTGGCTCCAGGGCAGAAGCAGCATGGGGGAAAAGCTTGATGGAGAAAAAAAAATGCTCCCTTCAGTAGAAGTTGAGAAGTAGAGACAGAAAGGAGGAACTGGGGAACCTATAGGTTACACCTCCAACAGCCCACCTATTCAACTAGGTGACCAGCTAGAAGGAAGATAACCCTGGCTCAGTCTCTTTCAAAATTTCTGCAAGTGTTTGAAACATGTTCAAAATCTCAGTGTTCACTTGTCACCACATAATTCTAGTTTGGCTTTGAATGTAGGCACTTTATCTGCTGACTTAAATAAAGTTATTCTCCCCTGAAGTGATAGAATGAGTTCACTGAGCAGTGTTATGGTTTGGATCTAAGGTGTGTCCCAAAGGCTTCATGTGTTCAGAGGTGAGTTTTTGGAGGGTGATTGGATTATGAGAGTAATATAGCTCACTTTTTACTAGGAAGTGAGATCTGATTAGAAAAGGCAGATCACTGGGTACATGACCTGGAAAAGTATATCTCCCTATTTTCTTTCTCCCTCTGCTCCCTGGCCACCAAGATATGCATATCTTTTCTCTGCCATATCTTCCACCATGACTTTCTGGCCTTGAAGCCAAACTAAACCAAGAAGACATAAACATTCTAAGCAACCCAATAACAAGCAATATAATGAGGCATTGATAATAATAATTTAAAAATTGACCAACTAAAAAAACCCAGGTCTTGATGGATTTACTCCTGAAGTCTACAAGGCCTTTAAAGACATTATAACAATAATACTTTTCAAACTCTTCAATGGAATTGCAAGAGAAAGGAATGCCTCCAAACTCATTTCTAGAAAAGGAAGGAGTGCTTCCAAACTGATTTCTAGAAGACACAACCATCCTAATCCCAAAACCATACAAAGACCCAACTATAAAAGAAAGATACGTATCAATTTCATTAATGAACATAGATGCAAAAATTCTCAGATATTGGCAAATAGAATGAAACGCATGATCAAAAAGATCATACACTGTGATCAAGTAGGATTCATACCAGGAATGAAGGGATGATTCAACATCTGCAAATCAATAAATGCAATGTGCTGCATAAAAAGAAGCAACAACTTTAAAACATATGATCAAATCAATCGATGTAGAAAAAGCTTTTAACAAAATCGCTTTTAACACCCATTCATGCCAAAAAGAAAGGCAACCATGAAGAAAATAGGTTTTGAAGGACCTTAGCTGTATCTAATAAAAAGCTGTTTATGACACACCAATGGCATGAGGTAGGAAGATCAATGTGAGTTGAGGCCAGCCTAGGCTACAAAGTGAGTTCAAGGCCAGCTTGAACTGCATAGCAAAACTCTGTCTCAAAAAAAAAAAAAAAAAAAACGGAAAAAACAAACCAATGGCCAACATCATATTAAATGGGAGTCAAGCTCCCCCTAAAAATCAGTGAAAAGACAAGGATGTCTACTATCACCATTCCTGTTGAACACAGTACTATCACAATTCCTGTTAAACATAGTACTTGACATACTAGCCGAGCAATCAAGCAAGAGAAAGAAATAAAAAGAGATATGTATAGGAAAAGAAGTCAAATTATCACTATTCGTAGATAACATGATTCTCTTTATAGAAGACCAAAAAATTCCACAAAAGTACTGTTAAAATTAATAACATTTCAGCAATGTACAGCACACAAAATCAACACATAAAAATCAATAGCATTTCTATACACTAATAGTGAACTCACTGAGAAGGAAATTAGAAAACCAATACAATCCACAATTTCATCAAGAAAAACTAAAAATATCTAGGAAGTAACCTAACTAAGGAAGTGAAAGATCTCTGTGATAAAAGCTACAGTTTTCTGAAAAAGGAAATTAAAAAGGACAGCTGAAAATGGAAAGACATCCCCTGAGCCAACTTAGTCAAAACGATCACACTTCCAAAATCGATATACAGATTTAAGGCAATCCCAATCAAAATACCTATAGCATTCCTCACAGAACTATAGAAAACAATCCTAAAATTCATATGGAACCAGAAGAGACCCAGAATAACAAAAACAATCTTGGGCAACAAGAGCAAAGCAGGGGGCATCACAATATTTCAAGTTACCCTACAAAGCTTCGCAATAAAAATGTCATAGTATTGCAACAAAAACAGACGAGTGAATCAATGGAACAAAAGAGAAAGTGGAGAAACAACCCAAAACACATTAAATTATTTGATCTTTAGCAAATGGTGCCGAGAAAACTGGCTCTTCTCATGAAGATTAAATCTACATCTATATCTCTCACCATTAAACTAAAAAAGATCAAAGATCTAAATATTAAAACAGCAACAACCTACTGGAAGATAAAATAGGTAAAACTCTTAAAGTCATAAGTGTGGGCAAGGATTTTCTAAACAGAATTTCAACTGCACGAGAAATAATCAATAGGGTAATTAAATTTAAAAAAACTTCTGCACAACAAAGGAAACAATCAACAGAGTGAAGAGAAAAACTTACAAAAGGGGAAAATTTTTTGTCATTTATTTCTCAGACAAAAGACTAATATCTAGAATATATAAGTAACTGGAAAAAGAAAGATTCCCCCGAAACAAAAGATGCAATCAAAAAAATTAACAACTGAAGTGAACAGATGCTTCTCAGAAGAAAAGTAAAAATTACCAATAAATTCATGAAAAAATTTTTCAAAATTTCTGTCCATTAGAAAAATTCAAATTAAAAACAACACTAAGATTTTTTCTTATACAAGAAAGAGTAGCAATCATTAAGAAATCAAATAATAGTATACACTGGATAGGCTATAGGAGAAAAGGAATACTTCTACACTGCTGGTGGAAATGCAAACTAGTACAACCACCATGGACACCAGTATGGAGATTCCTTAAGAAAGTAAAATTAATCCTGGACTAGTGGCACACACCTGTAATCACAGTAATTGGGAGACTGAGGCAGGAGAATCACTATGAGTTCGCAGCTAGCCTGGGCTACACAGTGAGTTCAAGGCCATCCTGAACTACATACTGAGACCTTGTCTCAATAAACTAAAATAAATTTTTTTTAAAAAAGCTAAAACTAGAAATTGCACATGACCCAGCTATTCTTTTAAGTGTCCTCCCAAAAGAGCTAAATATATCATAACAATACTTGC